CAAGTATTGCCTTCGTAGGAGCAATGTTTATGCCCTTAGGTATATTCCTTTTTGGTTGGACAAGTAAAGCATCTATTCATTGGTTCCCGTCAATGGTTGGGGCTGCATGCTTTGGTTTTTCAGCCTATATGGGGTTTCAAACTTTAATGTCGTACTTAAGTCATTCTTTCAAAAGATACGTTGCTTCGGTTATGGCTGCTAATAACTTTTTCCGTTCTTTAATTGGTGGTTTGATCTGTTTAAGTGCTCATCCCCTTTATAATAACTTGAGTGCAAATAGTCCAAACTACCCCGTTGGCTGGGGTAGTACAATTCTTGGATTTATTGCAATTTTGTTAGCTTTGATCCCTTTGATTTTTTATTTCAACGGTCCTAAACTCAGAGCTAGGTCTAAATTTGCTAATTAATCTTTATTCATAGTTTCATTTTAATATATTCTTATTCATTTATATTCGGACTCTGATTGCTTACGTCTTTGCCAATATCTTTTCTTGTAGTCTTTTAGGTTTGATTCGGTGATTTTAGTCTCACATAACTCCTTTAATCTATTTAAAAGTTGAGTTTGTGGATTCTGAAACTCTGTAAAATGCTTCTTCACCTTTCCAGCAATTGGCTTTGTTCCAGTTGAAGCAGTTTCCGCTTCTGTATTCAATATCTCCCCGTTGATTGACTCCGGATCCTCCTCGTTACTACTACCACCTCTACGGTTTAATAAGTTTGCATAAAAACTCGATCCAGTATCATTATCTTCATTTTCTTCCTCACTATGGATCTGATCTTTTTGCAATTTATACTCGGCACTTTCAAAAACTTCCAAGTCAGAATTGGTTTTCACCAAGGCCCTCACTCGTTCTTCTTGTAATTTTGATTTCTGTTTTATATAATCAGATTCCCTTTGCTTCTTCGCTTCCAAAAGCTTCTTTATATATTTGGACCCAGTTTGATTTTTATTTTTTGATTTATCATCTTCCACTTCAGGTTCATCGAACTCAAGTGGATCCCCTTTCACTTCTTGAAGCTGCTCGTTGATTTTTTGTCTTTTCGCTTGAATAGACTTGGCGAAATCTTCTTCTTCTGAATCCTCTTCTGAATCTATTTCCTCCTTTCCTTGTCTTTGAAATGCATTTTGGGACCTTCTGTCCTCTGGTCTTCTCGAAACGCTAGTTTCATTTCTGCGTTTCAATTTGAACCCCATCTCGATTATTTAGGTCTTAATTAGTTCCACGGGCTTCAATGAACACGCCTTGTTTAGAAGTCTCGTTAATTACAGTCTATTTATCAAAATAAATACCCAATATTCTATTAAAAGGTCTTCTTCTTAGGCATTCTGATAGCGCACTTACATTTTTTTCTCCTTCGTTTAGTTTGAAAAAACTAAACGGAAGAAAAAAAAAAAGATTGTTCGAATCATGCTAACAATTTCGACAAAGGACGATTCTATATACCATTGACAGTTTTTCAGTATATGATCAAAAGCACATTTGGTCCAAGATAAGTCTGCTTGATACATAGAACACTCCTATAACTTTTTTTATCGATATTTAAGTGGGTTCTTATAGGAGTCTTTTTAAAGAAAAAAAACAATTTCTTTCAAGTTGTATATCTTTCAGGTATATCTGTGAAAGTTGGCTGTTATTAGCTAGAAAACGTCACAGGCTACAACGACATTGCATTTATTGGCTTGTTAATAGTTCACTATACGGAGGAGAGGACCAAAGATGAATGGATCAGGATTCGATTGGTTGAATATACCTTCATCAAATAATAGTGGAGCTGGTAGTCCGGCACCACCACCAGTTTCATTTGGGTATTCTAATTCAAATTCAGAATTGAGTACTCATAGCTCTAACAACGGTGGATCAGGGAATAATTATTATTTTGCTAATTCACTGGCTGATCACTTACCAAAATCAAAATCATATACTGAAACAAATAATCATTCGAGCAACAATCAGGTGAGTGGACATTCAAATGTGCAAATTGAAGATGATTCAAGTATACCTCTTTCATTGACGGCACAGGAATTGACATTGGAAGAAACGAAGACTTATATGAGATGGTATAGTGATATTTTAGCAAAGACCAATAGTCGAACCGTTTGTATGAATGATGTTTATCAGTTTCTAAATAATTTTAAATTACCTTCCGAATCTAAGGAAAAACTCAATAGAATATTTCATAAAATTTTAAATTCAATTAATATTGGAGAATTTTTTGCTTTATTAAGATTAGTTAGTCATGTTCTACAAGGATTAGATCCTTCAAGAAGACTTATTAAAGTACAAGCTCCAGTTCCAACCCCTCCATCAATTCTTTCAAAAAAGAGACAAAACGATGATAATGATTACGATGATGATGACGATAATGTACAATTTAATACAGAAAACAATCAAGCTAATGAGAAAAAACCACTTGACCTAGACAGTTTTACACAATTCATGTTAACTGGACAAAGACCAGGTGAAGTTAAGAAAAAGAAATCTAAAAAACTAAAATCAGTAAAATTCTCAGATCAAATAGTTACCGATATAAGGACTTCTGCAAATTCTCCAATCCCATCACCAGATCCTTCATCTCAGTCTATTGATTATTCTCTACCAATGGATCAATTGCTTCAAACTCTCTCAAATTCTGAAAATGGTGGTCAAAATAATAGACAATCAAATATAAATAGAGTTTCATCTCCTGATGAAGAAGAAAAACAAATTCTTAGAGATATGGAATCCCAGATTAATCATTTCCAAAATGTTCATTCTGTTGATACGGCTTCGATAGACGGTGTACCAGCCAACATCAATTTAGATAACACTCCAAATCAATACTTAAAACCTAACATGACCGGTCCAAATCAAATGTCTCAACATTATAATTCGCTAAACGATTCCAGGCAAGGAGAACCACTTTTGAAGCCAAATATGACTGGTCCAGCACAAATGTCTCAATATATTTCAGGTAATGTAAATGAATATTCTAGTAATCCTGATCAAAATGATTCTTCTCCTCTAAAACCAAATTTCACGGGTCCAATCGATATGGCTAAGATGTTTGCACCGTCAACCCCTGATGATAAAGGTAAGGATCAAAACCAACCGAAAATCAGTCTTCTGGCTTTTACAGATCAAATGACCGGCAATACAATGAGTAATACCCTTCAAAATTCAAAAGTCACGGATGAAGGCTCTCCTTCAAGATCACCTTCCTATAATAATAATAATAGACCATTACCCCCACCTCCAGTCCCCAATATGAGAAGAACTAGATCAATATCTACCCCCACACCTAGAGTATCATCACCACTATCGAGTAATAAGCTTTCAATTCCCAACACAAGTGGACCACCTGTACCTCCAAGATCACCTTTACAAAGCTCCTCCCCATTGCAAGAAGCCGCCGAAAAGCCCACGCCTCCTCCTCCTCCTCCATCAAGACGTAGAGGCGCCGGTAGATCAGTTTCCCCTGCACCACCGTTACCTCCGAAAGTAACGGTGAATAGCCCAGATCAACAAATGCCGGTCTCAAATCTGAATAATCCTTATTCCAATAATGAGCAATCCAGAAATGATAGCACTGCCAATATATTGGATGATTTGAAAGCATTGCAAGAGGAAGTCGACAAAATTAGAGATTTGACAGGTGGTTTCTAAGGCATCCGATTCTATATCGTCTTAAATAACCGATCCTTTGTGATTGCATGGTTCGGGCTCATATAAACTATTCAATAGAATTAAATTTTAAATACTTATAAATTATATAACGCTATTAAGGCATTTAATTGCACAATTAAATCATTTTTACAAATGAAACGTCCTGTTCGTACCTGTAAATCAATATCCAACCAATAAATCGCTTCTGTTCGACCGATTTTAGTCAAACCTGCATCCCATTCCAGTACAGGCCTTTTCCCTTGGGGTAATTTTTGATAAGGCATTAAAATAAAACTATGTATTGAAATTACGATTTTTTTACGCAGTTGATATTTCGCAACTGTGTTGATAAAAACTGTGGAACCGATTGCAAAGTATACAAGGGCCATCGTTACTCGTGACCCAAGGTACTCTGGTTTTGAATAGTATAAAAGGAGTAGAGTTTTAAGTGTTCAGAGTAAATTTTCTATTAAATTAAAAGGAAAATGAGTTATTATCATATCAAGGGAACGGAATTATCTATTCCACCAATTGCTGAAAAGATTCTTAAAAACAAGACCAGGGGGTTAGGAGCCGATGTCGACGAAGAAAGAAAGAAGGTTAAGTATCCTGAGTTTTTAGCTCACTATCAACCAGACGAAGAAGGTAAATACAAAAATGTTAAGAATGAAGACGGGGCTAAAAATGATAAAGGACATTTAGGTGATCCAACTTTTAAAAATTTATTTCCAGCAGATAAAAAGGTCACTACTAGAAATCTCTCTCCAGACTTTGGTACTGAAGTCGAAGGTATTCAACTTAGTGAATTAGATGAACAAGGTAAAAATGACTTGGCCCTTTACTTGGAAACAAGAGGGTTGGTAGTTTTTAGAGATCAAGATTTTAGAGATAAAGGTGGTGATTTTGCAGTCAATTTTGGTAAGCATTTTGGCCCTTTACACATTCACCCCATTAGTATTTCAGCGGAAAATAATCCGGAGCTATTAGTCACTTACAGACAGGGTGGAGACTCGAGTAGATACGATAAAGAGTTTTCTTCAAAAGGTGATACTACTGGCTGGCACAGTGATATCTCTTTTGAAGAATATCCAGCTTCTTTTTCTTTTTTTGTTGCTTTAGAGGTTCCTCCTTCCGGTGGTGATACGGTCTTTATTGATACAAGAGAGGCTTACAGAAGATTATCACCAGCTTATCAAAATTTTTTAGAAGGCTTGACTGCAATCCATTCTAATTATTTTCAAAACGTTTTAGGAAGACTCACTAATACAGTTGCAAAAATTAAAGAAGACTATTATACTGAGCATCCCTTGGTAAGAACTCATCCAGTTACTGGAGAAAAGAGTTTATTCTTTTCCAGAGGCTTTGTTCAAGGGATCAAAGGTTTGAAAGATAAAGAATCTGCGTCGGTTTTGAATTTCTTGGATCATCATCTTGCTACTAATCTTGACATTCAAGTTCGTGCTAATCATATTGGTGGTTCCAAATTGAACTCAAAATCAGTTATTGCTTGGGATAATCGGCTTGCTGTTCATAGTGCAACCCTTGACTATTTACGCAGTACCACCGAAAGACGTCACCATTATAGAATCACAGTCTTGGGCGAAAAACCTTACTTGGATAAATCAGAAGGTGAGTCTTCTAATGGACACGCTAATGGCCATTCTAATGGTCATTCTAACGGCTTGAAAGAACATCAGAATGGGGATGGGATTTCCAAGCTTAAGTTGGATGATGAGTGAAAATCCTGTTCGATGAGTTGATCTTAGCTGAACAGAAGTAGACTAAAAGATAGCTCTTCTTTGATATGTATTTGTGTATTTAAAAATGTTTTCAATCTTACTCGAAGTAGTAGACTTTTATCAGTTAACATTTTGATGAATAAAGAATGTTTTTAAAAAAAAAGGAGCAAAAAAGTAGCAACTGTCTTATGCGTCGAAGATACTGAATCCCTTGAGAATCTGCCGCTATTCCTTGTGGGTTGCATTGCATTGAGCATTAGAAATGATATAAAGGTATACGATTCAAACATGTGCCATAGATAAACTGCTCTGTTTTGCGGCATAGATTTTTGCAGCAGAAAAGTTTTTACTACCGTGTCAGACCACACATGCAAAGCAGTCTACAATGTAAGAGACCAATGAAAAAGATAACCAGAGCTAGAGAAAAACATAAGTAAATATGCTTTTGGAGTGAAAAGTTAGAGAAGAAAAATTGCAGTTGTTACTCTTCATTCTTCGAGATTTTAAGGGCCCTGAATCCTGAATCCGTAGATTTAGAATACCTATATATTTTGGGATAAAATCAAAGTGTACCATTCTAATCCTTACCTCTAATAACTACTTATGAACAAGCTAATTCAGTGCTTATGATATTACACCTGATAATTTTTACCCTGTTATTGTAGGCTTTAATAGCAAATTTTGCAAAAAGTTTGATTAAAACACTTTCCATCTTATATGATAATAACTATTAGCATTTGAGACTTGATCACCTTTGATTCTCTTGTATCTCTTTACTAATTTTAATACTAACCTGACATGGTCTTTTCGAGGGCATGTGTACTTTGAAATACATATTGAAAAAAAATATTTCTTATCATAACTTTCTTTTGCAACTAACTCAAGGTATCTCACTTTCTAAACCACAATCAAGGTTCCCTTTTGCAACTTTTAAAGTCCATAGCCGGTGATTTGAAGGGCTTTTGAAAGCGCTTTTCTAAAGCTCTCTCTTAAAGTCTTCAATATCTACCTCCTTTCTTGTAAATACCAATAGAAATCGAGTCCCATTAAGTGCTCCACTAGCTCAGTAGGCAGAGCGTCAGTCTCATAAGAAGTATTTCTTGTGCAATCTGAAGGTCGACAGTTCGAACCTGCCGTGGAGCATTTAATTTTTTTATTTACTCCCAAATTATGGGTGTACGGATGTGGTTTCTAAGAGCGAAATCTGTTTACAAAAAGAAAAAGTGAACGCGGTTGTTTTTGTTTTGGAATCCTTTCAATTTTTTGGATTTTTGAGAGAAGAGAAGTTCAATAATCAAAACAACGATACCATCTTTCAGTTCTTCTTTGGAAAAACGATATCTAATTGATCTAGCATCCAGCATCAGGAGTACTATCTTGTCGACCTCATTTCTTTTTTTGGCATAAACATTACCGAGAAAGCGGAACTGTATTTGAATATATAATTGAATTCCAGACTACCAATTTAATTAATCATTTACATCATTTCTAAATCAATCATATGATAACTATATTAATCGATCTTATTCATGAGTTGAAGAATGCATATTAACAATTTAACGCCCCCGAAAGGTTTACGTGATGGACCAGGAAACACAGTGAATGATTATCATAAAAAACATCATTTGATGGATGATGATGATACTTTTATGCCACCAGCGTTGAGTGCTTATAGTGTAGCGTTGTTGAGTGATAAGTCTAGTCCAAATAGCCAACATATATCGAAGCAACAAAAGCTATCAAATGATCATAAGTTTAATAGAACACCATCACAAATAACAGGGATTTATGAAATTGATTTCCCAGAGAATAATCATTCTAAAAATAATTTAAAGAATAAATTATCAGTGCATTTCAAAGATTCTCATTCATCTTCTCCGATAACGTCATCTCATTTTTTGTCAAATCATAATAGTAATAATAATTCAAATCATAGTTTACATCATCAATCAGATAAATCTCGTCATTCAAGCATAGACAATGTGTCTCATAATTCAATCAATGATATCCAGCTTAACAGCAATCATAACAACAATACATCTTTGCATAATTCATTTAATATGTCTAACAATAATTTTACTAATAACCATACACATAATACAACTACTGAAGATAATGATGATTTACTAGATGCTTCTTTGGAAAATTCAATTAAATTCCTGCAACCTATGACTTCTACAACTACTCCTGCTACTTCAAGATCTTCAACTGCTCCTAGGCCCACTTCCTCTGGGTCATCAAGTCAATATGGAAGTTTGAAAAGATCCCGGTTAGCAAGAAGACTTAGATCTTTGGGACCTCCTAAAAGAGCATCCCAAATTTCAGAGACTCCAAAATCAAACTCATCTTCAGATCAACCCCATAAACCGGTATTAAACGAAAATGCTGAAAGCATTGAAAATGATAAAAAGCTTTCAACCCCTCCTTTAGTTTCATCGAGATTCTCACCTAATTTAAAATCATCCCTGGTAAGTAAGTCGAATGGACATCCAGCTCAAAGCTTTCTAAGAGCTTTAGAAAAACTTCAATCTGAATCTCCAAGTCAAGATTTGTTTTCCGAACAAAAAGAGTTAGAAATTAGATCAAGAGTGGAAGAACAGAAAAAACTTAATGAGTTAGAACATCAACTATCTAAATCTAAAACCATTCAAAGTATTGATCTTGAATTTGAAAATTTAAATAGGAATGTTCCTGGAAGTCAAGGGAATGAACTTTTCCAATCCAAGAATAGTGATTTCCCAGTATACTCGGATTATAAAAGAAATAACAAGTTTGATAATAAGGTGTTCGAAAATAAAGAAAACTTGGTTCATAAGCTGAAACATCAATTTTCTACTGATTCTCTTATTTCAAATCAAAACCATGTTAGAGTTCCCCTCAATAATGTCCCCATTAATACGTTCAATGTCTTCAATGAAAATGACACTTTTAGAAAACCTAAAACTCCAAGGCCATCTAATGAGCACGTAAATGAATTAAATCCACCGACATCCCAACAACATATTGAAGCCCAACCACCTCGTCAGGAATCACAACAATTACCTCTCACTGCATCATCACATTCAACTAATTTTGGACCCTCTTCTGCTGTTCACAATCCTCCAGATGAAATAAAGAAAAGAAAATCTATAATAATAAATGGAAATCTGTATGAAAAATTAGAACTTTTAGGTAGAGGTGGTTCTTCAAAAGTCTATAAGGTAAAAGCTTTATTCAATAATAAACTCTACGCAATTAAAAAAGTGACATTTGATCAATTCGAAGAATCTTGTATAAAAGGCTTCAAGGGAGAAATAGATTTATTACTTAAGTTAAAAAACGCTGATCGAGTTGTAAAATTGGTTGATCATGCAATTGGTGAATCCTCAGTTTACCTTGTTATGGAATGTGGTGATATAGATTTAGCTCATGTCTTTCAAAATAAATTAGGTTCGAATCAGCTTCTCGATATAAATTTCATCAGGTTCCATTCCATCGAAATGTTGAAATGTGTACAGGCAGTTCATGAAGCTGAAATTGTTCACAGTGATTTGAAACCAGCTAATTTTTTATTTGTTAAAGGGATATTAAAGATCATTGATTTCGGTATTGCGAATGCAGTTCCAGATCATACTGCAAATATTTATCGTGAATCACAAATTGGGACTCCTAATTACATGGCACCCGAAGCTTTAACGGAAGTTAACCAATCTTTAACGATTCCTGAAGCCAGTGCAAGTGAACAATTAAGGACCTGGAAAGTTGGTAAGCCATCGGATGTTTGGTCTTGTGGCTGTATAATTTACCAAATGATTTATGGTAGACCTCCATACGCTGGGTATTCGGCTCAACAAAGAATAACTGCAATTATGAACCCTCAAATCAAAATCCAATACCCAAGTAAAGGTTTGGGTGGTATTAAAGTTCCCGTTAGTGCTATTGAGCTAATTCAAAAATGTTTAGAGAGAAATCCAAATGATAGATGGACAATAGAAGAGTGTTTAACGAGTGACTTCCTCAATCCAAAAGTTGTCAGTGAAACATTTGTTAGAGATCTTGTTCATCTGGCAGTTAATTTTGGATATAAAAACCATCAAAGTGGCACTAAACAAATTACTGACGAAGTCTATGATAAACTAGTTGATACTGTTTTAAAGCAGATTGAAGATTTGCATTATGCTTAACTTTTCTGTGAATTTTTGCCATACAATATAGATTTTTTCTAATTAGAAACTTTTCTTTCCTTTTTTACTTCTTTTTGCTTTAGATAAGCATACTTTAGATAATTGCATTAATGAAAAGACGATTTTTAGTTTCTTATGTAGGTCTACATAATTTTCTTTTAAGTAATATTGTAAGTATGAAAAAAAAAATAAAGAGAGTACTGAAATGAAGATTCGGAGTCAATAGAAAAAGAATATGAAAATAACTAAGCTTTTAGAGATTTTGTAGCAATCTATTTTGAGTAAAAGGAACTAAAGGTATAGTTTATTGCGTATGAAGATCAACTTTTATTAATCTTCACTATTATATTATACATTTTTGGTAATAGAGTACCAAGACTAAAGGATTTAGTTTTTTAACTTCATGATTAACGAGGGCCTAATTTTTCTAAAACACGAGCACCTTGCTCTTCCCATTCTTGTTTGGTAATCCACATATGTTCTTTATCGGACATAATATTAGCCAAGACTGCCCCACCAATGAAAACCATATGTCTTCTTCTTGGGGGATCTTCAATTCTAACTTTAAATTTATCTAATCTAGATGCATCGCCACGTAAGACTTTAGTTAACCATAATTGTTTTAATTCTTTTTCCAAACGGGAAGGTAAACCAGGATACATTGAAGAACCACCCGATAAAACAATTGCTTTGAACAAGGAAGTTCTAACATCAACATCTGCGGATTGGATAGTATTAAATAAAGTTTCACCGACCCCAGGTTGTTCAACATCAACTAAGTTTGGTTGGAATAAACATTCAGGAGCTTCAAATCTTTCGGAGCCAACTTTGATAATTCTACCATCAGGCAATTCATAGGATTCAACCAAGGTAGTGGTTTCTTGGGCTAGTTTTGTATCTAAATCTAAATCATAGGAAACATAACATAGTTTTTCTTTAATTTGACGAACAGTTTCAAAATCAGCGGTTCTATTGAATGCATAACCACGACGTAATAAAAGATTTATTAAATTTCTAGTAACATCTCTACCAGCGACATCCAATCTTCTGGTTAAATGATTTAAAACAACGGATTCATAAACTGGAACAATATGAGTAACCCCATCTCCAGAATCAACAACAACCCCAGAACTTAACCCTTGAGCGTATAATGCTAAAACGGCTTGAATGGCAACATAAACTCCACCAAATTGGTATTTTTCAAACATCACATCACACATAGTTTCTCTGTTTTTTAAAGGGTTCATTGGAGGTTCTGTTAATAAGATTTTTTCCCCTTGGGTTGGTATTTTCATTCGTTCATAAAAGGCATAATCCCATAAATGTTCCATATCTTCCCAATTCTTGATTATACCATTTTCCATAGGATAAGTTATTTGCAATAAAGATCTTACCTCACTTGCTTCTGAACCACACATAATATCCTTAATTTCAACATTGTCTGGAACCAAAAGATTTCTTTCTTCAGCTCTCAAAATCGGTCTACCAACAAGTGATGGGAATGTATGATCTGGGAAATTGGTACCTGCTCTACCAATCTTAACAAAACCAGTACCCTGATCAAGAACTATATCAAAGGTTAGTATCAATTGACTTTTACTAAAAGCAAAAAAAATTGTGATTTTAGCACATACCAATTGGCTGACCACTCATTTTCAATCTGTTTATTTGATTCTTAAATACAAAATTGCAATACTTTGGACCACAACAATAGCACTATCTCGAAGAATTGATGGATTACAAGCGATCAATCCAATTAAACTGCTGATTTATTATAACACCTGGAACTTTCCTAAGTTTTATCTACCAACTAAAGCTTTTTTCTGTTGTTCCAATCGGTCAGTCTATAAGTTATCGGTAGGTACACGTCCTGTTGTTTGGGTCTTTTGGTCTAAGCAACAATTTAGTTCTACAATACTAATATTATATGACATTAAATAAGAATATATTAACTGGATGGATTCATGTATGCAAAGGTCAAGTAGGAGGTATGGGTTTTGATTTCAGACTCGATTTTGGTGACTTGTCTCCAGTCGAAACGAGAGTCACCTTCCTTGACTCTAGTTCCTTTTCCAAAAGGATTGTATTCTTTTGGTTGCAAAGGTTTTTCAGTAAACGGTTCTGGGGTTTCGTCAGTGTCGACCTCATCTATTTTGCGTTTTGGCGGATTGACGTTACTGGCTCTTTTGCCTTCGATACCCATTTGTTTTCTGGATTGGATGTTTTTCAATCTTTTCACAACATCGTCTACCGACCTCACCATTTCTCTTCTGGCTTCCCATCTTCTTCCTTGCACTTCAACCATTTCTATATTGCTCCAGCCTTCGTCTTGTAAAGCCTTAACTGTCTTGTCTACTTGTTCAATGCAAGGAGAAAAACAACAGAGCCCAACACGCTTTTTATTGGTGATCACTGATTTTAAATTCTTAACTGCTATCCATGGAGAAGGTAAATCGAGGAATACGGCTTCTCCTTGAATTCCTCCTTCTTGGTCAAAACCTTGAGGAATGTTTTCCATATCAAATCCATCATTACAAACGTCTCTATGGGTGATCAAAGTATTTTGAGTGATGCCATGCTCTTCTAGTTCTCTTCTTGCTTCCAAGTATCTTGGTTCATGGAACTCATATGTGAACAAGCGACCATCTAACCCAATGGTTCTTGCAAATGAGTGGGTGAATGATGCTGAACCAGTTCCTGCTTCAATCACTCGACTCCCACTACAAACATTTAGTCTCTGGATAATATACGAAGAATCATGTGAGTAAACAATTTGAGTTCTATGCGGTAAGGAAATCGTCCAGAGCTCGGGTGACGGATGAAGTAAGTGGATGTACCCGTAATCGTTAATTCCTCCCATTTGTTGTCCGTATTTCATTCCAATCATCTTATCGTGGTCAAAATGACCGTATCTAGAATTTAATCGTTCGCCTCTTTTCACAGTAATAGGTTTGATTTGGTTTCGGCTTATAAACGCCAAAACCAAGTCTCCTTCCTCTATAACATCCTTATAGCCATAAAATGACATTCTAATCTTGCTTTCCTGGGAATATTCTAATTGTAAAAGTAGTTGAAAAATTGCAATTTTTCATATACGCTTTTTTTTTATCTCATCTCATCAATAAACCCGTGCATTTTCTCTAAAAATTGGACAAGCGATTTCCAAATTTACAGCTTGAATAGCCAATTGGACAATATTTGGTAGAATAGCTTCTTCGATAAGCTTTCTGTCGGTATTGGCAGGTTGCTTCACCTATAAACAGTACTCCGTAAGAGTTATACATAGCAAATTAGTCGTGTAAACACCCATACCTTTTGGAAAAAAATTTTGCGTGCGAGGAAATTGCCAAATTTTGCTTCAACTTGGGAGAGTTTTGACGTTGATATCAACAACAATACTCTTGATTGGATCTGTTATTAAGGAGAACTTCATTTGCACACTTGACAGAAGGCTGTACTTTTTTTCCATACGATATCAGATTTGAAAGAATGGCTTCAATACCTCAACAACAGCAAGCCTCGTCCGACCCAATGGGGTCCAATGCTGAAGATTTGTATTTGGAATCTTATGCTTTTACCACTGCTGCTGCTATTGTAGGTTCAGTTGATAGAAAAGTTTATGTTTTGTTGAGAGATGGAAGAAATTTATTTGGTATTTTAAGAACTTTTGACCAATTTGCCAATTTGGTTCTACAAGATACTATAGAGAGAATTTATCTTAATGACTCTCAAGTTGAATCAAAAGAGCCAAATAGATTTGGTGAAGCTTATAGAGGAGTTTTCTTGGTGAGAGGTGAAAACGTTGTTATGCTTGGTGAGTTGGATATCGATCAAGAAGATGATCATTTGGAATCTTTGCAACAAATTCCGTTTGAAGAAGCTGAAACTGAATTGAAATCTATTCATAAAGCTAAATTAAAAGAAGAAAAAATAAAAACTAAAAAACTTTTATCTAAAGGTCTTATTAATGATTTTGTTAAATCAGATTTATATTAATACTTTATTATTATGTTTGGTACTATATTATAACGGTTATGTGCTCATGTTACTGTATTTTAATCTCTTTTTTTTTCACTTTATTTCAAAGTTTAGCCTTTCTTTTTCAATTACTTAACTTGCTTATTTCGGGGAAATAATCAGTTTTTATATTATGATACTTACTTTTTTTTTTTTTTTTGCTTTTTTTGCCTTTTTTGGACTTTTTTTTTTGCAGTCACCATATAGATAAATATATTTACATCAAGTGTACATCAAGTGTATTCATATCAAGCGTCATATGTATTCATATCAAGCGTCATATGTATTCGTATTATCTTTTTGCTATATATGCTACTTAAAGTTTTGGGAAGTTTTTGTAATTCTCGAAAAATTGATCAGCTTCTTGATACTTCTTAGCATGGTATCTTCCTAATTGATTCAAATGAGCTTCGTCAGGTCCGTCAGCAATTCTTAATGTTCTTGCATGAGCGTACATTCTTGCTAACTCGACATCTTGAGAAACCCCTTCTGCACCAAAAACTTGAATAGCCCAATCTAAAATTTTGAGAATAGTTCTAGGAGTTTCAATTTTGGCCATAGCAATATCTTGTTGAGCCACTTTAGCATTGGATATATCAATTTTATGAGCAGCATTCAAAACTAATAAACGACAGGATTGAATATCAATTTTGTTTTGAGCAAAAGCATTAATAAATGACTCTCTTTGATTCATTGGCTTTCCAAAAATAATTCTATGATTGGCTCTTTGGTTTGCCCTTAATAATGCAAATTCACCTGCTCCAATTAATCTCATACAATGATGGATTCTACCTGGTCCTAAACGAGATTGAATTAATTCAAATCCCCTTCCTTCAGAAGCAAGAATAGCATTTGGAGTGTCTTCTGTTGGCACTTCATAGTCATCAAACATTACTTCACAATGACCGTGTGGAGCATCGTCGTATCCAAATACTGTCAATGGTCTAATTAATCTTGCTTTCCCAGAACTCAAAGCTTTCTTTGCATCTAATACCAAGACCGTATGATTCTTATAAGCTTCTTTACCAGATTTATCACTGGTTTTACACATTACTAACCAAACAGCACATCTTGGATCACCGGCACCAGAAGCAAACCATTTGACCCCATTCAAAACGTAATTCCCCTTTGAGTTCAATTTAGCAGACACCGATATATTCAAAGCATTGGAAGAGGAAGTACCCTTTTCAGTCATGAGAAAGGCAGAACGAATCTCCCCGTTAAGTAAAGGATGAAGCCACTTCTTCTTTTGATATTCAGTCCCAAATTTAGCGAAAAGCTCCATATTACCAGTATCTGGAGCATTTGTATTGGTAGCTTCTGGAGCTACAAATGACCTACCAAGGTATTGAGCCATCAATCCATATTCTAAATTAGTAAATCCCGGTCCTTCAGGGTAGTGATTCGACAAAAACATATTCCAAAGACCCAATTCACGAGCTTTCACCTTAAGCTTTTCGGTGATCTCTGGGGTCGATTTCCATCTTGTTGCTGGATCATCAGACATTTGCTTGAAATAAAGCTCATCTGCTGGCAAACAGTAATCATTCACAAAATCTTTGCATTTCTGAATTGCATCCAACCCTTTTGGTGAAATTTTATCTAAGAAAATAGCAGGAATATCCTCTTTAATCGACATTTTGTCAGTATAGTTTCGAAGAATTGAGTTATCCAAATGAATGGAAAGGGGATTCTCCGGATTTAAATATTTTTCAAATTATCCTTGACGGATGGAGATAACTCTGAAATCAAGTTTTGAACAGTTTTTTTGATCCAGAACTTTTCGGTTCTAACTGTACCCCGCAAAAATAGGTACGGGTTCTTCTTCTTTTTAATTTTGCAGTTTAACTTCTCCGGTTTGCATGTTGTTATTTTGCAGGTTTTGTTTTTATAAACTGCAAATGATACTCGCTAGACAAGAGGAGGGCAAATCGAAGTTGACCATCAAAAGTAACTTTTCGATATCAAGCTCTTATCCATTATAGACACGTTTAGACTTTGAAACGAAGCATCCATCATGAGTGAATTTGATTCTGATGTCCCAAAAATCCCTGATTATACTTTATCGGAAAAGCAATTCCTTTTATCAAAGAATCTTGATAACGCTGGCCACCGTGAAGAGTTAGTCAAAGAACTTCTTGAATCAATCAAAGAGAAAAAATTGGCACCATATTATAAATATTTGACATCTGAGTTACCCGAAATAGTGAAATTCGATCAAGCTTTGTATAGTTCATTAAAAAGTGAAAACGAAAAACAAATTGCTGAGTTGAATAAAAAGATTAAAGATGCAGAAGAGGATGATGAAACTAAAGATGAAATCTTACCTTCTACTATCCGACTTGCCGAGTACTACACTGAGATCATTGATAAGCAAAATGCTATTGCCACTTATAAAAAAGCTTTAGAATTGACTCAAAGCACTGGTTCTAAGATTGATATTTTATTGACTTTAGCTAGAATTGAATTTTTCTTCAATGATTATCCTGCAGTGGCCAAATACTTGGATCAAGTCAAGGCTCAAATCGACAAAGGTGGTGACTGGGAACGTCGTAACCGTTATAAAACTTATCATGGTATCTACTTGTTGGCTACAAGAAATTTTTCTGAGGCCGCTAAATTATTAATTGATTCCTTAGCAACTTTCACTTCCACTGAAATATGTTCTTATGAACAAGTTGCTCATTATTCTATTGTTGCCGGTGTATTATCCTTAGATAGAGTTGATCTTAAATCGAAGATTATCGATTCTCCAGAAATTTTATCCATTTATTCATCCACTTCATATTTGGAACCTTTAATCAATTTAACAAACTCTTTATACACTTGTCAATATAATTATTTTTTCCAATATTTATTGGAAACTCATGATAAATTGTTATTGACCAACAAATATTTAAACCAACATGCAAATTATTTCTTAAGGGAATTGAGATGTAAAGCATATGGTCAATTATTAGAAAGTTATAAATCCTTATCCTTAAAGTCAATGGCTAGAAATTTCAGTATTAGTGAGGAATTTTTGGATCAAGATTTATGTAAATTCATACCAAATAAAAAATTGAATTGTACCGTTGATAAAGTTAACGGTATCATCGAAACAAATAGACCTGATAATAAGAACAGCCAGTATCACTTATTGATTAAGCAAGGTGATAACTTATTGACCAAATTGCAAAAATACGGTGCCGCAGTTAAATTAAGTGGTGCTGAACGTGTTGCCTAATCACATAATTTCATATTAAAAGGTTTTTGTAAAATAAATATAAATAATCAGATTATTTTACTTGTAGATCTAACTAATTACACCGTCATAGCTAATATACTAGTGTCAGTAGAGGAAAAAAAATGCAAAAAAAATAATGAAGGATGCGAGGTTCGAACTCGCGCGGACAACTGTCCAGCAGATCTTAAGTCTGCCGCCTTAGACCACTCGGCCAACCCTCCATTTCATGGAAGCTGAAATAACATGGTTTTATATACTGGAACTTTTAAAATTAAATAAAATATTTGCAAAGAAAAAAAAACGTTCAAAGGGCTGTTTTTCTGGAATTACTTATCACCTGTTATTTGTATATTTCAAAAATTTTTAGCAACAGCTTTATTTCGAGCAAGATAGTCTTTCACAGAATTTTTTTTGCTCTTTTTTATGCCAAAACCCAGGTGATTCATTTGGCTGGGGATTAATTTGTTGACATCCACCTTATAATACCTCGATTGCCAATGGACATAAGTGCAATTTTTTGGCATTGCTTCCTTTGGTTCTCTATTTCAACAGCCCAAAACTTAGAGCCAAATTTGAATTTAGTAATTGACCTGCCTGGCCGTTTACTGATGGTAACAATAGATAAAAAATCAGGCTCATTATTGCTAATAAGCTTCTCTCCGTCTCACCTAACGGACCTTTTTTAGATTCCTAAAAGACAATACGATCATGGATCTAAACGATGGAAAAAATTTCTACAAAAGCAATCACTTCAACAGAAAATAGCACTGGAAGTTAAATCGCAAAGCCCTACTGGATATAAGTAGAATCTCTAAGGATTCAAAATGATTCAAAACACTCCAGAACAATGGTGAAAAGAACGTTATACTAAATATCCTGATAATGGAATCATTTCAAATTGTTATCCAGATTACATACAATCTGCGTCATCCAAGCCCAGAATAGAGTAATATAAGAAGATTTACAAGGCATTCCCAGCCTTCAACGCTTACAATACCTCGACCTTAGTTATACAAAATCATGACTATGTACTTTTTAACTGAAATCGAGAAAGACGAGTGTTGGCTACTGCTCAATTCTTCCAACTGATTATTTGGGTGCGACTTTTGGAGATCAAAGTAAAAAAACTGCAAAAATCTAAAAAATCTTCTCAGTTGAATAACCCTGATTGATACGGCTATCCTTTCAAATAGCATTGAATGAACCCCACCTTTGAGATGAAGGACTGACACCTCGAAGCACTGTTTCGAAGGTGGCAAACCTTTATTTGAGTAATGAACCAAAATCACCCAATCCCCAATGTAGACGAGAACAGCATATGATTCAGGATGCTCATTGACTTTAGTTTCGATCGTTTACTCCTTGAGTGAATGGTTGCCAAAAAATTACCAAAAAGATAAATACAGACATGTGAAACTTGCACGCAGATTCGAATCCATTGCAACTGCTGATGTCAGTAAGCGACGGGTGAAAGCAACATAAAATAACCACGCTTATTTGAAGTATAACGAATGTTACAAGCACGGAAAAACCCAAAACCCAAAGAACAAAAGAAGAAAATAACAAAAGCTTCAAGCTTTGAGCCAAGGCATGTGAAAAGGTGTTTTTCTTAAGCCAGACAATTCAGTTGATCTAAAAAGGCTGCAACAATTACTGGCCTGACCCAAGAGGAATCAATTTGGAATCATATAAATATCACACCAATTTACTCAAAAAAATCTTTATAGAGAACAATTTCAAAGAAAGATGGCAAAAAAAACAAGAGAAGAGTTAATTGAAGATTTTCAATCAGAATTGATTGATTTAGTTTCCATGACAATTGAAGTCGAGGGATATTCCAAGTCTTTAGAGTATCACCCTGAGATGGAAGATTTGCCGCAAAGATTGCATTTCATCCTTCCCGAATACTCTACATACTATCTAATAATTACTTACAAAGTGAAAAGCAGAGCATTAAAGAAACTCACTTATTCTCAAGTAGTTAAGAAACATGGCATTCCTTTTGCATCAAGAGACTTGCACATGAATGATCATGCTGAGGTTAACACTGAAGAAAAACCAACTCATCTGGTCCGCTTCCCTCCCGATAAATTACCCGGTGGTCGTTTAATCAGAGGTACTTATCCTGCCCATTCCAAATTCTATGAAGAGGGTAAGACAATTTTCAGTTGTGATTGGCTAATTGAAGTTGTCAAAAAGGACGAGCAACCAAGAATTGGTGGTTTCAACTAATGAATGTTTAACGAATAACCACATTTGACCTAACTTCCCTTTTAATCTCCCTCTCTCTCTTATCTATATGTTCAATATATATGTATATTTCATTGTCATAGTTCGTATAGGTCACATGCCGTCTATCTCTGTCTCTCCATTTTTTTTTTGCACCCTTACACCAGTTCTACCTAATCAGGGCGCGGATGACTATATATTTGCCCTTATTAATTTGTTACAGCAACATATTATCAGATAACCACAATTGTATTATCTGATTCTTCTTTAGTTTAGTCGACTGATTAACTACTTTTGATACCTCAGCTTGTCGAATCGTTGAGAGATTGACAAGAAGTGCTTGCATTTAACTATATTTCCCCCATCCCCCGGTGCAGTGGTTTGATCTTTTTGATAAGCTTATCGAACTGAGAGTATTGGGATTTAGTATTTTGATTACGAAAAACAACCATGAGTTCTTCCAAAAGACGGATTGAAAAGGATGTTATGGATCTTATGATGAGTGACCATGAGGTTAGTCTCATAGAAGATTCCATCCAACAATTTTTTGTTTTATTTAATGGTCCAAAAGATACCCCTTATTCCGGAGGAGTTTGGAAAGTTCGAGTTGAATTACCAGATCAATATCCATTAAAATCTCCGTCCATTGGATTCATCAACAAAATATACCACCCTAATATCGACGAAACGTCTGGGTCGGTTTGTCTCGATGTTATAAACCAAACCTGGTCCCCTATGTTTGGTTTATTAAACATATTTGAGAACTTTTTACCCCATTTACTTAGATATGCTAACCCAAGCGATCCTTTGAACACCGAGGCTTCCAATTTAATGAATAAAGACGAAAAAAGATATACTGAAACAGTTAAGAAATATGTCAATCAATATGCTAAGAACATTCTGATCGACGAAGATGACGAAGCCGAAAATAATGAAGCCAATGATGAAGATGATGAACTTAGTGATGTAGGAAGCTTATCTAGTGACGATGATGAAGATGAAGGCGATGATCAATGACTTTTTTGGTCCAAACTATTTATGAATATTACCGATTTTTCTTTTTTTCTTTATATATAACAACACTTGAACAAATGGAGTTTATCTAGTTTCATTTCCTTATCAAATTTTCAATTGAACCGGGTATTACCAGTCCATTGCATTTACTTATCCGATTACAGTTATAGTCATATAATATCTACATATGTAATAGAATAACTTACTTTAAAACTCGTGTAGTTTATATAACGGGAACGTTTTTAGATAAATATTCGTAATATTTCGGCGTTGGTCTATGCTTCAATAAATCTTCAATTGCAGAAGCATACTTTATTAAATCTGGCTCACCCCAAGCTGTTTGCATAATACCTAGTCCATATGGCATTCCGTCTTGGTCAACGTCAACCGGAATCGTTACCATGGGATATCCTGCTTTGGCGGCTTGCTGGTATGTTATGCCATGACTTGATGGTACGAGTAATCCATCAAGCTGGAAATTCTCTCCGGTATTTGAATCAGTATAATTAAGAGCATAATCAATTCCCTCATCTCGAGAGGTCCTATGAACAAATTCAATTGCCTGGTAATACGTTTCATTTTTGATTCCTCCCCATTCCAAAGAAGCTAAAAACCCATCTTGGCCTGATTCAAAAGCAGGATGTGTTCCGGGATTACCACCTTCCGTTCCATCATTGGCATAATTATAATCAACCAAATCCTGCAAAGTTCTCATTTGGGTGTTTTCAAGTTCCGATAAATAGCTTTCAATATTATTATAAAAATCAACTTTTACTATAGTATACTCCGACTCATTAACTCTACCGAGTTTCCAATCCCAGCCATCATCGGATATTACATCTAAATTACCAAAATTAGTATTGTTATAAATAGTAGCTCCAGCTTGTTCTAACCTTTTAATGGTTTCTAGTAATCTTTCCACCATACTTTCATCTGCATATGACCATAACTTCTCCCATGGAAGGCCAAATCTGGCTCCTTTCAAAGCTGATTGGTCGGATAAAAACTTCAAGTAATCACCATCTGGTGGAGTCTTCCCGGTCTGAGCAAAAGTATAATTATCTCTTTCATCAACACCAAACATGTGCTGAAGAACATAAACTGCATCTCTAACCGTCCTAGCCATAGGTCCTGTTGTATCCTGGTGTTCGGATTCTGGTATCACCCCATTACGAGAGGTTAAACCTACAGTTGGTTTGAAACCAACAATCCCATTCAATACAGATGGAGATATAATACTACCATCAGTCTCGGTACCTAACGAGAACATAATCATATTAGCTGCAGCACTCCCTCCGCTACCAGTAGAGCTTCCACCGCTTATCTTGGTCAAATTATAGGGCGATCTTGCTTGTCCCCCAACAGCTGAATAGCCTTCACTATAGTCACTTGATCTCATATCAGCCCATTCAGATAACGTAGCATGTCCAAACAAAACAGCTCCTGCTTCTCTTAATTTATGTACTACGAAGCTATCTCTAGGTACAACATTACCCAACAAGGCATTAGATCCACACGTAGTTTGCATCTTATCTTTGGTAGCAAAATTATCCTTGACTATAAACGGTATACCATGTAAGGGTCCTCTAACTATACCCTGCTCGCGTTCTTCATCCATGCTAGCACTAATGGAGAACATATCTGGATTTAGCTGTTGAATGCCATTGACAAAATCATTAATCTGGAAATATCTCTCGAGGTAACAATGAACTAGGTCGACACTGGTCAAAGTCTTATTTTCCATGTACAACTGCAATTCGTCGATGGTGGCCTCTTCTAATACTATACCTCGACATAAAGGCATAGGAAAGAGATCAGAGGATTGGGTCTGTGGGAAGCTAAATTCAGAATCATTTAATTCCTGAGATTGAATGCTGTTATTCAATACTGTTAGCCTAATATCAGGCTTGATTACCAGAGCTAAAGCTGGAACCAAAAAAATTATAAACACAAGCTCAAAAAACATGATTCCAATGCTCAACCAAACAGAATCCCGCGATGTGATTTTCAGCTTACTTTATAGTTTTTTGCAATTAAACTTTGGTTGAGATCTAAAGCTTATCACAACGTAATGAAACCGATGCGAAATAAACTTCCACCTTTCTCTTTTGATAAGATATGCGGAATACTAAACCGATTTCAGGGACAAGGATGGACAACCCGGTATAGCATGTCACCACAGGTAGATCAGTGATCAATGCATCGGTCCCCAATATCCTCTTCAACTCCATTTCACCAAAAGGAAATGTTGATCCATAATAGAAATAGGTGCAAAAGAATTCGAGACAGAGTGTGCACCTTACAAAAACCTATTTTTCAAATGGTATTGGGGCTGATCGGGTAGCAAAGCAAGTGAATAAGTGTTTCAAGAAGTCTACTTATTCATCCAATTGAATACTACAAAACACTGAAGATGATAAAAAGTAGCTCAATTCGTCTTTTGAGCCTAAAGCTGGCTAATTTCCCTAAATCCTATTCCACTTACAAAGCACTGCAAGTATTGCAGAACCTAAAGAATCCCGAGTTATTGAAAACAGGTGGATTTATAAATGGTGAATGGATAACAAGTAAGAACACTTTTGAAGTTACTGATCCGGCTTTGTATCCCAAGCCTGAATCGAAGCTTGCCGATGTGTCGTCCTTTTCTGTAAGTGATTATAACATTGCAATTGAAGCGGCTTCAGAATCATTCTATGAATTCCGAAAGACAACGGGTAGATATAGAGCTGAATTATTGAGCAATCTTTATCGTCTAATGAAGGAAAATCAAGAAGATTTAGCTAAAATCATTGTGCTTGAAAATGGGAAGCCTTATGCTGATGCATTTGGTGAGATAACCTACGCTGCTTCTTTCTTTCAATGGTTTTCAGAAGAATCTGCCAGAGTCAATGGCGATATTATCCCTTCTGCAAATGCAACAAGTAAGATTTTGGCTTTGCGTCAACCGATTGGACCCTGTGGTATTATTACTCCTTGGAACTTCCCTTCCGCTATGATTACTAGGAAGCTTGGTGCCGCTGTTGCCGCTGGTTGCACAACTGTAATTAAACCTGCTTCTGAAACTCCATTGAGTGCTTTAGCTTTGGCCCATCTTTCTGAGAAAGCCGGTTTTCCTAAAGGGGTTGTTAATGTATTACCAAGCGCAACCTCTGCCGAGGTTGGTAAGATTCTCTGTGAACATCCTTTAATTAAGAAAGTGTCTTCTACTGGATCTACTGGAGTTGGAAAGTTATTGATGGCCCAGTCGAGCTCAACCTTGAAGAAGCTTTCGTTCGAATTAGGTGGTAACGCCCCTTTTATAGTTTTCGAAGATGCTGATCTTGATAAGGCTGTCGATGGAGCAATTGCTTCCAAGTTCCGCAGCAGTGGTCAAACTTGTATCTGCGCTAATAGGCTTTTTATCCACGACTCTTTGTATGATGAATTTGTTAAAAAGTTTGTTGATAAGTTATCCAAAACTACTTTAGGATTTGGATTAGATGAGAAAACAACACACGGTCCAGTGATCCATGAGAAATCCATGTCTAAAGTTAGATCGCATATTGAAAATGCTGTTGAGAAAGGTGCCAAACTCCTATTAGGTGGAAAAAGACGTGAAGATATTGGTGAAAATTTTCACGAACTTACTGTCCTTGGTGATGTCACCCCTAAAATGAAGATTTTTCACGAGGAAACCTTTGGTCCCGTGGCACCTTTGACTAGATTTAGTTCTGATGAAGAGGCTCTTTCTTTGGCCAATGATACAGAAGTTGGATTAGCAGGCTACTTTTATTCTTCTGATATATCCAAAATCTTCAAAGTTGCGGAAAATTTAGAAGTTGGTATGATTGGTGTCAATACTGGTGCCATTTCCGAAGCAGCTATGCCATTTGGTGGTGTCAAAGAAAGTGGATTTGGAAGGGAAGGTTCAAAGTTTGGTATCGAAGATTATACTATCGTAAAAAGTGTTGTATTGGGTGGTTTGGAGAACTAAAGATAATTATTATTTAATATACATATTTTATACAAACGAAAATCATTGTAGTTATAAATCATTCTGGTGACTGGTTTTCAGATGTTTGATCGGTTATCTCACCTTCCAATTGACCAAGGGGAAACAGCTGAGCCGTTTCTTGGACGAGTGTTTCATTAAGCAAAGCGGTATGATCTTGTACGAGCAGAGAGTCACCAGGAATATCAGATTCTCCAGTTACCTGTGGTAATTCAAAGTTTTCTCCACCTTGGCTCAGTTCTTGAATTGGAGCAGGTTCATCCTGGACTCCCGCGTCTTGAGTACTTGCCAATTCTTCTTTTCTTCTTTCATAAGGTGTCATATCAATATTCTGCACATCTTCAAATCTATCAATTTTGATCCTTTGTAAATCAAGTTTTTTCACGAATTCAAAGTCACTTCGATTAAAATTTAAAGTGACATCTGGCTTCTCGCTTTTATAATAATCGATAACTTTAGGACCATAACTCTCAGGGAGTTGTTTCCCTTTTAATTCATCATCTAAAAGCGAGTTTAAAAATTCAACTTTTTCGTCAGTTGAGTGATTTCTAATACCACTGGATTCTTTTGCTGTACGTACTTCATTCTTTAACTTTTCTATCAGTTCCGGAGTGACATAGTCTTTTTCTGTTATTCTCATGGGCTTAAATTCTTCATCCTTAATCAATGCATTACGGACTAAGTCTAGTCTTTCAATATACTTCAGCCCAAATATCGATTTATAAGTGACTGCTTTAAAATTACCGCCAACCAAGTCACCACTGTATATGGAATATACTGGAGCATAAGATGCTCCTTCTATTGACTTCTCAGGATACTTAGCGGCAGGAACCGTGTAATGTCCTGATTTGTTCGATATCTTTTGTCTTTTATTGTGTTGAGACATTCTATGATTCATCCTTGATGGTTAGTGATTTGCAGACTTTTATTTACTTTCATTTCAAAAAACAAGTCGAGAAAACACAGGAAATGAAAAATTACACACACAAAAAATGTACGGGTCTTAAGATACTACAGTATAGCTAGTTTAACGCAGAATAGTAAATGTTCATAATAATAACAAGGGAAGCATTTAAGTAATACACAGCTAAAGCTTTTCTATAGTACAGTCAACCTTCTTCGAAGATTGATAAGAATTGAAAAAGTGAGTTAAAATTAAGAGACTTAATTTGTTATTGTTTCCATGAGCGATTCTTCAATACCATCTAGTAAACCATCGATATCTTCAACTTTCAAACCACAGCTTAGACTGATAAGTTTTCTATATTTATACATTTTGGAATCAATGCCATGGCTTTTAATTTTATTTATTATACCACTGATCAAATGGTTTCTTTCAACTTGTAGTTTCGACAAATTAATGGCTTGTTTAATTTTTTGTTCATCATCATCATCAACATCTTCTTCACCCTCATAGTTCTTAACTGCAATGGATATATCTGATGCTTGGATTTTTTCGATATGATTAAGTAATTGATGTTCTTTATTGGACAAATTTTGTTCTAAATTATTAGTTTCTTGTTTCAAAAGATTCTTGCCTTGTTCAATTGATTCAAAGTCTTCAAAACCATATTTATTTAAAATGATTTTTATTTTATCAATGGAAGATTCATTTGAAACTTGTTTTTCAACAATAATTTTTTGAATTCTTTTTGTCTCTTTATTAAGGAATTTAATTTCTTGTTTATAGTTGTCACCCAAGGAATTAATCATACCCGTCATCATACAAGATAAATCTTTGAAAGGTAATTTAACGTTTTCATCATCATCGTTTTCATCATCATTATTATTTGATTTAACATCGATGATTCTGCCTTCTTCATCTAATTTAGGTGGTTTAGGATTATAATTGACGGAAACATCCAATTCTTTTTTCACTTTTTTAGAATCGACAACTGGTTTTGCTGGAGTACTTTCAGCAGTACGTTCGGAAATAACAGCCAATGGTTGATGAATATTAGACGAAGTATAAAAACTATTTTGACTTTTTGGAGTTGATATAGATTCATAAGATTTAAAAGTATCATCAATAAATAAATTTTCTTTATTATCTTCAGATTTAGTCAAAGTATCTAAATGTTCTTTATTAACTCTATCAATATTAACGTCATCATCTAAATCATCATCTTGAACTGTAGTTTTTTGAGTATCGGGAGTTTCAGCATTACCAAATTTAGGTTGAATAGGAGTAGCCAAAGCATTGTTTTCTTGAGAATAAGATTGACGTTGATTAATTGGAGGAGCAGGCCGAAGAAAATCATCACCTAAAAGATTTAATTCAGCAATAATCATTTTAGAAGTTTCATTGTTTACATTAACCAAATCATCTCTAGCACCGTAATTTAATAAGATTTTAACTAATTTATCACAACCAGCTCTTGCAGCTAAATGTAAACAAGTATCGCCATTAACGTCTTGATGATCGAGAACATTTTTAATTAAATTGACTGAATTAGCAGAATTTTGATCCGTTAATTTTGTTAATTTATTAAGAATATGTTCAAGATAATAATTTAAACTTTCGAATTTAGATTTAACTTTTGAAAATTGACTCAAATAATGTAAAGGAGTTCTTCCATTTATATCAGTATTAATTAAGCATAATTCTAAATCATCTAAAACTTTTGCAAAATTTTTTAATTCATGACAATTATTAAAAGAAATTAATTTTGATAAAGGATTAAGACCATAATTGTTAACTACTAGGGGGTTAGCTCCTTTGGTGATCAATAAATGAATCATAAGATGGTTACCGATGGAGGAAGCCCAATGTAAAGGAGTATGACCTTCATCATCGATTGCTTCATTAATATTAAAATCAAAAGGAGGATTATGAACAAAATAAGGAATTTGAGAGTTATCATCACTGAAAAATCTTAATAATTGAGCCGCGTATGAATTATCATCGTCACTTTGAGGTTGATAGACATCTTTTGATTTTGTTAAAGGTAAATGAGAATGATGAGCGTTTGATTCCGTTGAGGACATTGAAGTATCTGATTCTCTTAAAGGTTCTTCCTGAGACCAATTAGTATCATTAGTTGATTGAGAAGAAGGAACTTTTGGTTGTTGGTATTGATGACGGAAATGGCCCATCATTTGAGGTGGCATATTAGACGGTATTGAATTTTGAGGGGGGAATTGATACAGTAAAGGTGGTTGCAGTCTACTTGGTTGTTGCTGCTGCTGTTGCTGTTGCTGTTGCTGTTGTTGAAATCTTTGATATTGCATTTGGTAATTATGGAAATCATTTTGTACCGATTGGTTATCAGCAGGATAAGTATTTACCCCATTAACCCCAATGAAATTTGCTTGTTGGAAAGTTGGAGGTAATTGATTAATAGAAAACCCATTTGGGTTTTGAGAAGCCATTGGAGAATTAGAAACTTGCTGGCCTAAGTGAGAAGCGTCCCTTGATAAAGTAGCAAATGAATTTTGAGAATTGTATAAATCACTTGACGATTGCGATTGAGATGTTTGAGCTTGGTTCAACTGTAATTGAACATCAGCTTTTTTCAATTTTTTAGTTGGGGTTTCACCATCCTTTTTAGCCTTTTTAGTATATTTTCTTTTAACTGGGGTTCCATCTTTACCAATAGCTGAACCACCAACTGGTTTAACTTTTCTTGGAATATTCAAATTTGTAAAATCAAGATATAGAACCGGTGCCATCTCTGGAGAAAGACCATAATTACCAGCCAATCTAAGTGCGTCTGGTAATGGGATCCAAGTACCTTGAAATCTACCGTAACCACCTTGAATTTTTTCATGTAACCCTTGTTGAACTCCTTTTTCCAAGATTTTAGTCCGTTTAGCTTTGGGAAAATTACAGCATTTCAAGATTTGGGTTGCATTGACCCAGTCATCCTTGCATCTTCTCATAAGCGGACAACTGTTTATCTGACATTCATACACGTCAGTCTAATATAAGTTAGTAATTTGATTCCACAACGCGTTTCAATCATAGCAAGTTATAAATGAAATATCCATATATATATCCATATCCGTATGGCCACACTTCAGAATACATACGTTTGAATAGGTGGCAATATAAACGCCATTTGGTTCTAAGGACATTGCTGAAAAGGCACAAGTCAATCCAGTTCTAAAGAAAAGAAGTTCAATGTTGTTTTCAAAACTGGAGAAGACTTTTGAAAGGGTCGAGGATAGAAAAATTCACTGCTGAACCAGAAGAAAAAAAAAAAAAAAAAAAAAAAAAGCCTGAGAATTCCTTTGGGCGGGTTTGGCAGCACAAAGGATTTTGCTCTTTTGATGGTTTTCGTCGCTTTTGGTAATTACTCTGTTCCTTTGGCTGGGGTTACAAGGGCCACTGGACTGGCTCAAGGGCAGCATGGGCGACTGGAAGGCAGAGACCAGTGTGGATGAAGTATTACTGGTGATATCCAATTGGAATCACCAGGAACGGATTTCCTGCACTCAATTTACCCAAAAGAAGCTCTAAAGGACGCGTCTGTTCCAGTGACGTAGTACAATATATAGCTAGTATTATAGTTATAGTGTTATAGTTATAGTATTATAGTTATAGTATTATAGTTATAGTATTATAGTTATAGTATTATAGTTATAGTGTTACAGTTATATTATTACAGTTATAGTATTATAGTTATAGTATTATAGTGATAGTATTATAGTTATAGTATTATAGTTATAGTATTACAGCTATAGTATTACAGCTATAGTATTATAGTTATAGTATTATAGTTATATTATTACAGTTATATTATTACAGTTATAGTATTATAGTTATAGTATTATAGTGATATAGTATAATAGTATAATGGTGTGGATAGATAGTAAGTATTAAACACTAGAGGTAGCCTTCCGCTTTCAATTGAACAGCCATGTCGTTGACGGTTTTGGTGGTCAATCTAACAATCTCATCAACGTCGCTTTCTTGAATGATGAAAGCCGGAGCAAGACACATATGGTCTCCGACCTGGTTGAACCCACCTTGGGCACCCATCACGGTAAGACCATTTTGGAAAGCCTGGGCTTGGATTCTAAGGGCAACTTTTGCTTCCAATGGGAAAACATCATTATCAGGAGTCCCATTTTTACCAAATTCAATTGACCAAAACCCCCCGATTCCACGTACATCAACAACAATCGGATTATCTTTTAAGGCTTCGTGCAATTTAGTACCCATCAAATTACCCATCTTAAAGATATTTTTGGTGAGTCCCAATTGCTTAATATATTGTTGAATTTTTAATGCTGCCAAACAATTGAAAGAATGGGAGGCATAAGTATGAGCACCAATAACTGCTCCAGATCCTTCCAGATACGCTTTTTGGATCTTATTACCAATAAGAACCCCGGCAATGGTGATATACCCAGAACCCAATGTTTTACCAATGGTTTGAATATCGGGAGCCTCCTGGGGACTTAAATAATTTTCCCAACAGTGTAATCCATAACCAGATGGGGGGTTGGCCCGACCAGTACCACACATCACTTCATCTAAATAGAAGACAATATCGTACTTGTTACATAATCTCCGGACTCCTGGTAAGTAGCCAGCGGGAGGTGGCACGGTACCAATAGAACTTCCTGGCAAGGTTTCCAAAATAATGGCGGCCACGGTATCGGGTCCCTCTTTCAAAATAAGACTTTCCAAATTATCAAGTAATTGCTCAACATAATTTTCATCCGATTGTCCCTTCTGCTTATAACGAAATGGATAACAAACATCAGTTTTAGGAGTGAGTTCTTTTGGTAATAAGATATCCTGGAAAAGTTTTGCTCTTGAATTGGCTCCAATCGAAAGTGATCCAAGGGTAAATCCATGGTAGCATGTTGATCTACTAATGAATTTATTTTTCTTAGGTAAATTACGTTCTAAGAAATATTGTTTAACTAATTTCATTGCATTTTCATTTGCTTCTGATCCCGATCCAAGAAACAATGAACTTGTGAATACTCCTGGGGGTGAATTATCAATTAAAAACTTGCCTAATGCTTCTGCATTCTTATTGCAATGGTAGGGTGAATAAGAATAATGGCATTCTCTCACTGAATTAGCCACTAATTCAATGGCGGTCTCATCGCCCCATCCAAGTGCTCCAACGGCCGCTCCAGTCATACCATCGAGGATTCTTCTTCTTTCTCCGGTCTCAGCATCTTCTACTATAAGATAACACCCGTCTCCTCCAACTGCATGGGGGAGCTGTTTATTAACTGTACTTTGGAAAACATAAGATGTTTGTTTAGTAGGTGGCTCTGGAGAAACTGAAGTTTGTGGTGTAGAATCAATGGACATTATCACGATAAAGTCGAATACACCAACCCCTGACCCTTGAACGTACTAACCCTTCTATTTATCTACAATCTACTCTCTATCTACTCTGTTCTGATAAGGACCTAATGCTGATAACAGCGACTAATTTTCCGCATCGGGAACCAGTTTTTTGCAGTCTATCAAAAATCGGGTCTTCTTTTGGTTAACCGAATGCGCTATCGCTATCTATTCCATTCTGGAGCTACCGGTTGTTATCAAGAGAGAGAGGAGTTGCGTAAGTCTAATCATAACTATAAATGATGAGAGAGCTTACTTCGACTTTTCAAACCGTTCCAGACAAGTCACGAAAGTCTGGGTTTCTTGTGACCTGGAAATCTATCGAACACGGATTGAGTCTCGAAACCCTTCTAGTAGATAAGTGCAACTATTATTTGACATGATTCCTTCAGAGTAACACGATTTTCAGTAGAAAAGAATAACCGATCCTGTCTGTCTGTCTGTCTGTCTACTTGTCTGTCTGTCTGTCTATCTGTCTGTCTATCTATCTGTCTATCTGTCTACTTGTCTGTCTACTTGTCTGTCTACCTCTTTTTATCTAGATATGTTTTGACTATGTTTTGACTATTTTTGTTTTTTTTCTGTTTTTCTGTTTTTTTTTTTCTGTTTTAGATATCTATTGTCTATGTTCGTCTCATCTGCTTAAAGATCTGGTAACATCCCTTCAGAACCAGGTCACCCGTTGTCCGAAGTCTAGGGTAGCGTCCCTAAAGGTGTCCTGCGATGGACCATTACATAATCCATCGATTAACATGAAATATCTTCACGCACGATGCCCTTACAAAAAAGAACGAAAACCAAATATCTAATCTAACAATGCGTAACAAACCCCATGCACCACCAGGAAACTTGATCATCGCAGCCAGTTGATAACCATTATTTCTCTTTTTCTCGAACCTTACGTGTTTTCTTGTTTAATCTGGTATAATTCTACTCCTCTTTAGCCATATCCATATATAAGTTGGGCGTTTTCATCTTTGAAGAAGAAAAAAAAGAAAAAGAAGAACGCTTAAGTATACGGGATGACTGTTAAAAATAGTCCGGATAGCCGTTTAGGGATAAAACAACCAAACATCAAAGAGGTCACTGGGACCATTGTTATGTTAGATGACCCAGAGGAAACCAAGTCCAATGCTGCATCCTCTGTTAATACGTCCAACCATGATTCACTTAGTTTGAAAAGAACTAACACTGGGATAATTCTTCATCCTCAGCCTCATGATGATCAAAATGATCCATTAACTTGGCCAACTTTACGAAAAGATATCTGTTTTGCTGTTATTGGTTTACAAACTTTCCTCGGTGGTGGTCAAACCCCAGTTTTAGCCGCTGGATTATCTCAGTTATCAAAAGAATTCGATAAACCTTTACATACCGTTACTTATTTGGTCGGGGGGTTTATGTTGGCTTTAGGAGTCGGTTCAGTTTTTGCAAGTCCAACTGCTATCTTATACGGTAAAAGATTTGTTTATCTTTTGGGGATTGTATTATTTTTAGCGGGTTCCTTATGGGGGTCATTTCTGAAAACTTTTGGTAGTTTAATGGGCGCTCGTATAATTATGGGATTTGGTGCTTCTCCTACAGAATCTTTAGCTTCTGCAAGTTTATCGGAGCTTTATTTCCAACATGAACGTGCTTATAGAACTGGTATTTATACAATGTTACTACTTGGTGGTAAAAATATCGTTCCTTTATTATCGGGTCTTGTTTTCCAATATTTAGATCGTCATTGGCTTTTTTGGATCTTATCAATCTTTCTTGGATTCACCTTAATTTGTACCTTTTTATTTGTTCCCGAAACTTTTTGGGATCGTACTCCAACTCCAAACAAAAGATCAATCGAAGAATCTAAAGCCGCTAGAGCAGTTCGTAATTATCATCCTCCAAGTGAAAGACCAAATGCTTGGGCCTTACCTAATAGTAGTTTTTATAATGCATCTTTGGATTCTGATGTCGAAAGTCTTCCCTCATCAATTCATCCCGATACCCAATCAAATGATGCTCCAATTGGTATAACAAAAAATACCCATCATCACCACCATCACGGTGATGGTGACCAAAATGATGATACCGCCTCAATTCAATCAACTCCAAAATCATTTGTACAAAGACTCTCAGTTTTTTCCGGTCGTCATACAAAAGATAGTTGGTGGATGGTTGCTTTACGTCCCTTTTTCCTTTATTCTTACCCAGCGGTTTTGTTTGGATCTTTCATTTACTCATTTTCGGTGGTATGGTTAATCGTGATTTCAGAAGCAATCGCTTCCATCTTTGAAGCTCCTGGTTATAATTACTCCAATCAAACAGTGGGGTTGTTTTATATTGGTCCTTTCATCGGTGGGATTCTAGGCTCTCTTTCAGCTGGGATTCTCGGTGATAGATTAACTAGATTTGTTGTAAGTAAAAATCATGGTGTTTATGAACCAGAATTTCGTTTATTAATGTTAATCCCTGCTACTTTTTTCATCACTTTTGGACTAATGGGATTTGGTTGGTCAACTAAAGTTAAAGATGCTTGGATTGGTCCTATCATTTTCTTCTCCTGTGTTTCATTTGGTAGTTCCATAGCAAGTACTACAAGTATTAGTTTCACCGTTGACACCTATAAAATGTTTGCTGCTGAGCTGTTGGTGTCTTTCAATTTTATGAAAAATTTGATGGGGTTTGTCTTTTCTTTATTCAATACTCAGTTTATCGATTCAACCAATACTAGAACTACTTATCTCGTTTATGGTGCAATCCAAATTTTCTTAAGTAGTTTTGGTATCCTCATCTATATTTATGGTAAAAAGATTCGTGCTTGGACTGATGAAAAGGAAATCTTGAAAACTCTTTACCATGTTGATAATATTCCTCCTAGTATCCACGAAAAACAAAGTTTAAATAATGAAAATTCAAATGATAATTCAATTGATGATTCAAATGATGATTCTGACCATAAAGTTGATGAACGCGATGAAAGTGCTTCCCCTAAATAATGACTTGATGATTTACATATTGGTTTTTAATTTGCATTATTAAATATAAATTTGCATGGTATTATTCTATAAAATTTTGTAAGTTTTCGCTAAATCCTGTTCTCTATTTAAGTAATATTGTAAACGATCTTTTAAAGTCTTTCCGTTCCATATTTCATCTTTTTCAACGCAGGCAACTCCCAACTTTTCAATTATGCATCCACTGATAAGTGTGCCCATGATAGCCGAATATAACCAATCGCCATTTGAAAGAACCAACGCAGCAGCTAATGCTCCACAGAATGAATTGCCTCCACCGGTAACATCAACAACCTTAGATTGATCTATATGATACGCTGGTAATAACTTGGTAGCTCCTGGTGCATTAACATAACAGCCCAAAGGCCCACATCTTATCAATACACCAGAATTTGGTAATTTCATATACGGAGTAAATTTCAAAGATAATTGGTGAATCTCTTCTTCAGTGGTGGGTAGCGTTTTAACCCCGGCAAACTCAGCTGCTTCATTAAGATTAGGTGTGAAAACATCAACTTTAGGTAATACTCTGATTAATTCTTCATAGTTTTCTGAAATACAAGCATCTGGGGAAGGCTCAAAGATAAATTTAGGTCTAGGTCTAGAAGAGTCTAACTGTTTTACTTTCTTGGTTAGCTTATCAATCATTGATTCACAGCGATCAATTGCACAGCAAAAATGAAATGTCTTCAGAAATATAAGATTGTCTGTTTCAATAACATCTTCTGCTTCCACTCTTTTCTTATCAGTCTTATAATAAAAATGCCGAACATCATTTTCGTCGTAAACGTTTACACCTCTGGTAGTTTTACGATTTTCATCTTTACGAAATGCAACTCCAGTTTTCCATGTCTCAATCTCTTCTTTAACAGAAGGAGCAAAATCATTACCAATGTCGAATACACTAGTGATTAATCGTGCCTTGGATATTCCTGAGACAATACGCCCTCCAAGAACAGCATATGTTCCACCACCACCAAGTATGTCGTACTCATTTGGCCGCCCAGATGAGGCTGGATATTCATTATCATCAACGATAAACATCCCAAGAGATGCAAGAATAGGGTCTTGGGGATGGGAAAGTTCTTGCGGATACGTGGCACCCGTGCTTAGGTTTAAAATACGAACTTCATCATCAGCAATAGTCATGGCCGTAACAGGTATTATTCAATCTCCTCTTTCCAAGATTAAATTTTAATATGATTTTTTTATTGATTTTCCATTTCTTATCAGTTCGGTTTGATCTGCACTAGGCCCATACCGCAAACTAATCAATTCCAAGTCCTTCCCCGGATTCGTCTTTAAAACGTTCTTTTTATTCAACTTCATTTTTACAACTTTACTAAACTATTAGTTCGATGGCGGTAGAGACCCATAGCGTCGCTGGTATTGTTGCCGGTAGAAATCCTCTAGAGTATTCAACATCGTCTCCGTATACTCTCTTTTTATTCCAAGCTACTTTCATTATCTTACTATGTCAAATACTCCATTTCCCTCTCAAAAGACTCCAACAGCCCAGAGTGATTGCTGAAGTCATCACCGGTATTTTGCTTGGTCCTTCTGTGATGGGCCATATACCCCAGTTCACTACCAGCTGTTTCCCTAAGGAGTCGATTCCTGGTTTGACTTTGATTGCAAACGTTGGAATCATTTTATTCTTGTTTGTTATTGGTCTTGAAGTCGACGTTGAATTTATCAAGAAAAACATGAAAGTAGCATTAAGTGTTGGCTTGATAAACATGGCAGTCCCATTTGCTTTGGGTTGTGGTATTGCTAAAGGTTTATATAAAGAATATAGCGGTGAATTGACTGGAGAAATCTCTTTTACAACTTTTATGGTGTTCATTGCTGTTGCAATGTGTATAACTGCTTTCCCCGTATTGGTTCGTATATTAACTGAGTTAAATTTGATTGTTGATAGGGTCGGGACCATTGTTTTGGCTGCTGGTATTACAAATGATCTTACTGGTTGGATATTATTGGCATTGGCCGTTACTCTTGCCAATTCATCAAAAGGTATTAATACCCTATATATATTACTATTAACTGCTGCTTGGTTCTTGTTCTTGATTTACCCAGTAAGGATGTGCATGAGATTACTTTTGAAGAAATTCACTAACGATTTAATTAGCGGAGAACCCCTGCAAATCCTGATGATGCTTATTTTGATTTGTGTATTTATCTCCAGTTTTTACACTGACGCAATTGGGGTTCATCCAATCTTTGGTGCATTCATGGTCGGTGTTATTGTTCCCCGGGATAATGGTTATGTTATACGTATTACCGAAAAATTGGAAGATCTAATCCATATTGTCTTAATTCCTATTTATTTTGCTCTCGCTGGTTTAAACGTGAACTTGGGATTATTGAATAGAGGAATAGATTGGGCATATACAATCGGTATCATTTTATTAGCGATGTTTGGTAAAATTATGGGAGGATTTGTTGCTGCCAGATTCAACAAGCTTCTTTTCAGAGAATCATTAGCCGTTGGGGTTTTAATGTCCTGTAAAGGTATAGTGGAGATCGTTGTTTTGTCTCTAGGCTTGAATGCTGGTATCATTTCTCAAAGGGTCTATTCAATGTTTGTAGTGATGGCTCTTATAACCACCTTCCTAACCACACCATTGACCCTTTGGGTTTATCCAATAAGCTATAGAGAAAAAGTTGAAAAATTCATGAAAGGTGAGATCAATTGGGATGGAAGTCCAATCCACGCTGAAGTAGATACTTCCAACTCTGACCCAAGCGAAGATTTTGATGGTTCTAACACAGATGAATCCTGTGCAATCAAAGATTTACATAAATTAAGGATAACAAAGCTTGTACTATTATTGAAACGAATTGATACCATATCGAACATCATGACCGTGGTTCATGATATTGCTTTAAATGATGGAAATTCATCTTCAAATTATGATCTTGATGTGAAAGCTTTGCATTTAAGAGAATTTACTTCAAGAACGTCGGACTTATTAGAGGCTTCTTCCCAACATAACGATAATGATTCTTTGATTAACCAAAACAATGAAAATGATATTAATGAATCTTCATCTATTTTGGCAATCATGAAAATTTTTACCCAGTTTCTTGGAATCCATTATACTTCAAAATCTTTATTATCAACCCAAAAGAACCATATTTTTACAATCAATGAACAAATACTTGAGAAATCAGATTTGCTTATAAGTAGTATTGATACTAGGATATTAGTCCAATTTCCCCTCGTTGGATCTGATTACAATAATGAGTTTGTGGATGGCTCTGAATATAGTCTCTATAAGGAATTATTCAAATCTTGCAAATCTAACTTCGGGTTATTGCTAATTAACAATACCAAAGCTAAACATGCTATGAGTCCAATAAATGAAAATGAGCCAAGCAATGTCAAAGCTTCCAATTATCTTGAACAGTCCAAATCTTTATTCGGTCTTAAATCTGTTAATTTAGTATTAAGTCATGATAACTTGATTAGTAGTAGTGATTTACTAGCCTTGAATATTATTTACAAGCTTTCCTTTAACATTTCCCATATTAATATTTTCATCAAAGCTTCGTCGTCAAAATCAGTATCTAATACCTCAACAATGAGTTCGTTTGAAAAAGAAATTGAATCTTTACTTTTAACGAGAAATCCTACGATTAATTTGTCAATTTTTAAGATTAAAGAATCAGTGAATTTTGTGGATGAGTTGATTAGGATTTCACCTAATTTGTTAGGTGAAACATTCGTTATGGCTAATAACCTTCCTCAAAATAGTAATCTTATGTTTGACAGTGAAGTCAGCGAATTAATTGCTACTGGTATTACTGAAGGTTTCAACATATTGGCTGTGAAAACAGCTTCTTCTAATTGATATACTCGATTATGAAGCCTTCACTTTTATAATGAATATTTTACGTGTATTTTGTGTCTTTGAAAACTCTGTATTGCTTCTAAAGAAAACGATTTGCAGACAATGTAGCATTATAGGAAAATCGACTTTGCTCAAGTAAATAAAAGAATTATAAATTAAATGAAGATGGAAGATGAAAATATTCGTCTATCTTAATGCATCAAGGTTCATCTTCTGCTTTCAAGTCCTCGTCATAATCCTTCAAAAATAAGGATTGAATGAAGCCACTGAATGCTAATAAGGCTAATGAGAACCATGCAACTTCACTGATTGAATACTTTTCTGTAATACTCATGAGAGAGCCCCATAAAAGAGGAGCTATACATCTTGCTAATGAAGTAATACTCAACGAGGCCCCATTAATGTAAGACCTATGTTTGGGAATGGAAGCACGGTGAATCAACATGAAAATTTGAGGAAAACATATGGATGAGCAAACGGTACTCAATGAAGACAAGCAATATAATAAATTCAATGTGAGACCAGGTTTGAATTTAGGGTTATAATCAGGAAGCGTAAAGATCATAAAAGGTAATGCCAAATACACAAATGGGATGACTGCTTGACCACATCTATAACTTACAACAGCACGCATATGACGATCAATCAATGGGAAAAGTATCATTATAGACAAAGTACCTATTAATCCCGTATAAGAAAGCAAATTACCAATGGTAGCTGAGTCAAAACCAAACCCGCCTCTAATGGTAAAAGGAAACAGAACTTCATCCTTCAAAAACTCCCCAGCCAAAAATACAGGTATGAATTCCCAATATATAATATTATGAAATGAAAGAATGAAATTAGCAGTAATTGTTTGAATTACTGGCTTAGTGAATGCACCAACCTCAACACCTTCTTGAAAGGTGAAAATAGAAACAGCATCTGGGTCACGGGTATTAGTTCTAGTCAAATGAAGTTGAGGAATTTCTGAGTATCTACGAACGATAGCATTGGAAGCACGTTTCGAGAGAAAGTTAGTAGATTGAACAGAATCATCACTTCTGGTAGAAAGAGCATCATCTTCAACATCTTGATCATTGTAGAAAGCTCTTGGACTAGTGTGAGAGTGATGTAATGGGGTACGTTCATCAATGGATTCAATTTCAAGAACAGATGAATTGTTATCGGTTACATTTGATTGTATTATTGACAAACCTTCCGATTTCCAAGGTCTAATTGGAACTTCATAACCCAAACCAGTTCTGATTAAATCACCAAGTTCAAGACCATAATCCCTTCTTCCCTTGAAATCAGGATGGGTTTCTTCTAAAAATAAGAATCCAATAAAGATATTTAAAATAATATAAGCAGCAATGACAATGTTTGATAATGCATATGGATATTTATCCATAAATGAATCATAAAATCCCTCAGCCGTACTTACTGAGATGGGTCTAACTGTGATTATTTTGGATAAGAAATTATTAGGGTTAGCGATATCAGCAGGAACACGAACTAAATATTTACTGGAACCAATCAAAGGAGCTAAAACTACACCTATATTCCAAAAAGCAGGAAGCGTCAGATAGGCTATAGATTGATGACGCTTCTCAGTAGCTATTTCCCCAATAATTGTACGAATAATAGCAATCACAGTGAACCCACCCATCATACTTCTAGCTATTAACCCAACAAAGTAACTTTTAGCAAATCCAAATACTAGCATTGATAAGGCACTACCGAGTAAACTCACGAGTAATGTAGGTTTTCTACCAAATTTATCTGAAGCTTTGCACCAACTTATAGAAAAAAGGAATTGGAAGAACGCAAATGAAGCTGCGTAATAACTTGAATATCTCCATGTTTCGTTCTCGGGTACACCGAATCCGATAAGCATAAAGTACACATAAGGAAAGAAAGAAGTAAATGCAATAGGTTCTGTAAAACGTATTAAGCTAATGATGAACATTTGAAAAAGAGGAAATCCTCGCATCTGTTCTCGGAACGTCATCTTACCATAATCTGAAGACATTTTTGATACGAATATGAAGCAATATCTTTGACTTTGGAAATAAACAACTAAATATGTCGAGAATTAAAGGAAATCCTAAGCTATATTAATAGTTTGATGAAAACAAAGATTCCACATTCTAATCTAATTTTTTTGCGTTACCTCAAATTTTTGTGTAAAGTATTGTACTTGCTAGCATTAACGTAGGCCGATAATAATCCCAGAAAAGTGACCTATCAGTTCTGGCTCCATACATGTCTATTTGCTGAATGATTTTTATAAACTCAACGTGAAAGAATAAAAACTTTGAATTGACTTTGGGAAATGGGGGAATATGGTTTCTAATCGATCTCCGAAAAGAGCACGAATTACGAAATTATGGGGAAATTTCCTCACGAGACCTTAAAAGCTGCAAAAACTAATCAAATCGCTACAACCAACTTGATCAGGCTGTTGATTTTTAAATAACGGTCTTGATAGAAGTAATCAGGACCAAACTGTGACTTACGTATACTTTTCGGAGTTTCTCCGAATTCTTTAAAAAGAGGAGACAGTCAAAGAAAGAAAGTAAGTGATAAGTAGGGAACTATTTTACATTAATCTAAACTATCTATAAATAAAGATTCTCTATGGATTATAAGGTGGATGTCCCTGTTGATTAGGGTGAGGGGATTGTCCAGACTGTAATTGATTGACTACTAATTGCTGCAACTGTTGTAAAGTATTTTGCAGTTGTGGTTCTTGAGCCGTGGGTGGAGGTTGCACTTGTCCATAAGTTTGGCCATATGGTGTCTGGTATGGTTGGGTATACTGTTGGTTATATGAAGCGCCCATTGGTGCCACTGGATGTCCGTAAGGGCTTCCATAAGCTTGAGTTTGTGGGGGTGGCTGAACTTGATTGAAAGGTACTCCGTAAGCCAGAGGCAATTGTGGAGAAGCAGAGGGCTGTTGGTAGGGCTGCTGATAAGGTTGCTGATAAGGTTGTTGTTGATATTGTTGTTGGGGTGGTCTCGCGAAGGGAGGTTGTTGGTACTGTGGAGGTCTTGAAAAGGGTTGTTGGTATTGTTGATAAGCCTGATAAGGTTGTTGATTAGGTTGTTGGTAAGGCGCTTGCTGAGGCACTTGCTGAGGCAGCTGTTGACCATAGTACACTGGTTGTTGAAAAGGTTGAGGTGGTAAAGACAGTGGTTGCGGCATGGGTAAATTTGGTTTTGGATTTGCTGGGGCATATCCATAAGCGGTGTAACTCGAAGGGTTTATTGATGGAGACTGATGTTGAGGTTGAAGAGGCTGATGGTTATGTTGCTGAGTATTTTGCTTCTTTTTTGGTTGTGCTTGAGTTTCATTTTTATTATTTTCATTATTATTTCTTTTCTTATTTTTCTTTTCTTTCTTTTTGGCAGCTTTAGCAGCAGCTTCTCTTTCATCATCAGAGAATTCCTGCTCGTCTTCTGGTAATTCTTCATCATGCCAATTACTTGCATCAGTACCTTTCAAATTTTTAATTGAATCAGTGTATAAGAATTGTGATTCTGGAACAACATAGTAAATTTTGGCACCTTTTTTATCTTTAAATTTAGAAAATTGATCTTCGTTATTAAATTTAACCCGGTAAATAGGAGATTGTAATTTACCAAAAGTTTCAAATAAAGGACCCAATAGGGTACGATCTTCAAAACAAAAGATCGAGCCTTCTTTTAAAACACGAAATTCACCCAGGATATTTGCTTTTATTATGACCGATTTTTCTACCAATCCGGTAATTTCACCAATGAATTCCAAAGGAGCATTTTCAGGGATTTTGAAATCTTCTGGTAAAGTAGGGGCTTCTTCGTCGATCAATTCATTTTTGGAATGAATTGGGCCCACGGATGGTTCTTCATCATCTAGACCTTCGAGGTCTTCATGGGCAAGTTTCGAATCGGCGGGATCCGAGTCAGAGTCATCCGGGTCGGAGTCTGAGGTTGACTCAGAATCCGAATCAGTAGAATCGGAGGAGTCTGAGCTGGAGGATGAGTTATTGCCATTTTCGTCGATATCAATTTCGATTTCGTCATCGGAAAACTGTTGTATTTCTTCATTGGAGGGTTTATCGAGGAATTTTTTTATTTGATCGGACTCCTCCTTCTCGACAGATTCTTGAGCAGATTCTTCTTTACTACTTTCATCTTTACTACCTTCATCTTTACTACCTTCATCTTTACTGCCTTCATCTTTACTGCCTTCATCTTTACTGCCTTCATCTTTACTACCTTCATCTTTACTACCTTCATCTTTACTGCCTTCATCTTTACTACCTTCATCTTTACTGCCTTCATCTTTACTGCCTTCATCTTTACTACCTTGATCTTTACTACTTTCATCTTTACTACCTTGATCTTTACTACCTTCATCTTCTTTAGTATCTTCACCATCATCTTTATTATCATCTTTATTATCTCCTTCTACTTTATTGTCTTCATCTACTTTATTATCATCCTCTACTTTGTCTTCATCTTCTTTGGTCTCTTTATCATCTTCGGGCTCTTTGTCTAAATTTGTATCTTCAAGTTTCTTATCAGAATTATTCATCTCATCATTTGAGTCCACTCCTATATCATCTGACCTAGCGGTATCTATATCATTTGAGCCAACAGTGTTGATCAATTGATCGCTTCCATGCATCTCTGTAACCTGATCTTGCATTGTCAAAGCTATTCCAATAGCATGAAAATATTGTGAAGAGCATCGCTTTACTCCAGATTTTTTTTCCTCCTCTACACTACAGTCGGATCGTGCCCCGCCAAAAACCCGTGCCACCCCGCCAAAAACCACCGTTTAACATTCGACTTAAGCTTGAAGGGAGTCCCTGATAAACTCAAATGTCCTGCTCGATTAAGAGAAATTATGATGTAATGATCGATTAGGGGTTTGTATCGATTATTGTTTAATTGATTGCATCAGACTAACCAGCTGGCCCAAGTTCATAACTATCGTTCCACTCATGCTACCCGTATAGATGGGTGAATAAATGTGTAAATGTATAAATGTATACAATTGACTACTATCCAATTAGAATGACTACTGGTATGACTACTGGTATGACTATTGGTATGACTATTGGTATGACTACTATTCAATGGAGTCAATTGGACCAATTGACTACTATTGAGATATCCGTCGAGTGATGTATCACGATAGCATCCAAAGGCAACATGTTCATAACTAGACATTTCCTCTCAATGCTAATTTAACAAAGATACCACGATAATGCGGGTATATACAGGTAAATCCAATGATCATTTACGACTTCCGAGGGTGCATTTTTTTTACCAGTGTTATGTTTTAGTATTATACTTTTGTGTTTCAAATTATAAACTTTCTGGTGGAAGCGGTTCAAAAAGGATAAACCAAGCAAAACGAAGAGAAATATTTAATAAATCACTCTCGTTTCCCTCCATTTCTTCTTCTCTTTTTCTCTTTTCCATCAATTTTGTTAAGACCAACTCCTACGTTCCTTACTTATTCGCTTGAATCACTCTTAGAATACTATCGAAAGAAATACTCTCCGGTTCTCATACCTGTCGCTCCTTTTAAACTTGTATTTTTTTCTATTTGATATTCTGTTTTATCAAGCCATTCTTTAAAGGTATGTATTAATGCTTCTTGCCCATTGAATCCAAGTGTCTCTCTAGCCCAATGAATTCAAGTCTTGCCCAATGAATTCAAGTCTTGCCCAATGAATTCAAGTCTCGCCCAATGAATTCAAGTCTTGCCCAATGAATTCAAGTCTCGCCCAATGAATTCAAGTCTCTAGCCCTATCTAGCGTGTGTTTAAGCGCGTGCACCGGGTTTTGTCCAACCGTGACTGAAAACAAAACACCCCTCCCTCCCAAGGTTTCGATTAAACATAACTACTTGACAACATATCTATCTCTCACATGGCTGGGCATCCCTTCAGTGCTTGTTCTTGCTTCTGTTCTTGCTTCTGTTCTTGCTTCTGTTCTTGCTTCTGTTCTTGTTCTTGTTCCTGTTCTTGTTCTTTGGCTGGTGTTTCCTCCTTCGGCATTTGCTGGCTCAGCGTGAATGCTGGCCAGTTTTTTGCATTGTGCTTGCGCTAAAGTGCCAGGTTTACGGTGTCTCGGCTCCTAATTAGGCAGCAGTACAGCTTTGTCTGGTAATTTTATCGCGCGCCTCCATTCCGGGGGTGCAGCCCTCGCCAGTTCCGGCCGCGCACGCTTACTGTTTTTGCTGCCCATTGCCAGTTTCGCTAAACAAAACGCTAGCAGAATTCGCGTTTGGTGCGAATTTCGAGGAATATTTTTTTTTCTCTTGTCTTTGTTTGGCTTCAAAATGGTGTTTCCTTGTGGGAAGCATACCTGATTAGCAGTCTTTTTTTAGATTATCGGTGTCTTGTTGTGAATTGCATAAAATTTCACCTGGGATTTTGCACCTAAATGATGTTTTGATTTCTTCTTGTTGTCATTTCATTTATCATTGGGTTGATATTCCAATGATCCATTCAATGGACACTTTTATTCATATTGGCAGAATCTTCATTTCTCTATGGTACTAACACTCGTTTTCTAGTTAATCATGAAATTTACTCAAGCTACTATTGCTGCGTTTGCCGCTCTTCTCTCAGTCTCGGCTGCTGCTCCTGCCGCTGCTGCTAATGATGCTGATTGCACCACCACTCAAGTTCATGCTCATCACAAGCATAAACGTAACGTGGTCTACGACTACCAGTACGTCACCGTCACCGTCGACAACCAAGGTAGCTCCATTGCCAGTGCTGTCACCGATGCGTTAGCCCCATCTTCTACTGCTGCTGCTTCAGTTTCCCAAGTTTCTTCTGCTCCAACTTTTGAATCCGAAACCGAAACCACCGCTGCTTCTTCCTCTGCTGCTGCTTCCTCTGCTGCTGCTTCCTCTGCTGCTTCCTCTGCTCCTGCCTCTTCCGGCTCTTCTGGTTCTGGCTCTGGCTCCGGCTCTGGTTCTTATCCAACCGGGGACTTGGCCGACTATGAAGACCCAACTGAAGAATTCGAAGACGGTAAATACTCCTGTACTGATTTCCCATCTGGCCAAGGGGTTGTTGCCTTGGACCATTTAGGTTTTGGTGGATTTTCCGGTATTGAAAATTCTGATGGTTCCACCGGTGGTCAATGTAAAGAAGGTTCCTACTGTTCTTATGCATGTCAATCAGGTATGTCTAAAACCCAATGGCCTTCTGACCAACCATCTTCTGGGGTTTCTATTGGTGGGTTATTATGTAAAAACGGTAAATTATACCGTTCCTCATCTTCTAAATACTTATGTGAATGGGGTCAAGAAAAAGCTAGTGTTGAATCTAAATTAAGCAAATCAGTTGCCATTTGTAGAACTGATTATCCAGGTACTGAAAATATGGTTATTCCAACTGTGGTTGAAGGTGGTTCTTCTTCTGTTATTACTGTCATTGATCAAGAATCTTACTATAAATGGAAAGGTGGTAAAACCACCGCTCAATATTACGTTAATAATGCGGGTATTGATTGGACTAAAGGTTGTGTTTGGGGTACCGATGGCTCTGGTATTGGTAATTGGGCTCCATTGAATTTTGGTGCTGGTTATGATAATGGTATTGCTTACTTATCTTTAATTCCAAATCCAAATAACTTAGATTCTGCCAATTTCAAAGTTGAAATCGTGGCTGACGGTGATGATTCGGTTGTCAGTGGTGATTGTACTTATGCAAACGGTAAATACAACGGTGATGGTACCGATGGTTGTACCGTTGGTGTTACCAAAGGTAAAGCTAAATTTGTCTTATATAATTAGGTTTTTTACGCTTTGTTATCATTAAAACCCCTTTTTTTTTTTTTTTTTGAATTATCTTTAGTTAATTATTATATCTTTTTGTCAATACTTCGATTTCGAATCGTATTTTATTTTTCATTTTTGTCAATGAAGCTTGGCTCTTCATTTTTTTCATTGGAGGAGTTGCTTGTTTTTTTACTTCCCTAACCTCTATATTACCCTTTTCCTTCTCTTTTGTCCTTTTTGGAGCAATCAATAGAACTTAGTGTATAGAGATTGTATATTATTATATTAGTATGGTTTTTGAATAATACTCTTGAATAACACTCTCGAATAATACTCTTGAATACCCTTGAATAATAGAATAATACTCTTGAATACATACTTGAATAGTACTTGAATTGTACTTGAAGTACTTGAATAATGCTTGAATAGTACACTATCTAAAGAATAGAACTTTTTCGCTGAGTGGGTTGCATAATTGCGAAAAAAAAGAAAAAAAAAACACGAGAAACGTAACAAACGGTTAAACGTCAAAGTCAAAGAAGGTTATTACATACAGATATGATGTAATATCAAGGATTCACTGACCGTCGGGGGCAGCTTGGGTGGACACGCACGTCCACACCTCAAGGGTTATCACATTCTACGGTCATGGCATAACACAATCAGGCCGATCGGACCAGAAAGGAGAAGCAGTCGATATTATGTCGAATTCCGTTTTGAACCAGCCCTTTCCACTCAGTTTGAGCTTTGATCAGGCCTGAAAAAGTAACCAGTGGAGAGGACCAATAAAAGACGACGATGGGATATACGCTATTGTCCCAACTCGGTAAAATGAATTCTCGCAGTGTGTGGGGCCACGAGAATGAATAAGGAATTAGACGATCAATTATGGAAAATCCATACAATCACAACACAATACAATACAATTGCAATACTATTAGGGATAAGGTTTTGCTGCAATACCATCAAGACAAAGGGTACGGATCTATCCCCCCAAAATTTGCCGTGACTTGGTAGTGCAGCCGGTGATGGCAAGTACATTGCCGTGAAGGGTCGGGTCACTCTGGCTAAAGCCACCCTGACCCTGATTCAAGCCGGGATATTTTCTCTGTATTTTTATGATATTTTCTCCAGATTGATTCTCTGAAAGATAAGAGTCAGGTTGCTCAACCAGATCAGGAAAAGTGCCTAAGATCCCCAAGGTAAGGGATACCAATAGGTATTTCCTTTAATTACTTTTCCATAAATTTCAGTACGGCATTAACTTTAATTGAAAAGGCATACTGGGATTTTGGTGATGTTGCCACGACCGTCAAATTGCCTTAATTTCTTAAAAAATTACTGAAACTCGCGATGAGATGCACTTAACAAACGATTGGTTAATACCTACTTCAAAAAATGGTTAGTTTAATCTCTATACCTTTCCAATTAATCTATATATACAATTCTCTAAAGGTACCGCTAGGTAAACTTATCTGAGTAGTCGTAGATAATGAATTGTGCTGCAACAACTGAGTGGAGAAGAAGTTTGTTGATTGTTTATGCTGCTAATTCTCTTATCAATTTAATTAATTGAAACTTTTTTCTTTTTTTCTTTTCTTTTCAACTAATGCCTTTCTATTTAAATTAACTTTATTTAAATTAGGTCGATTTCGGAGAACGTCTTTAATTGTAATCACTAGATTGGAAAGAATAAGTACGAGGTAAATTCCATTGATTTTTCGATTTACTTCTTGTTTTGTTCCTCTACATTTCATCACTTCGTATTCAAACAATCTGCAATTACCCTTCAAAGTGTGTTTGAATCAACAATAGACGAGATTCCTTTAATTTAACCCATTTAATCAAAAAAAATTATTGATAATTTGGTACTTTTTCGCCAGTCTATTGTAACTTTTTTCTTTTTTTCTTTTTTCCAATTTTTATTCCCTCGCACATTAAAGGTTTTTTTTTTTTTACCTTTTACAAAAATTTTAACTTAAATATATCTTTTACTTCCTTAGTTGATCTACAACGCCTCTCCTCCTCTTTTTCTTTGTTCCAAGCCAAAATTATATATAAGTCTTGGATATCCTACCTTGATAATTGATACCCTTATTTTGTTAATCTCACTGAATCAAAATGAGTCATTCGGATATTGAAAAATTTGCTGGTTCCAGTAATGACGATTATAGAAATGTTGCATCTTCATCTGGTATCGTAGCAACATCTTCGGACTCTTCTCATGCTTCTCCTTCTCATCTACTCCATTCTCATAATAAAAAGAGTGAAAAATCGGTGGAATACGTCAGTGCTGATACCGAATCTAAAGATGAACTTTTGGGTGATGTTCAAAATTATGAAGTTAAAAGAGAATTACAAGCTCGTCATATTTCAATGATTGCTCTTGGTGGTACCATTGGTACCGGGTTATTCATTTCGTCTGGTAAAGCCTTAAGTGCTGGTCCGGTTTTAGCTTTAATTTCTTATCTTTTCATTACTTCATTAGCTTATTTTGTTACTCAATCATTAGGTGAAATGGCTACTTTAATTCCAGTTAGTGGTTCTTTCACTCAATTCATTACTAGATGGTGTTCTCCTGCTTTAGGTGCTGCCAATGGTTGGAATTATTGGTTCTCCTGGGCAATCACTTTTGCATTAGAATTATCAGTCATTGGTCAAGTTATTCAAGTTTGGACTCATGCTGTTCCTTTAGCTGCTTGGATTTCAATTTTTTTCGTTCTCTTAACCGCTTCAAATATGTTCCCGGTTAAGTTTTATGGGGAATTTGAATTTTGGATTGCTTCTTTGAAAGTTATTGCCGTTGTTGGTTGGTTAATTTATGCATTCATCATGGTTGTTGGTGGCTCTAAAGAAGGTCCAATTGGTTTCAGATATTGGAGAAACCCAGGTGCTTGGGGTGATGGTGCTGGTTTGGTTTCAAATCAAAATACCGATAGATTATTGGCCTGGGTTAGATCCTTGATTAGTGCTTGTTTTACTTTCCAAGGGGTTGAATTAACTGGTTTATCCTGTGGTGAACTGAAAAATCCTCGTAAAACCGTTCCAAGTGCTATTCGTAAAGTTATTTACAGAATTATCATTTTTTACGTTTTATCAATGTTTTTTATGGGTTTATTAGTTCCTTTTAATGATAAAGCTTTAGACAGTACAGATAATTATTCCTCTGCTTCCCCTTTCATCATTGCAATGAATAACTGTGGTACTAAAGTTTTACCAGATATCTTCAATGCCGTCATTTTGATTGCCATCATTAGTGCTGGTAATTCAAATATTTACTGTGGTTCTCGTGTTTTATTCGGTTTAGCTCAAGCTGGTGTTGCTCCAAGGTTTTTCAGTAAAACTACTAAGCACGGTGTTCCTTATTTCGCCGTCTTATTTACTGCAGCTTTTGGTGCTTTAGGTTATTTGGCCGTTACTAACTCTGGTATGACTGCTTTCGACTGGTTATTAAACATTACCGCCGTTGCTGGTTTAATCGCCTGGGTTAATATTACTTACTGTCACATCAGATTCATGTCGATCTTGAGAAGAAGAAACATTTCTAGAGACACTTTACCTTTCAAAGCTTGGGGTATGCCCTTTGGTGCCTACTATGCTACTATTTTAGGTGGTATTTTATGTTTTGTTCAAGGTTTCGAAGCTTTCTTCAGTATCAATGCATCTAAATTCTTCACTGCTTATATTTCACTTATTTTCTTCGCTTTCTGTTGGGTAGCAGCTCATTTCTACTTCAACGGATTCGGTAAAGAAGCTTTCACTTGGAGAGCTTTCTTAAACCCAATTGATGAATGTGATATCGACACTGGTGTTAGAGAGATTGATGATGCTATTTGGGATGATGATGAACCCCCAAAGAACCTCTGGCAAAAATTCTGGAACGTTCTTTCTTAATCTTCCCAAATTTTTAATTCTTTTTCTTTCTCATGTACATTATTTTTAACATTCTTATATCCTTGGTAACAAATGAATTATTTCTATTTCGTTATTACTTTACTTTCATGTTTATTCTTTTACTTTTCATTCTTTTAATTTGTGCATTTAATATACATTTCATTACGTTCAATATATACAATCATAAAATACAGTTAAAGCATTACTTTTTTCGATTGCTTCTTCGTATAGGGGCGGGCGATGGTTTTGCAGGTGTAATCGAAGCAGCTGATCTAGTCGACCGTCTTGTAGCCCTTGGTCTTGACTCGGAATCAGGTTCTTCAACTTCTTCACCCCCGGTGCCAGTTTCTTCAACTTCCTTTTGTTCATGTGCAACTTCCGATCGCGTTCTCCTTCTGGTTGAAGGTGTACTATTGGAGCTATTGTTCGTTTGAGCATTTGTGCTAGATGCTGCTGCTGGAGATGCTGCTGCTGGAGATGCTGCTCGTCTGCGCTTGCCTGGTGTTACACTTGAGTTAGGAGAGTTCGTAGCAGGTGGAGATGATTTGGAATCTTCTTTGCTATCAAGTTTGGCAATCGATCTAGTACGTTTTTTAGGCCGGGATTGTTCCTGCTCTTTCCCATCCTCATCCTCGGACTCAGATTCATCTTCATTAGATTTATCTTTCGCTGTCTCTTTCTCTTTTTCATCTCTTTCGTCATCATTATCTTCAATATCTATAGCTTCCCCGTCATTTTTCTCTTTCTCTTCATCAATTACCTTTTCTTCATTGATCACAATTTCGTCATCTTGTTTTTCAGCTTTTGAATTAGTATCTGTATCCTTTTTTGTCTTGGTATCGGGTTCTTTTTTAGACTTTGCATCTGGTTCTTTTTTAGTTTTAGTTTCTGCTGTCTTTTTTGGTTTCGATTCTTCTTCCGTTATCTCATCTTCTTTTGCACCAGGTTCTTCAATTCCGTTTTCTTGCTCATCTTTTGACTTCTCTTTCAATTTTTTTTCATCTTCTGCAACTTCTTCCTTTTGTTCTTCTTTACGTGTACCTCTAGTAATTCTTCTTGGTGTCCCGTCATCTGTATCACCGTCGGAAGAGTTAACGGTATCATTAGTTTCATTTTTGATTTTGTCAATTATATTTGTAGATGATGAATTGGAGTCTCTAGCCGATTTTCTTGTTCGAAGCTTTTTAACTGGACTACTGCGGATATCTATATTTTTACTTGAGTCTTCTTGATTACTTTCAACTTTCGTTATCACCAAATCTCTTTCACTTGGTAATTCGCCTTCAACGTCACTCAATTCTGATGAATATGTATCTTCGGTTGGGCCCTTTTTTTCATCTGGAGGTGAAGATGGAATATCAGTTGTTTTAGATTCTGATTCTGCTTGCTTTGTATCAATCGAGTCTTCCATATTATTAATTCGATCTAAGTTATAAAGACTCTCTAGCTTATCCCAGATTTGATCAGCAGTAAACAACTTCTCTTTATTCGATAAATCTCTATTAATATTTTCAATAATGGAAACCATATGCTTATGTTTATTTGTCCCAGCAGGCTTGAAATCGCATATTAAGTCGAACAACTTTATTTCATCTTCTGCAGTCCATTCCCTCATTAGTTTTCTCTCTTTCGGGCTCATTCTAACTTCTTAAAAGTAAAGGTTTCGAGTCCAAGAAGCTTAAACTGTTATATGTTTTCAGACATCAATATTTATGGCATTTTTGTCAATATCATCTGCGAATAGACCCGTACATCAAATATCTCGTTATTTGTTACCGCACACGACTGAAAATTGAAAAATTTGAAAATTGACCAAAAAAAAAAAAAAATGAAGAGGTTTTTCAAGACTGAAGGTTGAATCAAATACTTTTCCATTCAACGGACTCAAGTACTCCAGGATAGATAATGCCTAGAAAGACACCGAATATCAACTCTTTGGCTAGGGGACGTGTTCGTGCCTCTATGAACAAGTTCAACTTGTTTAATTTATATAAGAAACCTAGTATAAAACTTCAGAATAGTACTTTATATCAACAAAAGTTTCGTTCCAAACAAGAAACTAGAGCTTATCATGGGGAACATTTAACTGAACGTCGTTGGAAACAAATTTTTAACCCAAACTTGGAGTCTGTTGCCCAGTTGGATGCTTCTTTGAAGGGTTCTTTCGTTGAAGAAACCCCATTGGTTTTACAAACTTATGCTAGTTTAGAAAAAAGATTAGAGTTTGCCGTATTCAGATCCATGTTTGCATCTTCCATAAGACAAGCTAGACAATTCATCTTGAATGGTCATGTTAAAGTCAATGACGTTGTTATTAAACACCCAGCTTATCCTTTGAAAGCAGGTGATTTATTCAGTGTCAATCCAGAAAAAGTTTTAATTGCCATGGGTAGAACAAAGCCAAGTCTAGAACAAGCAGTTAAGGTTGATAATAAACAAATCGGTGCTTACAACAGATACGTCAAAAAGTCTAAGGAAGCCCCAAGAGAGGTTTGGGAGTTTGAACAATCAAAACCAGCATCCTTAAATACCATCGATGAACATGCAGACACTCGTATCAAGGGTATCAAAGATTTCAATGAATCTCTCGAGAAAAATATGCTTCAAGAACAAAGAAATACTACTAGAGAAGCGGTATTATCAAAAATATTAACCACTGCTTCTTCTGAAGAGTCTGTAACTGCTCAGGTTTTTGAAAATCTTTATGGTAAAAGAAATGCAGAAAGATGTTTCCTTATTTATGATAAATTGAAGAAAGCTGATCATAAATTAATCAAAGAACATTCAATTGAAGACGCAAAAACTTTCATCACCACCAAATCCAATGAATTCGCATCCGAAGCCCAAGCTAAACTTGCTAGTGGAGTCAAGAAACCGTTACAAGAAATTGTTTCTCATCAATTGGAATACCTTAGAGTATCTGCTCAATCGGGTCAATTACCTGAATCATCAAAAGAACTTCCATTCGATCCTGAATTTAACAAAGACTTAGATTTCCACCCTAAATTAGATAAGGATGCTGTTCTTGAAGATGAATCATCTGCTGTAGTCGACCTTCCATGGCAAAAAGGTTTATTTGGCCGTGAAGATCCGGCCAAACCTTACTTTTCTCCTTGGACTCCTAGACCTTTTATTGGTGCTTTTGCAATTTTACCATCTCACATTGAAATCAACTTCCCAACTTGTCATGCTGTTTACTTGAGAGATCCTGTTGCCAGACCAGGCCACTCTGAAGTTATCTCACCTTTCCACACTGAAATCCATAAGAGAGCTTACATGTTCTACGTTAGAAAAGGTTTATAATCAAGTACGATATTTATACGGAGATATTCATCTTTGTTTTAATTCTTCCTATGTCAATAAACTTCTCGTTCCTTGTATATATATATATTTACGTTAATCTAAGTTATCATTAGAATTTTTTTTTTTTCGAAATGTCCGTGTAGGCTGCAGTTGTTGCAACATCAAAGAAGTGAAAATTTTTGAGAAAGAAAAATGAACCCAAGAGACTGGCAGCATACAAGTGAATGATGACTCGTATTTCTAGGTCCTTGATACGGCAAGCATCGAAATATTCCTTGTATCTTCCGCCATTACTAAGAGCAGCAGGAAGCTTAGAGCACGCAAAACAAGAATTACGTTGGATTCAAAACGAATTACCTAAACATAAATGGATTGATGCAATCACCAGAAGATCCAACTTCGAACCTTTACAGTATATCTTGGGTACACAACCTTTTGGGTCATTGGATATAATCTGTAAACCAGGGGTGTTAATTCCTCGTTGGGAAACAGAGGAATGGTGTATCAAACTTACAGAGATTTTATCAAAGAACTACAAGCAGAGCCAACCACTAAAGATCTTAGATGCCTGTACTGGATCAGGCTGCATTCCTTTATTGCTACACAGTGAACTCAACAATAGAAAAAGAACAGCGAAGGTTATTGGTTTTGACTTCTCTAAACGTTCAATCGAAATTGCTAGGGAAAATCTACTTGAATACCTGAAGAATCATGATGCTAATGGGATTACATTTGATGTAGCAGATGTATTTGATCCCGAAGTCCTGCAAAAATTGAATATAATCAATATCGATATTATAACTTCGAATCCTCCATACATTCCTTTTGCAGATTATAAGGCCCCTACTAAATTGAATGGGGTCGAGAAATCAGTTAGACTTTACGAACCCCGAACAGCTTTGATCGGTGATTTAGAGTTCTATCAGGCACTTATTAAGAACTTAGTGATTCCGTCACAGTGTAAAGCATTTGTTTTTGAGGTGGGATATGCTGAACAAGTCGAATTTACCTCAAGTATATTGAAAAAGTTAGACTCAAATGTTAACTGGAGAACGGGTTCCTTCCATGACAGCGCCGGTAATATTCGTGCTGTAGTTGGGTGGAAAGCAAACACAGAGTCTGAATTCCTAGAAGAGTTTTGCGATAAAGATAGCTACAGCATGAAGGAGATGAATTATTAAGCAAATCTATAATTTTAAATCTATTGTACATATTTAACTGAGTTTGGCAGGTTCAGGAGTCTCAGATGCTTTACTATCCAGAGAAGCTTCAGACTTGACCTTAGCGTCCTCCACTGGTGTAGATTTCTTCTTAAGTTGGTTACCTCTTCCGACGGCAGTCAAACCACCTTCAACAGGAATGACCTTGGTACCCCATAAGACGTACCCACCATATCCTCTTGAAGTCATCATAGGATGCAATCTTCCAGGGATCGTTTGATAAGGACGTACCCTGGATTCATAAATAGAAGGTGCCAAGACTCTTTTATCATTAGATAAGTAATGCTGGATATCTAATAAGACTTCCTTGAATTGGTTGTAGAGAACAATGGGTCTTGATCCACCAATTTTTGGAATTAAATATGGTAATACGCCAGTCATGTCCAAAGAACTGACGGATATTAATGCATCGAAGTTTCCCCTTGATACACTATCTATAACAGAGTTTATATCATTGGCTCTTTTTTGACGACGATAATATTGGACCTTTTTATTACTTTTCATTGAATCAACTTCTTCTCCAGGTAAGTCCTCCCAGATGATCTTTTCATTCTCAGGTTCAACAACTTGTAACCAATTGATTGTTTTAACCATTCTTTCTTGCAATTCTATTGGGTAGTCGGAATACCTCAATGCGATGATATTAGGATGTTCGTTTTCATGAATGATAGTGATAGTACCTTGTCCTTGCATTCTTTCCATCATGGCATATAATAAAACACCACCAGTTTCGTCAATCAACAAATAATTTCCTCCTGGTCTAACATTACCATATGTCATAAGCAAAGCCATCGATTCTTCGCTCATATCAAGGACTTTCTGAAGATCTCTCAATATGGAATACTCTAATAATTGCGATCCACCAAGATATTCAACAGAAAATCTTTTTAAAAACTTTTGTTGTTTTCTCTTCAAGTATTTTTGCTGGGAATAAATGGTCTTTTTATCAAAACCACCATGTCCAGCAATGATTTGCTCTATGATTTTTTGTCCAGCATCACTGGATGCTCCAGACTTCTTTATCTTGTCAATTTCTTCCGAGGTAAGCTTTTGGATCTTGGAACCAATATTGATAATATTCTGATTATTTTCAGCACTATTGGTGAACAACTGAGTAAGAGTATCTTTATTGATCTCTTGTTCAGTTTCTTCTTCCTCTGGAATATCAACGGTTTGATCAGTCATTGATCTGATCGGTTTGACCTTATTATCTTCAATGATTTCAAATGTTTGACCAAATGGATATCCAAGAATACCACTAACTTCAAAACAACCGAATTTACCTAAACTTATGAGCCCACTGTTTCTTAATTCAATAATTTTTATACCTTCAGATGGTAAACGAAGCACAACATGCTGATCTGGGCTTATATGTGACGTGCTTTTGCACTTGATTGCATTCGAAGACAGTGCACTGAATTCTACCTTTTTAGAGTCTCCTGGATTTGAGTCTACCTCCATTTTCATTCAAATTACGGGTATTGAAGCTCTTTATACACGATATAAATATATAATCGAAGAGCATCTTAGTTTTTCAGTCCTTCTTTTTCGCCAGTACACTGTATCGAGAAGAATTTTTTTTTTTTTTTTTTTGCAGATGAGTGAAAAAAAAAAGCTCATCGCACTATCTACTTAAGCTTAGAAGAAAGAGCCATTAGCTAAACTCTACTGTTTTCTGTTAAGGTATATATATAGAGTAAACCATGGGTAGAAGATCTAAGAATAAACAAGGGGTTCCACCTAGTTTTGATGAATTTCAAGCTAGAAAGGAAAAGAAAGATGCCAAAAGAAAGAGAACTGAAGAAGCAATCGCTGAAAAACCTGCCAAAAAATCCAAAGATATAAATTATGCAAAATCTAATGACAGTAAGAAGACCAAGTCTTCCAAGCCAAAGAAGAATACTAAAGAGGAAGAAAAGAGCGAAGAACCTGAAGATTTACCAGAAGTTGACTATGAAGAGTTGGCTTCTGCCAAAAAATCGTTATTCGATGACTCTGATGAAGAAGCACCAGAAGCTGAAGCTGAAGAGCTTGACGATGAATTCGATATTGGTAGCGATAACGATGTTGACGGTGATGAATTTTATGATTCCGATGAAGACGATCGTGCCAAGCCTATGTTTTCTGATGATGAAGATGATATGGAAACCTTGAATGCAGCCAATATGGAAGCTTTGTCACGTAAATTGGACGAAGAAGAAGAACTTGAAGCTGAAGAAGCCGAAAGGGAATTAGTTGAAGGTGCCACTCAACCAAAGGCCAAAATCTTACCAACACCAGAAGAAGAAGCATTATTACAAAAGGGCCCTCAAGACCTTACGATGGTGAGAACTAGAATGATTGAAGTTGTGAAAGTTTTAGAAAATTTCAAAGAATTGGCAGAAGAAGGTAAATCAAGAGCCGAATATACTAACAGATTGTTAAAAGACATCTGTGAATATTTCGGTTATAATGAATTTTTAGCTGAAAAATTATTCAATCTTTTCTCTCCAGCTGAAGCCATGGAATTTTTCGAAGCAAATGAAATTGCAAGACCTATAACTATCAGAACAAATACTCTTAAAACTAGACGTCGTGATTTAGCCCAGACCTTAGTGAACCGTGGTGTTAACTTGCAACCAATTGGATCCTGGACTAAAGTTGGATTACAAATTTTTGATTCTCAAGTTCCAATAGGTGCTACTCCAGAATATTTGGCCGGTCAATATATCTTACAAGCTGCATCATCTTTCTTACCTGTCATGGCATTAGACCCTCAAGAAAATGAACGTATATTGGATATGGCAGCTGCACCAGGTGGTAAGACTACTTATATTTCTGCTCTCATGAAAAATACTGGTTGTGTTTTCGCTAATGATGCTAATAAAGCCCGTACCAAATCATTAATTGCAAATATTCATAGATTGGGATGTAAAAACACCATTGTATGTAATTATGATGCTAGAGAATTTCCAAAAGTTATCGGTGGTTTCGACAGAATTTTATTAGATGCTCCATGCTCAGGTACTGGGGTTATTGCTAAAGATGAATCAGTTAAAGTTAACCGTTCAGAAAAAGATTTCATTCAAATCCCACACTTGCAAAAACAATTATTGTTATCTGCAATTGATTCTGTTGATGCTAATTCAGCAACTGGGGGTGTTATCGTATACTCTACTTGTTCAGTTGCTGTAGATGAAAATGAAGCTGTCGTTGATTATGCTTTAAGAAAGAGACCTAATGTTAAATTAGTTGAATCTGGCTTACAAATCGGTAAAGAAGGTTTCACTTCTTATCGTGGTAAACATTTCAACCCAAGTATTTCATTGACTAGACGTTATTATCCTCATACTTATAACGTTGATGGGTTTTATGTTGCTAAATTCAAAAAAGTTGCTCCTTCTCCACATGATATCTCTAAAGCTGGTGCCAAAGAAAAAGAATCATTAGCTAGATCTGAAGCCGAAGAAGAAGGTATCATCCATGACGATTTCGCTGAGTTCGATGAAGCCGAAGATAAGGAAATCATTGATCAAACTATGAAGAGAAACTTAAAGAGAAAAGGTATTAACCCAAGTTCTGTTTTGAACAAGAACAAATAGATAACCATTTTCAATAAGTCATTTTCAGCAAATTTCTACATATATTTTCATTTTCTTTCTTGTATATTATACATATTTTGTAAGCTTTTATTTCCATTTTCAAATTAAAATATAGATTAAGTATATCAGACATAATATTACAATTTTCTTTCAACTCATTTGAGTTACTAAGTAGTTTACCTCAAGCAGACATTACCCAAACCATGCTCTTTGATATATTCAGGTCCCATCTCTTCATATTCTTCTTTAGTGACAAAATGCTTCTGGTTTTCTGGATTGGATGCCCATTTTTGCATACCTTTCCATGGGTCAATGGTTGGATTATTTGCCTTTCTGACCCTCAATGGAGTGCCGACAGGTAAAAAGCTAGTGAAGTCATTAACAATCCTGTCAGTGAAATTTGGTAGTTGAGAGAGACCACCCGTTATAAAAACATCTTGAATAACATTATATGATTGACCACCAGGGCTGAAGCTACCATCAAGTCTTCTATGAACCAAGTCATCCAGCAATTCCCCTAAACCTGCTTGGTCAAGACCAGCGATGTTAGGTTGAAAGAGAACTTCAGGAATACGTATTCTTTCAACATTCAAATGAATTTGATGATTTTTCTTTATGATTTCGGGATGATTAGCTATTTCTTCTGCATCATGTCCTTCAGCCTGCATAGCAAGAGTAATGTTTTGACGAGGACCATGAAGAAATTTATGCAAAACAGAATTTTCCCAATCAAACTTTTGGGAAGCAGCAAGGGTGTCTTCATGATTAAAATTTGGATCATATTTCAATAATTCTTCTTCAATTTTTAAAACATTTTCATTGTCATCGGCCTGTTGTTCTTCAAGGCTGACGTTCGTTATATCTCTGTAAGCATTCCAATCATCATCATTGGCACCAAATGTATCGTTAGGATCATTATCAATAGTGGCATTTGCATTACGACGTCTTTTACGAGAGGCAGCAGCAGTAGAACCAGTTTCATCATTTGCCAAATCAGCAATGTTTTTCATTCTCTGTTGAGCAGCCATTGATTTTCGATCTTTGAAAGACTCCAAAATTTTTTCACGATCTCTTATTTTGGCAATAAGTTCGGCTAACTGAACCCTTTTAACTGAACACCAATCATCCAAATCACGGTCTCGCCATTCTTGATCTTCCCTCTCGTATTTAGCCTTGAGTTCTTCTTCTTCTTTTTTGGCTTCTTTTGCACGTTGACGAGCTTCGAAGTTGGCTTTAAGTAACTTTTGTTTCCTCTTTTCTTTGATCAAATCCTCAGTTAATTGATCATCAGGAACTTCTGCCAACGGATAGGCTGTGTTTGGATCTATCTCTTCATTTTGATTTTCACTGATATCTTCATGGCGGCCTTTTTTGATAGACTTCTCCAAATTGGCCACATATTTTTTGAAATCATCATAATCTTCAAATTCTTCATCTTCCATTCTACGTTGAATATCAGTCTTTGACCATCCTTCTAATTCAATACTTAAATTGGTATAATATTGAAATTCTTGTTCTTTCTGAAGAAGTTTTTCTAATCTTTTCTGTTGAGCTTGCTCTTGTAATCTTTTACCTTGTTCTTTTCTCTTTTGAGCTTGTAAAGCTAGTTCTTCCTCGGTTTTCTTTTTTTCTGGATTAACTGCAATGTCCACAGCAGCTTGAACAACCACGTCTTTTGTTTCTAAGAAGTCCATGTTCAAATAGTTAGATAATTCTTCTTGATAGTCTTTCAGTATGTAGCAATGGTCTTGAAATAAATGCGTAGTATGAGTATTGGTCAACTTGGAAGGAAAATACGGATATTTCAAGCCAATTAATTTTTGTAAAAACTGTTGAGATTGATTACCACCCCAATCTATTCTTTTTGTTTGCAGAAGTATACCTTTTCCTTCTAAGACCGGGATTACATGGGTCAGTTCATTACCAGCGCCAATTACTAACCCATTAGACGCACTGCTAAAATTGGGGGTATTTGCATAGTATGAAAACAAAGAGTCAATACCGAAAGTTGTTTTAGGAACCTGGTAAGCTTCGTATAAGAGTTCATACATCGTCTTTCTTTGGGCAAAAGGACAGGCAACCGGTTCTGTCATAATAATCGGATTATTTAAACGTCCATTATCCGAGTAAGCACCTAAATGTTCAAAACTATAATCAAGCATGAATTCAATATAATCCCAATTTGTTATCAATGGACCATCGAATGGAGCCTTTATCGAAGATTTTAGTGCCAGATCTCTGTAAACATCATGTCCAACAAGAGTCAATGTTTTCAAGGCTTTTCTATCTCTATAACGAGCCAAAACTGATGGGAATACATTATTTGGCTCCGGAGAGTTTGTCAACCCAGCACGAACAAGCGAGGTCCCGATATCAATAGCAATAGGAACATCATATTGATAATTTTGATAAAAGGGTTCTGGTTGGGCTGGTACGGATATTTCTCGTAGATGATGCAATTCCTGAGGCGGAAGCTGTTCCTCGGATAGCTCCTCTTTCTTCACGCTGACAGTCATCTTCACTGCTGGTACCCAATAGTGTCTTCACTGGGAGAAGTTAAAATCTCTAGTGTTTAACCACCCTTCATGTTTTTTTTCAACTGGGTTCTCTACCAAACCAGCGTTGCACACCCATACACCAAAAAACCCACCACCCTCAAAATCGATTACGCTGTTAAAAAAGGGGAAAGAACGTTTGATTTTGATTTCTAAAAGAAAACATCAAGAGACTTATTCCTTAACGATTGATTGCGATTGAAAACACATCATGTCAGGAGAAGAAAGCCAATTCAACGTCCAAGGTTACAACATTGTAACTATTCTTAAAAGATTAGAGGCAGCTACCTCTAGATTAGAAGATATAACTATATTCCAAGAAGAAGCCAATGTGATTCCAGACGGGAAAGCCGGTGCTATTGATGGAGAAAAGAAAAAATCAATTGAGTCGGGGGCTGCTGGTGCTGGTGCTGGCTCTTCTGGTCCATCTGGTCCAGTCAAGCCACTAGTTATTGAAGAATCTAAACAAGTTAAGGCTTTCAAAGAGTATTTGGAAGAACACGTAAAGCCATTTACTGCTAAGTCCAAAGAAGTCGATACCTTAGTGGGTCAAGCAGCATCGACATTAGCCGATGCATTTGAAGCACAAGTCAAATTCTTGACGATTGTCGATCAAGCCAAAAAACCAGATATGTCAAGTGGAGAATTTTTGGAACTTATCAATCCAATTAACAGTCAAATTGAAAAACTTAACAATTTGAAGGAATCCAATCGTAGATCCGAATACTTTAATCATTTGAGTACCCTTAGCGAAGGGGCACCAGTGTTGGGATGGATTCTTTCAAATCTTCCAGTTCCAATGATTAGTGAATTTAAAGATAGTGCTCAATTCTGGTCCAACCGAGTAATTAAGGATTATAAGGAAAAGGATCCAAAGCAAGCTGAATGGGCCAAACAATTTATTGCGATTTTTGAACCTTTGAAAGCTTATGTTAAAGAATATCACACTACTGGACCAGCCTGGAATAATAAGGATGGTAAAAACATATCTGAAGTTTTGAGTAAGGCCCCAGTTAGTGCAGCACCACCAGCCGCTGGTGGATCAGCCCCACCTCCACCACCACCACCTCCACCACCAGCTTCAATTTTCGAAGACGACGGTGGTGCAGCTAAATCCGCTCCAGCAAGTGGAGGAGGCATGAATGCAGTTTTCGCTGATTTGAATAAAGGTGAAGGAATCACATCAGGACTTAAAAAGGTTGATAAATCGGAAATGACCCATAAGAACCCAGCCTTGAGACAACAGGCTGCAGCAAAGAAACCAACTCCACCAAAAAAACCCACCAACTTATCCTCTGCCCCCTCTACCAGTGCTCCTAAGAAGAAACCAGCCAAGAAGGAATTGGTTGACGGAACCAAATGGATTATTGAAAACTTTACTGATGCCGACGTTCCTGCAAACCAACCAATCACCATTGAAGCAGAAATGCACCAATCTATTTTCATTGGTAACACCAGCGGAATCACGATCCAAGTCAAGGGTAAAGCCAATGCTATTTCCTTATCGGAAACCCGTAACACCGGCGTTGTGGTTGACTCTTTAATCAGTGGTATTGACGTGATCAAATCCTACAAGTATGGTTTACAAGTTTTAGAAGTGGTTCCAATGATCAGTATCGATAAGTCTGACGAAGGTACCATCTACTTGAGTCAAGCAAGTGTAGATGCCGACACCCAAATCTTCACCAGTTCCACCACTGCATTAAACATCAATGTTCCCCAAGATGATGACTATTCTGAATTAGCCGTTCCCGAACAGTTCAAACACACCATCAAGAACGGCCAATTAGTCAGTGAAGTCGTCGAACACGCTGGCTAGCCTATATACCAATAACATAATTAGATATAGTATAATTAGTACAAGTAGATTATCACCGTTTTTGCAATCGTGCAAGGTTGCACGACCCTTTCCAAGGTCGTGCGCCCGCCCTCATCGTTAAGAGTGAAAAATTCCCCTAACAAAACAAAAAAAAACCACCGATTTTAATTGAAAAATGCTAGAACCTTCCATCGATTTAGAAATAAAAATGCGAATAAAAACTTGTTAACTATGGAAAATGATAGAAGTCCTAACAAAACAAAAAAAAAAAGAGAAAAAAAAAAATAGAAGGGAAAAAAAAAAAGCTGTTGGCGAAATATTACTAAAACTCTGTGATATAAAAATTTTAATCTTCCCATTCTATCTAAAACTAGATATATTCAAGAATATATTAGAGCGGGAATTCAAACCTATATCCACAGTCGAATCACATAAGTTTGTTGTAGTTTGAGATACTACCATTGCAGTTGGTTCCTAATATAAATCATTGATTAATAGATTTAGAAAATTCCTGATCTAGATATTATACAGATAAATACGGGCTTGTATTATAGTTTTCACGGCATTTGATTGGAACATATATATAACAGAATGGTTAAAGATACTAAGTTTTACGATCTTTTGGGAGTTTCCCCATCAGCATCAGACACTGAATTGAAAAAAGCTTATAGAAAATCGGCTTTAAAATACCATCCAGATAAAAACCCATCTCCAGAAGCCGCTGAAAAATTCAAAGAATTATCTCACGCCTATGAAGTTCTTAGTGATGAACAAAAGAGAGAAATGTATGATTCTTATGGTGAAGAAGGTTTAAGTGGTGCTGGTGGAATGGGAGGTGGAATGGGTGCAGAAGATATCTTTTCACAATTCTTCGGTGGTGGTTTTGGAGGTATGGGCGGTGGTGCCTCCAGAGGTCCTGCTAGAGGAAAAGATATCAAGCATTCTATTTCTTGTACTTTGGAAGAATTATATAAAGGTAGAACTGCTAAATTGGCTCTTAACAAGACTATTTTATGTAAAACTTGTGAAGGTCGTGGTGGTAAAGAAGGTAAAATTAAACAATGTTCTAGTTGTCATGGTCAAGGTATGAAATTTGTCACTAGACAAATGGGTCCTATGATTCAAAGATTCCAAACTGTTTGTGAGGTTTGTAATGGTAGTGGTGATATTTGTGATCCAAAGGATAGATGTACTTCTTGTAAAGGTAAGAAAACTCAAAATGAACGTAAAATCTTACAAGTTAATATTGATCCTGGTATGAAAGATGGTCAAAGAATTGTCTTTTCTGGCGAAGGTGATCAAGAACCTGGTGTTACTCCTGGTGATGTTGTCTTTGTCGTTGATGAAAGACCTCATGATAAATTCACTAGAAAAGGTAATGATTTACACTATGAAGCTGAAGTTGATTTATTAACTGCTTTGGCCGGTGGTGAAATTGGGTTTAAACATGTTTCGGGTGATTTCGTTAAAGCTACTATCTTACCGGGTGAAATTATTTCTCCTGGTGTTACTAAAGTTATTGAAAATCAAGGTATGCCAGTTAATAGACAAAGTAGTAAAGGTAACTTGTTTGTTAAATTCACCGTTAAATTCCCAGCAAACCACTTTACCTCTGAAGAAAATTTGAAAAAATTAGAAGATATCTTACCTCCAAGAAAAACTCTTAGTGTTCCAAAAGGTAGTGAAATTGATGAAGTTGATTTAGTTGATTTTGATCCATACAGACATCAATCTAGCTCTAGACGTGATGCTTATGATTCTGAAGATGAAGAAGGTGGCGCTGGTCCAGGTGTTCAATGTGCTTCCCAATAGATGAAGTATTCTATATTCCTTTTCCTTTTCTGCTGTTAGTTTGTTTGTATATCATTTAATACATTCTAATAAATATTTAATCTTGTGATTTTTTTTTTTTTATACAATTTAATTATAAACTTTTGTACCAATATTTAAAATTCAAAAATCCTATATACATTCATTAATCATGATTATTTAACTCTTTGAATCGCCATGAAATAATTACCAACATCTGGATTAGATGTAAACTTCCATCCACAAGTTGGTAAATAAAAACATCCTCTGCTATCAACCACTTTAAAAGAATTGGCTCGTTCTGGGTCTTCTTCAACCCAATTCTTTATTTCTCTTTGGTCAATATATTTTTCTAATGTATGGGTTCCTACAGGAACTATTCTCAATACATGTTCTCCCATAAATATAGTAGTAAACCAACTAACAAAATCCCTATTTATAGTTGAAATGAAAATCCATCCTCCTACTTCGAGTCTATCCATAACTTCTGTTAAAACTCTCGATGGATAAGTTACATGCTCAAGCATCTCAAAACAAGTAATGATATCAAATTTTTCATCTTTTGGTATATCCTCAATTGCTTTCAAATCATACGAAAGCTTCTTATCCAAGATAGGATCTTTGGCCTTATGGACTTTAGCTGCTTCAATAACCTCGTTACTTAAATCAATTCCTTGTACTGATTCAATCCATCTTAAGCGTGCCATTGACTCGGATAAAATACCCCCACCACATCCAACATCCAATGCTCTCAACTTAGAACTTTCCAATATTTCGTCCCGCTTCAATTCTTGATCGGTAAGAATACGATTCTTTATTGGTTTTGGTAGTAAATCAACATTATATGGTGGTACATATATTTCTTCTTCCATTGGGGTATTTTCGTCATTCAATTTCAAATTATTACGAATAGTTTCGTAAATAAAATCCATTCTCAACAAGTTCATTTTATGTAGTATTCTTTGTGGCCCATTTACATCCCACCAGGTCGACGCTAAAGCATTGAAATGAGACATTTCATCTTCAGAGGCAGCCGTATATTTTTGATGATGAAGTCTGGATAGACTGGAAAAATTTCTGCTGAAATTGGCTCTTACTAAAGTTGCCCTCTTAATGAGGGTTCCCGATAAACTATTCATTGAGTGAATAACCCTTTGTTCTAACCAGATAGATGTATGGCTGGTGCAATTATAGTAGCAAAAGTACGATCGGAGGATTTTTTTTTCAACTTTATTTTAATTTTTTTTTCTTTGATTTTTTCTCTTTGGTTCTTGTAAATCTCAAAATATATACACTGATTAATCCAAGAAACTGCTTCCAGCTTAATATATTGATACAATGTCCGACGAGTATTTGGTATCAAGTAGATCGAGGCGTTCCAATGCTGGCTCTCGGTTGAAGCTGTTGATTGAACTAGAAAATCAATCGAATGAACTACAAGGTGCAGCATCCCAATTTGCTGATGAGGAAGATGAAAATGTTAATTTACTTTTCCAAGAAGATGATGACGATATGGAGTTCGTTGAAGAGAAACTGTCCGATATGGAACAAGAAGATGAAGATGGAGAGGAAGAGGAGGATGCCGGGGATGCTGATGATGATGATTCGAAAGAAAATAGAGAGATTACAGCCGAAGATGAACTTCGAGAAATATTATCTGATGCCGAAGAGGATAAGGCTTTAAATTCAGATGATGTTTTATCTGAATCTGAGCTTTCGTTGTCAGATGACGATGAAGAAGAAGGTGAAGTAGAACTTCAAAAACAAGAACGGTTAAAGAAAAGAAAACTTAAGAAACAAAAAAGTCTAATACCAACGATTAAAAAACCAAAATTAGACCAGCAGGTTTCAAAAAAGGAAATCTCTGGATCGAAATCGAAATCCAATTTGATTACTTCGGACACATTATTATTATCTGCACGAAGATCATCGTCGAGAGCATCAGCTCTCGAAAATAAACAAGCTTTGGTTGAAAGACTTAAAGAAAGTGAAGAAAGAAGAGCTAAGGCAACACCAATTGTTCGTGAAAAAGAACGTGAGCTTACTCAGGAAGAAAGATTATTAGAGGCCATAGAGACAGAAAAGGCCAACGTTCTATCGTTGAACTTATTTAAAGAGCAAGAAATAGTGAAGAAAGAACATCGTAGACAATTGCTTTCTCTGAAACGTGAAAAATTGAGAAACATAATTAGATTAGTATCTCAGGAATCGTTTGTCACTCCACTAGATGAAATCAATGATGCAAAGCATGTGTACGAGCTTTTCAACAGTAAGCTGAGAAAGAAACCAGGAAGAAGAAAGAAACACACACAAATTGAAGATACCAGTAGCGTTGTAAGGTTTCCTGGTGAAATAGATACCGAATTGCCATTAGTCAAAGAAGAACTAGAAAAGGAGAGGAAAAGAAAAGAAGAAGAGGAAGCATTGAAGAAAGAAAAAGAAGATACTCAGCCAGAGGGTCAAAACACTGTGTCTGAACTCACTGATAAGGAACAACAGACCGAGAATGCTGCGGACGGCTCACAGTCAAAAAAAGAGAATGGCTTGACCAACTCTCTTCAAGAATCGTTGATAAGTGGACCAGAACATAAAGAACCAGAAAATGATCATACCGCTACTGGAGACGCAACTATATCAAATATCCACACTGAACCTTCAGAGTCGAATGAAAACAGCATTGACAAACCTGCAGAATCTATTGAATCAAAAAAACCACAGCTGACAGAAAACATCAGTGAAGCAGAAAAGATCAGTGAAGCAGAAAAAATCAATGAGAAGTATACTGATGAGAAATCTACAACAGGTATTGATGACGCTAACGACAATTCCACTGCACCCATTGATGATAATAATGCCAATGATGATACTGGTGAAGGTGTCACTGAAAGTACCAACGACACCAATGAAATCAATGAAACTAATGCAACCAATGCAACCAATGCAACCAATGAAACCAATGAAACCAATGAAACCAATGAAACCAATGAAACCAATGAAACCAATGAAACCAATGAAACCAAAGATGATATAGAAGATACCTCTAAAGAAAAAATTAGCGACATGGGAGATTTAGATGATCATGAATCCACTTTCAAGGCCAGCGACGTCAATGATATTGCAAATGACCCTAAATCTGATCTGGTTCAAGAATCTGAATTAAACAAACCTGTCATCAAAAACGTGAAAAGGGTTACGTTTGCAGATAACGAAACATCAAGAGAAAATACACCAATGGAGGAAGATAACGAAGATAAGGCTGATGATGAAGAGGGAAATGAAGAAAATGGGGAAGAAGTTTTTGAAGGCCCCCCTCAAAGAGTTGCCAGAAACATTTTATATCTTCTTGATTTCGACGACGATGATAAAGATCGAAAGCTAACACCTTTGAATGTGAAGACTATTCTTTTAGGGCCTCAATCTCAATATCCAGCCAGTCACAGATTCAAGGATACCAAGACCATTCTTAGAATTGGACACGTTGACAATCCATACGCAGTTGTCAAAGAAGAAAAAGATCCTATTTTTGAACTGGTTTCTGAGTTGACCGAAGACAGTACTATGTTTGATGAGCTCAAGCGCTTACCAAGACTTGGTGTTGTTCAAGATTTTGTCGAGGAAGAAGAGGAAGATGCCAAAGCTGAACAAACCGTTATTAATATCAAGACTGAAGCTCCGACAGGTCTTTACTTGCCTAATGGTAATAAGAAGAAATGTTTCATCACTGGTGACGAAGTTAAATACTTTGATCCTTCAAATGGGTTGCCATATAGTAGTGTTGAAGCCTACCGAACACTCAAATCAATTGAGCAAGGAAATGTACCATGGTTTACTTTTGATAATGAATTCAATAGTTGGGGAAGTACTGAAATCTATTTGGGTACTAGAGATGGGACTACGAGGCATGCACAAGGGGTTCCAGAAGGTTTTGCGGGTTAAACAATAAAATAATCTATTTATAATTAACAAATGTGACTTTTTGCATGTATATATAAGTTTATAATGAATACTAATGACTAAAATCTAATGAAATAAAACCTTTATGCGATATACTAACTTGTAGCATGTTGAACGTCTTTTTCGTGAGCTTTTATCAAGTCATCTTGAAACTTCATTAATTTCGATTTCAAAACAGGAACAAAAATCTTTCTGATTTCACTTTTATGGTCGTCTGCATCAATTTCAAAAACGTATTCGTCTTCGTCTTGATCATGGACAAACTCGGGAACAGTAATTTTGGCATTCAGTTTATTTTCTTCGTCTTTATACTGAACTTCAACTTGAAATTGTAGTTTCATATCATAAATACATAATACTTTACCCTTTCTTTGAGTGACATCACAGTCACCAGTAACTGAGTCAACCGAGTTTAAAAAGAATTTATAATCATTTTGCTCAACCTTAGTTTTAACAACATGTTCATCAAAGTATGTCTTTGACCAAGGAAGACAATTCTTATCTATCCAATGCCTAAACGAAAACTAAATTAGTAATTATTCTCCAGATCAAAGAAGAGCTTTCGCACATACCAATTGTTAGGGTTGTGAACGACCATGATAACAAATTAAAGATATCGATTTGATAGAAAAGCTACGTCAAAGATATTCTCTTCAAACTTATATGTGAAGTAAGATGGATCTTGGAAAGAAAAGTTGAGTATTGATAAATTCTACAAAGTTCCATACGAATCCGCGTTTCTTACTAGATCGAAAATTTTTCAGTTCAAAAAGGCGGAAAAAAGACTGCTAAAAAGTAAAAATGTAAGAATTAAATGAATGCAAAATTATATAGATTATCATGCAGAGGACCTGGGTTAAAACAAAGATGCAATAGAGAGTGTAGTCAAGAAACAGAGGAAAATTAAAACAATGAAAACAGGAGGCAAAAGATATTAGTTTTCCCAAAAATGATGGTGGGTATTATCTTTAAAAGATAGCATAAAGAACAACTGGGGTACCGTAGTTGCAATATTCTGAAGATAAAACTTGGTCACCATCATCAGTTTCGCAAGCGAAGAAGCTCTTTTCATTCAAGGTTAAGTGGCCATCGATGATTTTCCAACCAGGAGTTGGGTCAGTGTTACCTTCTGGTTGAACATTACCAACAAATCCACCAGGGAAAATGTGAATACCTTTATTGAATTGGTCAACCAAAGTAGAATCTGATTTCAAGTAGAAGAAAACACGTTCACCTTCATCACCACCAACGAAGAAAGTTTTAGAAGAAGAAGCATGTTTTCTGATTGGCATTTGATTGAACTTAGTACCGACATTAATAGCCAAAGCACCAAAAAGTTTAGCATTTAAATTGAAAAAATCACCGATTGTGTTTTTTGCTTGTTGAAATTCCAATTTTATATCAGAAGAAATGGTGGCAACATCTTTAACACCGCTTGGAACAGTGAAAGCTTCACGTTTGGAAGCAGAAGAAGCAGAGATGTGACTAGAACTAGTTAATTTAATATCTAATTCTTCACTCAAAGCGCAAGGACCAGTACCAATTCTAAATTTATTGGAATTTGGAGATTTGCATGCAAGTAAAGGTTCGCCTTCAAGTAACAAACTACCGCTTTCAATAGAGAAATTGTTATTTGAAGATTCATGAGACTCAAATAAGAATCCATGAGCATCGACGTTAATTTTCAAATTGTTCGAAGTATCAATCAACTCACCGTTTTCAACTTCAAAGTCACTAAGATGTGAGTGGAAGTCAGCTTCCGTACCAAGAACCAAAGAAGAGTCTTCAATTCCAATAGCAGCAAAAACGGAAGTATCAGTGTGAGCTTGGAGAAATTTGAAGGCATCGGCAGAAGCCAATCCAGCCATGAGTAAGAAGTTTAGAAATTGCATTTTTATTCTGGCTATTTTTATTGAATAAAATAATTTCCCTTGAATCAAGCAGGATCCAGTTCTATATATATATCTAACAGGACCGAAAAACACAGCTTCTATTATCACGAACAATTCGCTGCTGTACTCAGAACAATTCAGCAACCCTTGTCAAATTGTGAGTTTGAATCGTATTTACAAAAATCGTGTAGAAAACAGTCATTACACAAATCAGCTTTAAAACGAACTAATAATGTGTTTCTATTTATTGCAACACTGGGAAGTTGGGGAAACCCGTCTACAAAAGCATTAAGGTATCGACTGAACCAGAACGTGTAAAGGAATACACCATAACAAAGCCCCAAAGAACTCTGTCGAGCCACTGATACTGTCTAAGCTCATAAGAAACATCGTTTTATTTTTTGCTTTATCTACTGGATTTTTTTTTTTTTTTTTTTTTTTTTTTTTTTTTTGCAATCGAGCGTTGTAAGATACAAAAATATCTCAACACGTTTAAGAGTTATGTTACCAAGGTCTATGTATGGAGGTTAATACGGTTTGACATATTTACAAGCCCTGAAAAGGGAGTGAGAAATAGGTATATGCGTTTTGCAAGCTTACATCATATATAAGAGAAAAGACCGGGGACCGGAGCGATTAATCCGACCAGGTGAAGCGACTCTTTTTCCTAATATCTTCACCGTATATGTAGAAAAGAAAAGCTGGTGGGATTAATAGCATGGAAAATAAAGCCCAAAAAGTGGTAGCCCAATGAACACCCATACCTTTATACATTTTCAAAGCGAAAAGGTCAAAAGAGCCTGCCAATAATGATCTTATGAACGAATTAGTTGACATTGCCGAAGCAGCATATTTTTGATAAGCAATGATTTGGTAGGAAAATATTCCAGTGAACACCAAGATAGCACCGCTGGCATAGATGAAACTCCCAATGATGGGACCCATCCAGTGGACATGAGAATAAGAAGTCCAGGCCATTATGAGTAACCCTATTGGAACAATGAAAACACCTACCATTAACGAAGCCAATTTAATTTCTGGTTTAAAAACACCATTATTTCTCAAGAGTAATTTATGTTGTAAAGCTTCGGTAAGTTTGGGGCTGACTAAAGAAGTAATACTGAAACCCAAGGTGATACCAATAAAAGTTAAACCAACTTGATAAAGATTAAAGTTATAGACGGTTTGGAAAGTATAAGGAATTGAAACGAAGAACATATAAACAATTGCCAAAGTGAAAGCGGTGTAGAAGCAAAGAGCAAAAGTCATTTGATCTCTGAAAATTAATTCGAGCGGACGTTCACAGGAGGTTAAGATACTTTTATGTAAAGGAATTTGGGATTTTTCTAAAGCAGCATAATAATTAGAATCTCCAGTTTCTGCTCTTAAACGTTGTGCTTTTCTTTTCAATAAAATAGGTTCATAAGTTTCAGGTACAAAAAATAAAATAGACAAGAGGGAGACAAAAGTCCAAATTATCATGGTATAGAACGTCCATTTATAATTCTTAGGATGCATATTAACGAAACCAAATATGATTGGGCCCAATCCTGGACCTATAAAAGCCGAAGATGAATATAAAACTAGGGACCTGCCTAATCTTTTAGCTTGTTGAGCAACGTATTTAGAATCACCTCTTTTAAGAACCGGTACTCTAAATATATCCGTGAAAGTACCACTGGCCACTGACATAAAAGAAGATGCAAAAAAACCTGAAGCGAAACGACCAAATAAGACACCACCAATATTTTTACAAAAAGCAGTTAAAAATTGGAAAGCTAAAGTTGCCAAAAGACCGGTTAGGTAAACAATTTTTCTTCCATGATATTCACTAATTGGAGCCAAAAAAATTCCGCCCATCCCCAATCCCCAAATGAATAGGGTGATACCTAGGGCACTTACTTCCGCATTAATACCATATTCCTTAATTATATTTGAAGAAGCCAAAGACCACAGTGATGATATACATGTAACGCAAAGTGAAGTAACTGATACAATTATAACAATCAACCATTTGCGGAACGTCGATAACCCAGTTTGATCTTCTTTATCATCATTACCATCAAATACTACTAAATACGGATCTTCAACAACGGTGGCAGAAGTTTCGTTTTTATTATGTTTTTCGATTGAATTATCCTCATCGGAATTATGACCTATTGAAATACTAGAAGGATCCTGCCCTCTTTCTAAGTCAGAAGAGCTACTCATAGTGCTTAGATATAGGAGAGAAAAAATCTTTTTTCATATTTCCAATGTACTTTAATGGACATTATATACCATTGATTAGACTAATAGGAATCTTGTTCCATTGTTGAATAAGCTTTTGATTAAAAAATTTTCATTAGTGATTGTTTGGTGTAAATATTGACATATTTTTCCAGAGCCTAAGTAGCCGTAAGGGCTGATACACACTATCTTTATTGTCTTAATTTAAGAAAGGCTACGTTAAGATTAATTTGTAGAGTTGTAAGGGTATTGAACAATAGTAGAGACTAAAAACAACGCGGAGTTGTCTAGGGCACGCCAGTACACCCTTTGCCTTTCATGCTTTTCACTTAATGCCATTCCTACTGAAGGTATCCTTAAAGCTTTGCTATACAGCCATAAGATAGTTGGTTAAACAAAGTCCTCTTGGGTGGCAGAATTTGGGTGCAAACCAAAAAGGTCTTCGGCCGAGCAATAGAAGCAACCACCGAAGTGGCTTCGGCCGAAGTCCAGCCGAATAGCGCAAGCCAATGACCGAGCACTCGCCCGAATACTTGATATGTCGATAGTAAGCTTGATCCATTGATGTGTTAGTCTACTGATACGCCAATCCATATGTTAACTCTGTTGTAGTGCCTGGTGTACTGGTATGCTGTCTTTGTTAAATGGTCTTGTGAGTAGCTCCACCCATACACCAGATTGTCAATAGCCCTGTAGACTGGATTCCACGTGCACGACGTAAACATCAAAGCTTAATCCAATACTCCGGCTTGACAACATGAAGCAGTAATTTACTCAATTGATAAAAGGGAAGAGTAGAGTAGAATTCAGTTAAAAAAAAAAAAAAAAAGTTCAAGTGAAAGGGAAAAATTTTGAAATTCGAAAACATCAAAAGATCAGATCGATCAAAATTAAAATTGACAGCGAAACCTGACAGGAGTTGTGTTTTTATTTGCTTTGTTAGTTATTTTTAACTGAAAAATCAAAAAAGAAAAAACAAAAAATAGAATAGAAGGAAAACATCTTTTAGTAAGTACAACTCTAACTCATAAATAGGAGATGCCAGATATAGAGCTAACTAATCTTCATCATAATCATGATTTGGAGAAATCGTCTACTTCTATTGAGATTCCCAATTCAAATACCGAGTCCGCATATCCACCAATTTATCCATTACCCAAGCCATTACAACGGAAATTAATCAGTTATATAATAATTGAAGCATTAGTATCTTTGATAATTTATTATAACTATTTCAAGATTGAAATAAGTACTCATCATTTAATAGCCCCTACTATATTAGGAGCATCAACCGCAGCATTAGCCCAATCAATTAATCAATATTCAAAGAAAAATTTTAGCCTAAATCGTATATTCAAATTTGTAGTATGGGGATGTATAAATGGATGTTTCACTGTTTTATGGATTGATATGTTAATTTATCAAATAGATGGTTTAACTTATAGAATTATGGTTGATCAATTTATTGGGGCTCCTACATTTCAATTAATATTTAGCATTTTAAATTGTTTATGGGATCATGGTGAATTAAATTATACCTTAAAGAATTCTTACTTGAAATCTTTAAAATTTAGTTACTGTTATTGGCCATTTTTCTCAATATGTTCCTTTATGTTTATCCCCCAATCAATGATATTCCCGGCAAATTGTTTAGCAAACTTAATTTGGAATTTGATTTTAAGTAAATTAACCTGATAGGTATATAGTAATAAATATTCAGGAAGTTTGCCCTGTTTTTATACTTTGCAAATTTGCTACTAAATTGCAAAAATAGAAAGCTTCTCAAATACTACATTTTGGTTGTTAAAAAATAGAGACAGCAGAAAAAAAAAAAAAATATATGTATTAATTTCTAGGTTTGAAAGACTTTAATGGATCACTTTTCTTACCAAATCTCTTACCGTGGCCTCCTCTTTTACCCTTTTGGACTCTATGACCGTGCTTGTGGAATGGTACGAATCCTAAGTTCTTAACTTCTCCTCTGGCACTTTCCGGTAATAAATATTCAGGGATTCTCTTCAATTGTGATTGAACTCTGCTTGGATGTAATTCTTTATCGTGTCTCAAACTGGCTAAATCTTGAGGATTTTCTTCGAAATATCTCTTCAATTTGTCAGAGTTAACCAATTCATTCTTTAATTCTTTAATTCTAGCTTCTCTAACAGCAGTCCCGGTGACTGCTCTAAATGCATCTTCTGCACGGTAACGGAACCCTTCAACTTGTTTCATATCAAACTGATATGGTTTGATTTCAAATCCACTACGCTCTTGTTGTTTAACGATACGGCGTAATATCTTTTCATCTCTTTTGGCCAGAGGCAATGTAGCAGTTTTATGTTTACCGACTTCTTTCACTGGAATAACAAATGAAAGAGCCATTCCTTTCTTACCAGCTCTTGCAGTTCTACCTACCCTATGAATATATGCTCGGGATGTGGTTGGTAAATCAAAATTAAGTACACATGCAACATTTTGGAAATCAATACCTCTGGATACCCCATATTCTTTATCCTTCTTTTGATTCTTCTTTTTTGATTTGGAAGCTTCCTTCACTTCTTGCCCTTCTTCCTTTTCTTCTCCTTCGTCTTCTTCTTCCTTTGCTTCATCTTGTTCAATGGTGATATTATTGGTTTCATCAGTAGCTATTAGTAAATGATAAACATTCTTATTAAATTCGTCAACGATATGTAATCTTGAATTAATTGGTAATTCACTATTCAAAATACAACAACGGATACCAAACTGTTCCATAAACAATTTTAATCTATATCCTCTTTCAACATCATTAACGAATATAAGTGTTTTCCCTTTAATTAATTGTAATTTGAATATAACGTAAGCTAAAAGATATTTATCAAATTCAGTTGTTCTAGCGTAAAATTGAATTAAATTATTTTGACTGATATTATCTTCATTCAATTTTAAAACGGCTGGTTTAGAACAGAATTTACTTTTGATTTCTTCAATATCTTCGTTTATAGTAGCTGACATCAAAAAAGTTTGTAGGTTCTTTTTAATAGGTAAGTATTCTTCTAATTTGTTTAAATCATCTTGATAACCATAAGATAATATTAAATCAACTTCATCGATTGTTAAATTTTCAACTTGCGATAAATTTAATAAATTTTGATTATTCTGTTCTTCCATCATCTTGATTAATTTGGCTGGTGTAGTAATAACTATCTCTGGTTTATTGATTAATAGAGATTGTAACACTTGGTCGGAAACATTAGATGATAAGTTAATAGAACCTAAGTTTGAATTACAATAACTTAATAATTTTTCAATAAACTGGTGTACTTGATTCGATAATTCTCGAGTTGGGACTAAAATAATACTTCTTATTTCATGATCTTCTCTTTCATTACTTAATAAGTTTTGGATTATTGGTATGACATAGGCTGCTGTTTTTCCTGAACCAGTTGATGCTTTGGCAATAATATCTCTTTTATCTTCTAATGCTAAAGGAATTGCACTTGATTGGATCAAGGTTGGATTTTCAAACCCGAGCTGATCGATGGCTTGGAGTAATCTGGGGTCAAGATTAAAGGTATCCCACTTGGTACTATCGTCGACATAAGCAGCTGATGCTGCTTTAGTATTACTCATGCTTACTTATCTTAATATTGAATGAAAATAGTATAAATTTTACTTTTAGATGCTCATCTGAAGTTTTCTCATCTACTTTTTTCTTTCTCATCGCAAAAAATCAGGTGTACGGGTCTTATTTTGGAAGCTATAACCAAAAGCTATCTAATAGTAATATCTAATAGGTATATCTAAGGTAAATCTAATGGGTATAGTCAATAGTTGTAGTTGAGAAGCATTTAAAAAAATGTCGTAGTACTCAACATAATTGGAATTTTTTTCGAAAGAGTTGAACGAAACCTGGCGTGATTCTTCAGCTTGGTATTATCCTGTTTAGTTAAAATTGAATAAAAGAGAAAGCGGTCTCTAATGAGCTTTAACGTATATTATAATGAAAACAAAGGGTGTTATTGGAAACGACTGGTGGTGTCAATTGAGTTTGAAGAAGGAGCTTTGTATATTGAAGTATGATACATGGGTGTTATTCTAACATTTTTTTCGAATAATTGCAAAAAAACTAATATTTTTTTTTGATTAAGACTTACTTACACAAGAGGAAAAAGAGCGACTCCGAAGTTTGTAAGTTTAACTTTCCTTAGACTAGCTTTCAACTAGGCGTGAAAATAAGAAAAATCACAGACATAATTGTGTGAGCCAAAATTTACACAATTTTTTCAAAAATAGATTTCAAGGCCAGAGAAAGTATATACCTAGTTGAATACTCAGTGAAAAAAGTAAAGCAGCTTATTAAAGAGATATAACAAGCCCAAAATCGGAAAATATCACAAATCCTTTAATGAATTTTGGCCTGACTTAAAAGCAACAGTAAAATAATTTTCATAAATCGGGCGTGTGGCGTAGTTGGTAGCGCGTTCGCTTAGCATGCGAAAGGTCTTGGGTTCGACTCCCAACTCGTCCATTTATTTTTTGAATTCATGATACATAAAGTATTATGAATGAAAGATAGATTTTCTTTGCTTTTTTATTCTTGTTTCAAAAGTTACAGAAGGACGATGATTAAGCGATGTATTAATATATACAATACCCGGGGCGGCAATTAGATTCTTGGAATTGGGCCACCAGGGGAGGATTCGATTCTACCGGTTAATCTTTCAACCCCATCTTCAGTGACTAATAACATTTCTTCAAATTGAGCAGAATGCTTACCATCACTAGTGGCAGCAGTCCAGTTATCGGGCCAAGAGATATCACGATAAGTACCCAAGTTAATCATTGGTTCTATGGTGAAAACCATACCAGGTTTAGCAACCCCAATAGCTTTATTTTTAGCATAATGAGGAATATTTGGTTGACAATGGAATAATTCATTAATACCATGACCACAATAGGTTCTAACTACCGAACAGTTATTTTTTGAAGCATGAGATTCGATAATGTTACCAAGTTCTCTAAAAGGTAAACCTGGTTTTACTGCATCGATTGCTAAATCTAAACATTCTCTAGTAGTTTCGACTAATCTAACCAAATCAGGATTTGCTTTTGCTTTATCACCAACGTAATAAGTTTCATTTAAATCGGCATTAAACCCAAGATAATAAATACTTACATCTAAATTGATAATATCACCATCTTTCAATTTAGTTTGATCAGGAATACCATGACAAATAACTTCATTTATAGAAGTACAAAAAGATTTTGGATAATTATAATAATTAAGAGGAGAAGGATAACAATTTCTCTTAATACATTCACGATGTAAAATTTCGTCTAATTCATCAGTGGTAATACCAGGTTCAATATGTTTTGCAGTAGCATCCAAAATTTCACGACTTACTTTACCAACTTTCCTCATTTTTTCAATTTCTTTTGCATTTAAGATTTTGATTTTACCTAAACGATCATTTTTAATTTCACTAATAGGTTTACCATTATTAGCATAATCAGGTAATTTAATATGTTTAGGAATGGCTCTTTTAGCAGTTAATGGATAGTTCGGTCTTAAGTCACCAGAATATTGGAATTCTGGCCATGGATCATATGGTTCATCATTACCATTTTCATTTTTATGAATTGATTTATGAGTTTGCCAGCTTGAACGGAAACATGTTTGATCACAGAAAATAGAAGTAACCCCACTTTTAAGACATAACGGACACTTAAGAGAACTTTCGGTCTCTTTCCCACACGAAAGTGAAGAACACACAGCAGCCATTTCAAATCTACAACAAGTAATAAGTAAAACAGTACTTGAATTAAAAATTTTTCCTATGTTTTTTAATACTTTTTCAGAAGGAAAAAAAAAAAAAAAAATCACGCTTTCTCATCACTAAAAGCTTATTTGCACCCGTCCTACATTGATCAATACATTACATACTCTTTATTGTATATTATTCATTGTATATACAGCTAAACCAGTCTTGGGTCTATGCCCAAGTTTTCTGGACCAAAACTCAAAGGCAACAAATCTTCGAGATAACACTTAATATATTGATCGCCATTTGAATCAAACATGAATACCGGGATATTTGGAGCAAATTCTCTAATGAATTGTCTACAAATTCCACAAGGACTTATTGGTTGATTTGAGTCACTTGAAATGGCAATTGCTTTATAAGTTTTATAACCTTGCAGCTGTCTCCAGTTAGTAAATCAATTAATATAAATAAAACGTACAATACATACAACTGCTTTACAAATGGTGGTACGTTCAGCACATACCCCAGCACCATACGAAGCATTTTCGACGTTAGCCCCGGAAATAAACTCATTGGTTGAAGTTATAATACAACAGCCAACCCTGGCCCTAGTTAGTATTCAGCTTGCCGTCGGCGTTTGATTAAACATACCTAAATTTGGAATATGGCGAGTACGAAACGTCTCTGGCTGTAATGGGTTAGTACAAGCAACGGGACGACAGTCTCATCCATACGTACCTTTGAGACACTCGTGCTTCAACCGGACGAACTCGGCGTCTGATAACTCGTGGTGATCCCTGTGGATATACGATAATGTCATGGTGGTGGACAGAGTATCCAGTGTCCAGCACCCGTAAGCCAATAAATCATCGAGTCACTTTTTCGCTGGTGCACGGAGTTTTGGCACCAACAGTTTTCAGTATATTGAACGGTCGGTCGATTCATAAACTGTTAAGTAATAGAAATCACTGCTAAGTAAGCACCAGGAAAACGGTTAAAAAAGTAAGTGACAGGAAGTGACAGGGGTAGAAGTAACAGACGTAACAGAAATAACTGTCAAGAAATAACTGTCAAGAAATAACTGTCAAGAAATAACTGTCATGAAATAACTGTCAAGAAATAACTGTCATGAAATAACTGTCAAGAAATAACTGTCATGAAATAACTGTCAAGAAATAACTGTCGAGAAATTACTGCAAATTATGCTGAGAAACAGAATACACTGATAAGAAATATTTGCAACTAAAATGAAGCCCATAATCAGAGATAACCAATAAGGTAGGACCTTAGGTGTGCACTAGAGGCAAAGGCAGACACCAAATTACGAGATAAACAGGAATGCCCCAAAGGTCTTGAGCGATAATCGTAGCTCAACTAACATTATCCTTACTCTTTCACAAGCTAGCCATTGCCATATATATACACGAACAGGGTCTTTGGGCCTGAAATTTACGCTACGTACTCGGACTTACCCCCACCGATCACATCCGTGCACCAGAATTATTGTAATTACATAAGCGGCGGTGGTCTAGTATGACATCATAAACAAATGGTCCAATCTCACTGGAAAACACCACCAACGCCACCAACACCAGGTCTCAAAAGTAGCAGTAGAGCACTGTTTGTTGCACCATCACCAGATCCTTCTCTTGAACAAAACACTGTGTCGAATAGGGTGGTCCGAGGATATAGAAGAGAGAAAGGTGACAAATACAATTGACATTGACTGCTTTGTTGCTAATGAAGATTCAGGCATACAGGTGTCAACAATACAAAATACTACATATTTCATTAAACATCCATCAAAGCTGGATTCATCCTTTGGTTGATCTTTCCAAATAGTGTTTTGCCAAAGCGGACTCTTTTTTTTTTGCTGGCGTAATACCCTTTTTTTCATTGCTCGTTCTTTTGATAACTCGATTATTTATTTGCTTTCTTTATAGGAACAGGCCGGAAAAGTTAATGATTAAGTATGTCTGAGTTGTTTTTCTTGCGACACGGTCTAAGAATCGATCATGCTTTGCAAGAAGATCCGGAAGCACAACCATTACTAGCGGATTCCCAACCGTATGATCCTTCATTATCGACAGTGGCAGTTGGTCAAATGGAAAAAGCTTGTGATGATTTATTGGAAACAACCGAAGCATTTCAAGATAAATCGGATACAAGTATTAGGAAAAACATCTTCATTCATGTGAGTCCCTATTTACGCTGTTTACAATCGGCAGATTTAATGATAACGTTTTTGAAGAATAAAATAAGTTCCAAATATCCAAATTACAAAGTAAGAATACAAATTTTGGGAGATTTTGCATTATCCGAATGGATTCACGATAAAATGAAAAATAAACCGCCTTTTATTGATTCAAATGATGCTTATCAAATGTATACTCCGAATATTAAAACATTGAAGAATAAAAATTGTGTTTCGAACTTTAGGCCAACAAATTCATTGGGCCCATTTAATGGTCCCGATTTAAATTATAAAGATTATCAAAATCATTGTAAAAGTTATTTTAAAAAACTATTGGCTACCTATGATAAACCTTCGTATATTAAAAATAAAGATATCATCTTAATCATATCTCATGGTTACGTCATTAATAACTTTGTTTCTTATTTCATAAATCATCCAATATTTGATGAGATCCCCGGAGCTAAAATAAACTATGCTAAACGAGTTAAAAATGATGAAATAAATGAAGATTCGGATGAATATGATCCTTCTAATTATAAATGGGTCTTGTTCAAAGACTCGCTTGACTTATTTACTCCAGATATTGATACTAGTTTGAATCTAGAAACGGATATAGTCTATTATAAAACTAACTTTATTAAAAGAGATGAATTAAATGATCAAGGTCCTCAAACTTCTAAATCTCCCGGAGGATTTTTAGGTAAACCCCAACTAGAAAAACCTAGACCCTCTTTTAAAATTCCTCAAACAAGTAATCAACATAATGCAGTTTCAAGTACTAAAGAAAATCATAATAACCCGGCAATTATTAAAAATTATAATCCTATTTGTCCAGCGGCAAAAGATTGGGAACCGGATTTATCTCTTCAATTCAAAATTAAATCAGAATTCCAATTAAAAGTTATTAATGATGAAGCGTTTAAAAAATCTTTTAATATAACTAATCGCCCAGTTAAACCAATAAGTCCAGAAGTAAGTCCAAATTCAAAACCAACTAGAAATAACTCAGTAATTGATTTAAGCAAATTAGTCGATAATGATGATATTTATAAGCCAATGAAATTGAAATATTCAACCACTTCCCAAATTCCAATTCATAAATTAAATTCAAAAGTTAATTCTCAAGTTAATTTGGCTCAATATCAAAGATCAAATAATTCCTCAAATGATAATTCTTTAACTGATTTACCAAAATATTTAAACTCAATTCAAAAAAGAAGACGCTCTTCTTCAAATCCAATTAATGTCACGGTGACTCATAATGCTAAAGATTCTTACTTCCCCCTGAATATAATTTCAAAAGTTAGATCAACCCCTGATAAAAGCTCGGATTTTCATACTTCCACTTCTCAAGAATCTTTATCTCCAAATGATGATGGTGGAGTAAGTGACTTGAATAGTGATTTGGATATCATTCAAGAAACTCATGGTGGTCCTACAACTCCAGGTGCTTTCGATGTAAATCTGTTCAATTTTGAAACTCCTTCTTCCACTCAATCCCCGGAACCTTCAGAACTAAATTCAGGTGAAGTATCAGGTAACCTTGGTGCCGCAGTGGCTGCTGGTAAGAGACCAGTACCAACCCCACAACAACCTCCAAATCCTTTATTAAATCGCTCAAAATCTTTGAATTATAAAAGAGGTACTGCTCCTGCTAGTAGTAAATCTTTATCGCTATTAGCTAAATATCAACAACATCAACAATCTCAACAATCTCAACAATCTAAAAACAAAAATTCAAAAAATTCTGAAGATGATGATAATGACGAAGATGATGACGAAGATGATGACGAAGATGATGACGAAGAAGATGATGACGATAATATAAATAATAGAATGTTTTCATTATCTTTTGCAAATAATAGGAAAGTCATGTCAAAAAATAAATCACCTAAATCTTTCGATCAATCAAGCTTCAATGGTGAACATAAAAATCCAGTGAAATTTTATCCTTCGGGTATTTCAAATAATAGGCCCGGTACTCCTCCTTCAACTTATTCTGCTTTAATTTCAACTACTCCAGTAGCCTTTGATAAACAAAATAGATTTTCAAGTGAACGAAAAGTAAGACCCATGTTTTATCAATTTGGTTCCAATTCAAATTCAAATGAAGACTTGAGTACTAGTGAGAGTCCTGCTAATCCCCATAATCCTAATGAAGCTGACGACGAAAGTGATGATAGTTTATCTTCGGATGATTCTATAAGTTCTGATGATGATGATGTCATGTTTAATAATCGTGACAAAAATAAAGTTAACCAAGTTCCTACTCAAAAAACGGCGAAATCTAAAGCCGATAAAAAGAACTCCCAGTATATTTGGTTTGGTCAAAATAGAAGCTAGCGTTTTCTTTTCTTATGAATTAATATAGCCCATATATAGTTACGAATTCTTCCTTTTCTTTTGTATTTTTTCTTCACCCTTTCAGTATTTCCCTACGCTTAATTTTTGCATTTGTCATTCTACATTTCAAACCTCCCTTTCCCCATTAGATTATTTATTATATTTAATAAACGTATAAATCATTTAGTTTTAATTGCAAGAATTTAATGAGAAAAATTAGGTAGAAAACAGAAAGTTTTGATAATCACGCATTACAAGAATTTTTGAATACAAAAATAATAGTCATTATCTAGATGTTCAATTGAGTTCCTCAAACTATGTCGATATCTTCTAAGGCATCAGCTGGATCACCGTACCCTCAATCACGGCCTGATCCGTCTTTGACTTCCAATACCGCAACTATTGGACTTTCCAAGAACTTAGTTGTCCCAATAACAATCAAATTATGCTATTTACAACCTTCAAAGAAATCCTTACCAAGTATCATAAATAATCTCGCATCAAGCTCGGATAAATACTCAAATCCTTTGATATTTAAAAAACTATCTAATGTTTCAATCAATTCAGAACTTTTGGTTGAATTTCAGGTCTTTGATGGTAATAACAATCCCATTTCTATTCCCGTCACGTCAAATTATAAATACTTCACTAGTAATCGAAGAATTTGGAACACGATTCATAAGTTACCAGTGACTTACAATCAAGTCTCTGTTGAGTCGTATATAAAGTTTACCATATTTGAAATCATTGATACCAAAAGATCAATTTTTGGTGTAGGATACTTGTCAATCTTCAATAAAGACACATCCACAGTTCGTAAAGGTTCATACAAGGTTGCCATACACACAAATACCGAGAAATGGGATGGCAGAAAAGGAATTGCACCTAAAATAGAATACGGTGATATACTCGGTACAACTGACTTGGAACAAAAACTCATAAACTACGAAAATGGTGAGTATCCCAGATCTTCTTGGTTGGATAAACTATCCTTATCAAAAATCGAAAAAGAACGTAGCTTGAGTTTAAAAAATGCATTATCTTACGACTATTATAGACATACTAAAAACGATGTTGACAAAACCCATGTGAATACGGATGATGACAAAAGAGATAGCACTGAAGATGATGATTTATATTACATCTATATCGAGTTACCAAACTTCGAATTACCAATTGTATATTCTGATGAAACGTACCAAACTCCAAACTTTTTGAAGAACATGAAAGTCGAAGATAACTTGACAGCTATTGATGCTGGGTCCAATACAAGTGTTATCATTAACTCAATGGATATACCAATGTTGAAAACTTCAAACAATGTGAAAGTCTATGACCCCGATTTTGATAATTCGGTCTTACAAAATTTGAGCATGAAAAATTTCGACAGTGACAACGGTGTTACAGAGAATACTAATACGCTTCACAATCTTCAACTTGACCCAATTGAAGTCAAATATCACAAATTAGAAAGAAACATTAATAATAACTCAATTTTGGATAAAGAATTAAAGCCCACGCCTCAAATCAGAGACGAATTATTAAGAATTTTACAGAAACCTTCTAATATTGAGTTAACAGATGTTGAGAAAAATTTAATTTGGAAATTTCGTTATTACTTCTCCAAGAATAACTCTATAGCTACGGCATTATTAGATGAAACAAGTAATGATGCCCCAGTTCAAGCTACATCAACCACTCGCAGCACGAAACTGTTTTTAACAAAGTTTTTAAAATCTATCAATTGGGATAATGATTATGAATTAGATCATGCATTTAATGAAATTATTCCAAATTATTGGACTGTGGATAAAATACAAATCGGTGATGCATTAGAATTATTAAGTAGCTATTTCAATCCTTATACGTTAACTTCAGAATTGAGACGAAGAGCTACTAATACAAACCAAGGCAATGGTACCAACCATGATCAAATGGCTACTGATGAATCCAAGTTTCGTAAGGTTTTCAAATACGTCATTTTCTTGAGGAAATTTGCTGTTGATCGCTTAAGATTGGCCAATGGAGAAGAGCTTTTGTTATATTTACTTCAATTAGTTCAAGCATTGAAGTATGAATCAATCATATTTGAAAAATCTTCAAAGTATCTTGCGAATGATCCACTTGATGAATATTCGATAGAATCAGGTTCGTCTTCCCTAGATGGAGAAGAATCATTACTGAAACTACCCTTGGCTACATTTTTGATTGATAAGTCCATTGAGATTGAGAAATTAGGTAATTTCTTTTATTGGTATGTTAAGGTAGAAAATGAAGACCAAATTAATAGTCCGTCAACGAGACCTACTAAGATATACTCTCTTGTTCTTAATAAATACATCGAAAGTCTTAAGAGACACTCTTCTGTTAATAAATTGCCAAATTATAATCATTTGAAAAGACAAATTTGGTTTATCAAAAAGCTTACAAATCTAGTGGAACTTTTGAGAACAACATTTAAGAAGAATGAAGCTACCGCTAAAAAGGTTCAATTTCTAAGAGAATATCTCGCAGATGCTTCTAATGAATTACTTAAATTTCCGGAGCCTTTTCCGTTACCGCTAGATCCATCTGTCATAATTACTGGTTGCTATCCTAATGAGTCCTCAGTATTCAAGAGTTCTTTAGCACCTTTGAAAATCACATTCAAAACGATTCAGACTAGCAAAGACGGACATTCATCTCAAATATTTGGTCGCAAAAATAACAAGTATGGCAAATTTCCTCTAATGTTCAAAATTGGGGATGATTTGAGACAAGATCAATTAGTCATCCAAATTATTAATTTGATGGATCAATTATTGAAAAATGAAAACCTTGATTTAAGGTTAACACCTTATAAAATTTTGGCAACAAGTCCTATTGCGGGTCTTATACAGTTTGTACCTAACGATACCCTAGATACGGTCTTATCTCAGTCTTATCCAGCTTCTATTACTCATTCAAATCTGCCTGGCTCAGAAATGAATGGGATTCAGAGGGCAGCAACCATAAACTTAGCATCTAACGTCAATAATGAATTGGCGGTATCAAATAATGGAATCATGAGTTTTTTAAAGTTACACTCGAGAGAGTTGCAAACTGCAGAGCCCGAGGCTACAAGTGTTCTCGGTAATTCCAAGACATTAAACCAAAGAAGTCAGCAACAACATGCCATTGCCTCTAATTTGGGTGTATCCTCTATTGTGATGGATAACTATGTGAAATCCTGTGCTGGTTACTGTGTTATTACATATTTATTAGGTGTTGGTGATCGCCACTTAGATAACCTTCTTTTATCCCCCAATGGGAAATTTTGGCATGCTGATTTCGGATATATATTGGGTAGAGATCCCAAGCCATTCCCTCCATTGATGAAATTACCGATTCAAGTCATAGATGGAATGGGAGGTCTTAATCATGAAAATTTCAACATATTCAAAAGTTATTGCTTCATTACATATACAACATTAAGAAAAAATAGTAACTTGATTTTGAACTTGTTTCAATTAATGTTGGATGCCAATATTCCTGATATTAAGATTGATCCTAAAAGGGCTGTTGAAAAGGTTCAAGAAAAGTTTTGCTTAGAAATGACTGAAGAAGAAGCGATTCTACATTTCCAAAATCTTATCAATGACAGTGTGAATGCCTTCTTACCCGTTGTAATTGATAGATTACACAGTTTAGCACAATATTGGAGAGCGTAAGATCAGTATATATTAGGTTATTTAATCCAGCTTTTTATGAGGTTTAGTTCCTTTATATTTATCTCTAAAGCTCCTAGTAGCAAAAGTATATAAAGCTGATACCAAACCAAAAGGAGGGAAATAATCGAGCAAGGTATAGAGCATACCTGGTCTTATCTCATGAACTATTGAATCAATTGAATCTTGTAAGTCTTTTTCCGTTTTGCTATTGTCTATGACCAAGTCAGCCCTATAGTTTCTCTCTTCATTTGACATCTGGCTATCAATTCTTTTATTGGCATCGTCCTCCGACAACTCTGGATTCCTAAGCTTTAATCTTTCAATTTGTTTAATCCTCTCACAAGATACAGTAATTACTAACCCACAGAGACGATGCATAGTGGCTTCAAATAACAAAGGTACATCTAGTATAACAATATCGTTAAAGCTAATATATGCTTTGAATAGTTGCCAAAAGATCTCTTTTCTAACAGCTGGATGGACAATTGAATTCAACTTGGATAAATTAGCCTTATTCCCAAAAACAGCCTTACCCAAAGCTGGTCTATTTAATGAGCCATCACTTTCGCTGACTAGATCAGGTACTTCATCCCCAAATGTTTCAATAATTCTTTGATAAGCTTTTCTTCCTGGATTTACCACCTCTTTTGCAATCACGTCAGCATCAATCACACTAATATTATACTTATCCTTCAAGGTGGATGACACTGTAGATTTCCCGGTAGCAATACCTCCTGTCAATCCAACAATCAACATATTGTGCTTTACTATCTGTTGGTGAGGAGCTTCAGATAATAGACTGCGATCCTTCACTAAATCGCATAGAACACAGTACACTGACAGAGAAGACAGAAAAAAAAATCAGATTGAAAAATTGAAGATTATTCTACGAAGACATAGTCAGAGTAGCTCACATAGCGAGTCCACACGTATAATAGCATAAACAACGCTATGTCAAGCCGTATTTATGTGCTCGGAGCAGGATCCATGGGATCTTTGCTTGCACATGAGTTGAGACAATCGGCACCAGAGATTGCAAATCCAACATTATTATTCAAAGGAGAACAACGACTAAGAGATTTCATAGCACACGAGTCGAAAATTACAGTTATAAGGCAGAAAGGAGAAAACATATTTAAGTCAGAAAGTCAATTAGCTGCTGGCTGGCAACCTCCAATGTCCAGGGAAGGCATTCCTTCTCACATTGATAACTTGATAGTTGCAACTAAAACGTATCTGACGGAAGCAGCATTACGACCATACATTGGTAATTTGAGTTCTAACTCTAATGTTCTTTTCCTTCAGAATGGTATGGGCGTTGCTGATGATTTGAGAAGAAAATTCTGGCCGTCAAGTATCAATAGGCCCAACTTTTTCCAGATAATCAGTACTCATGGTGCCTATAAAGCACTGCCTAATGTTGTCCATCATGTTGGTTTGGGAAAGCTTTCTATAGGATACATTCCAAAGCACAGACACTCACTCCAAAGTGATGAGCTTAAATTAGATGGAAATTTGAAAAACTCCCCCAAAATCATTGAATTACTTACAGAATCAAAGAATTTGAATGCATCATACATTAAGCACAACCCCCTTTTATTGGTCCAAATGGAAAAGTTGGTGGTTAATGCATGTATCAATCCTCTTTCAGCAGTTCTAGATTGTTTGAATGGTGACTTGTTATATGGTAACAAAACTTTCGAATTGATGAAAAAAGTGGTTCAAGAGGCTGTTGATTGTTTCAAAGCCGAGTATTCATTTATAAAATTCGACCCACAGAGCAGTAGCTTTTTAGACGTGGGGAGGCTTTTAAACACTGTCCTTGATGTTTGTAAACTTACTGCCTCTAACAGTTCATCAATGAGGGAAGATGTGAGACACTTAAATAGAACTGAAATTGATTGGATCAATGGATACATTGTTAAACTAGGTACCAGACATCGTATTCCAACTCCGGTCAATCGTTTATTGATTTCGATGGTGAACAATAAATTGAGTATAGAGCAGTCGATCGAACTAAGTTCTACACAGATCGATAAAACAAAATGATTTGTCTTCTTGTATTATTGTCTATTTAGGTTAGGTATGATGATTCTAATGTACATTATTGTAAATTTAAACTCAATCCATGTTTTGAATCGTGGTAGATGCTATGTTTTTCATATCACGGTATAGCGTTCCGATTGTTTTCTTTCTAGCAATATATTCACTTCCGTCGTCATTAGAGAATTCCAACTTGGTATTTTTATCGCAAATGAAGATCACCTTTTCAAGAATTTTTGATATCAAAATGTTGGTGTTTCTTTTATACCCTGATCCATCTGAATACCCATTAATTAAGGCTGCTAGCTTCCTCGATTCATGAGGTATATTTTCTTGAAGTACTGCAAAGGCTACTTCTGTTCTAAATGAGATACCAGACAGTGCATTGATAGTATAATCACCGTAGTAGTCATGCTCTTTTAAAAAATCAACCTGACTTGGCTTCAACAAGGGGCTAATGTAATCTGTTATGTCTAGATAGTTCCAGCTATTTTTTGGTAAAGTAAACCCATATTCACAAAGTAAGAAAACGTTACTGTGAGGACCGTAACTGAAAAATAATTGTTGCCCTTTCTCGTACCTACTTGTTGTGTAAACCAGAAAACCGGATACGTCAATTTTTATTCCACATTGATCGTCACAGGAATGATTCAAAATATCAACGTAGGGTGCCATGGTGAAGTTGTCGTCCTTATTCTTGCTTTGGGGAATGTTCATATACAAGCAACGTGAATTTATACACATCCAAACCCATAAATATTTATCTTTAGGTAGATACTCTGATTCTATGATTTCATCAGACGATATCTCCAATTTTTTTGCAATCAAAGATTTGACAACTTTAAAATCAGACGTGAATCGTTTGAGCATGTCACTTGTGTGTTTTTTCACGCTTTTCGGGAGTAGACTGAGCAATTCTTCGTGATGGGCTACCTTCATAACTTCCCAAATTAAAGGACTGAGAATGAAATCATCAACGGATGGTAAAACGTCTATAAAAGGCTTCCAAAAAGAGTTCTTGCCCCTCTGAAATTCAAATAATATATATAATGACATCAATTGAACGCTTGACAAGTCAAGGAGCTCTTCTAACAGTAACTTTGTGTAAATATCAGTGAATTTATCCTGGATCTTGTCACTATTATAAGGCACATATATATTGAGGTAATGAGCTTCGGTCAACTTTATCTGATCATTATGTTTAGCTATGTGACGTATTATCGAGTTAGTATTCAAAAGAAAAGAATGAGGAATCTTGATGATGTTTTCATTCCTATTAATTGGACTTGATGCTCCTAAACCTCTACCAGTTGATTGGAAGTTTTCAATGGTCAATTTCGGCGATATGAAGGAATGGGAAGAAGGATTTGAAATCTCTTCCTCTCCGGTGTTATTGATCCACTTAAGTAACCTTTCCACCTTCAAGTCTGACATATCAACTGTTACTCCAAACTATCTTTAGTTAGTCATGATGAATTTATGAGAAGGAACCAGGAAAAAAAAAATTGCATCAAGATGTAACGGTCTTTCTGATTTTTTTCTATTGAGCGTGTTTTTCAAGCTTTTGTTTTGAAAGCATCACAAGTTATAAATCATATAGTAACACTTTGATAAAACTCCTTGATATGAAAAGCAAAGTACAATGAAAGTACTTTGTGTTGCCGAAAAGCCTTCAATTGCAAAAGAAGTATCGAAAATATTATCAGGAGGCTCCTTTTCGGTGAGGAACAGTAATAATAAGTACATCAAATATTTTGATTTCAAGTATAATTTTCCACAATTAGGACTATGTGATGTTACAATGACTGCGGTGTTGGGCCATGTTACTAACTTTGATTTCGGTCCTCAATTTGGCTGGAACTCGTGTCCCCCAGGAAGATTGTTTGCGGCACCAATTAGCACTATGGTAAGTCATCAAGATGTTTATAAAAATCTTTCTATTGAAGGAAGAAACGCGTCAAAATTGATGATCTGGACCGATTGTGATCGAGAAGGAGAATATATTGGATTCGAGATATTAGAAACTGCTAGAAAAAACAATAGTAGACTCACCCTCGAGAATACCTGGCGGGCCCAGTTTTCACATTTGGAAAAGAACCATATTTTGCAAGCATCTCGCAATCCCATTCAATTGGATATTAACTCGGTGAGGGCTGTGGAATGTCGTATGGAGGTTGATTTGAGATGTGGGATAAGTTTCACAAGATTCTTGACTGATCTATATAAGGGTCAAAGTTTAATTGGTGAAAAAGAGGTGATATCTTATGGTACTTGTCAGTTTCCTACCCTTGGATTCGTTGTTGATCGTTATATTAGAGTTAAAAATTTTGTGCCGGAGCCGTTTTGGTACATAATTGTTGATATAAAGAAAAACGACCAAAAGGTTGGGTTTCTGTGGGTGAAAGGTCATTTCTTCGATAGAGCCTACGTAACCTTATTATACCAAAAAGCCCTTAAATCACCGAATGGAAAAATCGTGAGTTTAACCAAGAGACCTACTAGTAATTGGAGACCCCTACCATTAACCACTGTTGATTTACAAAAAGACGCATCAAGAATCTTTAAAATGAGTGCTAAAAGAGCTTTGGACGCAGCTGAAAAATTATATAATAAAGGTTTCGTATCATATCCTAGAACTGAAACTGATCGTTTCCCTGCGGCAATGAATCTAAAAGATGTCATTGAAAGACAAACCTCCAGTAATAAATGGGGATCTTATGCAAAAGAACTACTAGAACTGAAATTCAGATCCCCCAGGTCAGGGTCTCATGATGATAAAGCGCATCCTCCAATCCATCCAGTTAAATACGCTGAATTAACACAATTGAATGGCGATGAGAAAACTATTTATGAATATATTGTTAGAAGGTTTTTAGCCTGCTGTTCCGATGATGCTAAAGGTGAACAAACAACTGCAACTTTGAAATGGGGGGACGAGCTTTTCACAGCTAATGGCTTAATGGTTTTAGCCAGAAACTATTTGGATATTTACATTTATAATAAATGGGAATCATCAAAACAGTTACCTCCTTTAGAACAAGGAGAAGAAGTAAATATAACCAACGCTAAAATGAAGGATGGGAAAACTTCACCGCCGCTGCACATGACTGAATCCGAATTAATTGCATTAATGGATGCAAATGGAATTGGAACCGATGCAACCATTGCTGAGCACATTGAGAAAATTCACAGTAGAAATTATGTTACTAAAATTAAACAAGGTAATGTTGAATATATATTACCAACGGATTTAGGAATGGGTTTAATAGCAGGATTTGACGAAATGGATTTCGTTGATAACATATCGCTATCGAAACCATTCTTAAGAAAAAATTTAGAAATCGGTTTACAGGAAATTGTCGAAGGCCGTAAAACCAGGCAACAAGTTGCAAGTGAAATGGTGGAACTTTACAAAAATGCCTTTGTATTGTGCAATCAAAATTCCGGCAATTTGGTTCAAAAGTATTTAGAGATACGCAATAGAAACGTACAATAGAAGTAGTTGGGACCTGACAATGTAAACGGAACTTATCAGGTGAGTATGTATTTAATAGAGATCTGTATTATAGTACTAAATCTTTTTCCTCATGTAATTGCTTATCTACTCGCTACAAAAAAAAAAAAGATAAGAACGGTGAGTATAAAATCCACGGAATATCGGCCGGTCAGACCAGCCTGGTTTAAATGAGCTGTAGACAAGCATGACAGTTAAGGAGCCAACGTATCTTCAAATTGCCAGTCAAAAACGAGCTGAGCGTGATCAAAATTTCAAGAAGGAATGGTTAATTCCAAAGTCTGAACTACCGGATTTGACTGACGTGAGCGATTGGATTACGAGTTCGGGGTACCTTTCGGCGAAAGAAATTGAAATCACTGAATCTAATGCTGGTGAAATCGTGGAGAACATTTCTAACCAGGTTTGGTCAAGTTTCGAAGTGACCCTGGCATTTTGTCATCGAGCATCGATTGTTCATCAGCTTACCAATTGTCTTTCTGAGGTATTTTTTGATGAAGGATTAAAGCAGGCAATGGAGTTGGATGAATATCAAAAAGCCACCGGGAAGACTCTTGGGCCTTTGCATGGCTTGCCAATCTCTATAAAGGATAATTTCAATATAAAGGGACAAGCATCAACGGTTGGAATTGTTAATTTTTCATTCAATCCAAAGAAAAAATTTGAAGAAGATGCCGTTTTGGTTAAAATGTTAAGAGAATTAGGAGGGGTATTCTACGTGAAGACCAACGTTCCAGTAGCAATGATGATGCCCGAAACCACTAATCATATTTATGGCAATACCACCAATCCTTTAAACCGTAATTTAAGTGCTGGAGGATCATCAGGAGGGGAAGTTGCTTTGCTAGCATGCAAAGGATCACCAACGGGGGTAGGTACTGATATTGGAGGAAGTCTCAGAATACCTGCCTCGTTTACCAATGTTTATACGTTGAAGCCGACATTTGGTAGATTCCCAACTTACGGAGCCCGGTCAGGATTGCCTGGCTTAGAGAGCGTCAACAGTGTCAACGGGCCGTTATGTCCTTCATTGGAGACGATGGAGTTTTACTGTAAGCACTTGATTGGACACGAGCCGTGGTTGTATGATGCTAAGGTGAACGAAATCCCATGGAGGAAAGTTGAATTGGACTCAAAGTTGAACATAGCTATTTTAGAAGACGACAAAGTAGTCAGACCTACGCCCCCAATCTTACGCGGAGTTAATATCGTGAAAGAAGGTTTGCTCAAGGCCGGTCATGAAGTAATTGAATGGGAGCCAACCGATCATTTAGAGTTGTCCAAGATCATTACTTCATTTTTCACTAGTGACGGTGGTATCCATGTTAAAAGGGAAACAGAAACCACCGGGGAGCCGTTTTTCCCGTACATGAGAATGTACGGTACCACTCCCGAGATGAAAGTAAGTGAGTTGTGGGCACTACAAGCAAGAAGAACCAGCTTAATCAAGGACTATTTAGAACGGTGGAATGCAACCAAGTTGAAAACCAAGAATGGTAAACCAATCGATGCTATTATAATGCCGGCCACCCCGTTCGCCGGGAGTCCTAACAGTAAATTCCACGATTATGTGGGATACACCTCGCCATTCAACTTGTTAGACTACACCGTCGGTGTTTTCCCGGTTACAAGAGCTGACCAGGACATTGACTTGAAAGAAGCCCGTGGCCTGTTCTACGGGGAAACCGATGAGAAGATCTGGGGCGATTACAACCCACAAGAGACCCATGGCGGTGCTGTTTCACTACAGTTAATCGGACGCAAGTACCAGGAAGAAAAAGTCATTGAAATGATGAAACTAGTGAGAGATCTCATCAGCTAGGCAATTGTTGCAAAAAAAATCCCTTTAACATCGGATATGTCATTGCAACCACCGAAAAGTTCGTACTTTTTTTTTGCCTTTTTTGCCTTTTCGCAAATAGAAAAAAAATCTTCGTAATTGAAGAGTTTTTATCGGCGAATAAAATTCGTAAAGTCATAATGGTATTAAGGTTAAATGAATATGAAATAAGTGGAAATGTAACTAGCGAACATCGGGGCATTGGCAGATAGGGGCATGGACACATATATATATATATATATATATATATATACGTATGAGCATGTATGAGTTAGATCATAAATGTAGTGTAGTTTTTGAGGTTAAAATGACAACTTTAGGGTACCTTGAACATGTTAGTGAAGACGCAGAGACCCATCCGAGCCGATTGATTCGATGTAAGCGGTGTTATGCCAATTTATTTGTTGGCGATAGTTATTTGAAGTACCAAAGTGATGGTAAAAAATTATACATAAGGTTTAAGGATTTGATTAACGAAGAAGAGAGTGAGTTGGTGAAAGAGATTGAGTATCATTGTAATAATTGTCAGGTATTAATTGGATTCCAAATCAAGGAAAAACCAAAGAACAATGAATTGGGAGATTTTCTAGGCGGGTTATTTAATATTGAAAACGATATTAATATGAATTTACAAAAATATCAGAATAGTTTGAATGAGGACCATGAACTAATTGATGGGTTGAATCAAATTTCATTTGAAGATAAAGTATCAGAGCATAGAATATTATTGAGAAATTGCAGTACTAGTTTTTTAAATTATTAAGTAGTCATATTTAGTTTGCATTTTTAGCATTACAAATTTTTAATTACCAGTTAAATAATGTGTATAAGAATATAAAATATTAAAGAAAGATATAAAGAAGAACTAAAAGTGAAAAAAACTGAGCTAATTTCTCATAATTATTGTTTCAAATCAGAATCATAGGATTCTTCTTGAGTAGTAGCATAACGATCTTTACCAAGTTTAGTAGTATCAACTTCATCATGGTATAATTCACAAATTTCTTCCAAAGTTTTTCTTTTAGTTTCTGGAAGTAATAAAGTAGTAAAGATACCTAACAACATGAAAAGAGCAAAAATTTCCATGACATGATTCAAGAAACAATTCTTGTTATCAGCAGAACAACCGTGATTGATTAAAGTACCAATACAGGTTTGAGCAATAATGGCACCAACTTTACCACAAGCAGCAGAGATACCATGAGCAGTTGATCTATAACGGGTTGGGAAAATTTCACCAGGAATAATAAAAGTAGTAACATTAGGACCGAAATTTTGGAAAAATTGACACAAGACGTATAAGGCTAACAAACCGTGATCGTTTAATTTATGGTAACCAAAACCAATACCACAGAATAAAATGGTTAAAATGATAAATCCACCTAATTGAACAGTTTTTCTACCCAAAGTATCAACGGTAGCAACTGAGGCCCAATAACCTGGTAATAAACCAGCACAAATTAAAATCAAGTTACCAGCGGCAGAGTTATATAATTTCCAGTAGACATTATTTGAAGAAGCATAACCAATAGTTTGTAAAATGGTGGCCGAGTTTAAATTTAAACCATAGAAACCAACATCAAGGAAAAACCAAGAACCAGCAGTACCAATTAAAATTTTACCATATTTCCATTGACCAAAATGTCTCCAGAAATCTTTGAAGGAAGCTTTTGGAGGAGCAATTTCTTTAGCTTCAACATCAATGGCAGCTTCGGCATCGGCAACTTTTTGAACATCATCGTGTTCATTAACATCAAGAGCATATCTTGGAGATTCAGCAATGGTTAATCTATAATACAAGGCAATCATACCAGGAACACAACCAAACCCAATTAAAACTCTCCACATTTGATCACAAGCTTTAATACAAGCAGGACCACATTCTTTGGCGGTATCAGCAACAATCAAAGTATCTTTATAACCGGCAACCAAAATCATGGCAACAATACCAGCCAATAATTGACCTAAACCTTGATTAGAGAAAACGGCAGCCATGATAGCCCCTCTCCATTTGGTAGTGGAGAATTCGGAAGAAATAATCGAAGATAATGGATAATCACCACCAATACCAATACCCATAATAATTCTCAAGAAAGTTAACAAGGCAACAAAACTAACAGCTGGAGATTTACCAATGGTACATTGGAAAACGGTAGCACAAATCATAACAATCAATTCCAAACCATAAATCTTCTTACGACCAACGATATCGGCAACAGTCCCAAAACCAACTTGACCAATAACGGTACCAACCGAAGTGGAAACCTTCAATAAAGTAGTGGTGGAGTCAGGAATACTACCTCCCCAGTAAACATAACCCATCATGGTAATACCCATGTTGATGGCAAAAATATCGTAAGAATCAGTCATGAAACCAACCCCGGCAATTAAAATCATCTTCACTTGAGTCCATCCAAATCCAGCATTATCAATTTCTTCTAATGCCAATCTTCTTCTTTCTAATGGATCTTCAATATGGGCAAAATGCTCCAAATAATCTTTGAAAGCAGTTTTACCACCGGTTTCGTGAGTCTTTGCTGGTCTTTGTTCACTAATAGAAGACATTTTTGATCTTTTGCAATAGAGTTAATGCAATTGAAAAAAAAGTTGGTAATGGAATACCCAGGTATATATATACATCTATTAAGTAAAGAAGTATAGAACAAAGCATGTGGCACTACAGATGCTAATTAATATGCTGCATGAATAAATTACCGATAAAACAACAATCAGAAAAAGAAAAGATCCCCGTCCTACAAATTATAAGGCAAAACAGACTAATTCCAAAGGTGATAATTTACCTGGCTAGCTTAATATCTACTCAATTGACAGTGCTGTTTTACGTCAACTTTTTTTTTAGTTCCCATCAATGCCAATGCCAATGCTAGGCTGTCAACCTGGTGTTCGATCGTATTGTCAAAGGACTCTATTTTTTGCAAGCTCAAGTCTTGTCTTCTTGGAAGCTTGTTAGCATCAAAAGACCTTTAGACTCCCACGTGTGGGTCGCCCTTTTGCAATAATTTCAAGAAAAAGAAAAATGCTAAGAAAGTTGCACGTTTGGGGGGTGCGCCTACCGCTAAACGTGGGTGCAACCCATCGGCTGCGGCATGGGCCTAAAATGTCGTGGCCTCCCACCTGACTACTTTCCCTACTTTACCTACTTTATCTAGGTTATTACCTTATTACCTAGTTTATTGCCTTATTACCTAGTTTATTGCCTTATTACCTAGGTTATTGTCTTATTACCTAGTTTATTGCCTTATTGCCTAGTTTATTGCCTTATTGCCTAGTTTATTGCCGACTTTATTACCGACTTGACTAGCTTCAATTTGTTAGCTTATTAGTGTATTACTTATTAGTGTATTAATTATTATATTAATTATAATATAAATTATTATAATTATTAGTGTATTACTTATTAGTTCATTGCTTATTAGCTTATTACTTATTACTATTATTAATTGAATAGACGTACTCATTCCTTTATACTCTTTATTAGATGTATCACCTTCGCTACACCCAGTAATACAGTAGAACGGAGTGGTCACGGCATGAGTTTCAGCAAAGTATTCGTTAAAGTAACTTATAAATCAAGTACTTTAAACTATCTTGTAGTTGCAAATTGGAATTTTCATTTGTGTAATTGACTGGCTGCAAAACGAACTCCGCGACACTCGCGACATTTGCTCGGGCGTGTGATGGTTTGCTTTTTTCTCTGCAAAATGAAAAATCAGCCGTTGAGGCAACCAGCTGCACCCCCGTACACCAGGCGGGACTCCCCGCCTGGCGGTCCACGAGCCAGCCTTGCCCACGGGCTTGGTCAGAATAAGCTTACTACAATAAGGATAATGATAAGGGGACCACGTAGGCGATTGATTTACGAGTCCACGTTTATTATTCTATACATACGCAAGATTAAATACCTAATCTTTGTCTCATTTGTAAGTTTTCTTTTTCTAAAATTAACATTGATTCCTTTATATCGTTAATTTCCCGTTCTTGATCTTTAATCAATAAGTTTTTATCCAACTTATCCTGGTGTAACATATCAATTGTCGATTTAAAATGATGGATTTGATTTTGATAATTGAAATTTTCATCGTTATATTTTTTGGTTAACTTCAGTTCATTATCAATTCTGATTTGTAAATTGGTGATATTTCTTTCTAAATTATTCATTTTTTTCAATTGTTCGTGTTGAACCGTTTGGCTTTCGTCTAATTCTTCTTGTAGAATATTAACTTTATTTTCCCAGTATTTCAATTGTTCGTTACTGAATAATTTTTCTTCTAAAGTTTCAACTTTACTGGTTAATTCTCGATTGGTTTTTTTCAAACTGTCATTTTCTTCATTGATCACTAATTTTTCTTTTAACACTTTCAGATAATCTTGTTGTTCACTTGAATTGAACATTTTCAGTTGATTTAATTCATTTTTGATATTACTGCTTTCGGTCCGGGTATTTTCCAAGTGTTCTCTCAAAATTTTACTTGTCTGTTCACTATTTTTAAAATTGGTTTCTAATATTTCATATTCGTTAATCTTATTATTTAATTCTTCTTCTAATGAATCTCTTATTTGATAGATTTCATCTTTTTCTTTGATAAGCTCGTTATTGAACTTCTTCAAATTTTCAACCTGTTTATTTAAATTATTAATTTTACGTTCATTGATCCTAAATTCTCCTTCAATTAATCTTAATTTGGAGTTTAATTCAGTATTGGCTACTTCTAATTCTTCATTATGGACTATTACTCCTTCGTATTCTTCATCTAATTGTTTCTTGTCCTCGATTAACTCTTCTAAATCTAATTGTAATTGTTTATTCTCTTTAATTAATTCGGTCTCTTTCTCCAATTTAAAATTAAGCTCCTTATGTAATTGTCTAATATCTTCTTTATATTTCTCTTCTAAATTCTTGCTATCTCCATAATTTTCATTGATATATCCTAGTTTATCTTCCAATGTTTTAATCATGGTTTCTAATTGTTGTATTCTAAACGTCTTATCATTAATAATCTCTTCTTTCCCATATTGATCTTTTCTTAAATCTTTAATCAATATCATCGAGGTTTTCAGCTCTTCTCGAAGTAATGTTAATTCACTCTTATAATTAACCAAATCCTTAGTTGCTTGTTCTTCATGTCTCTTACTTATATTTACCGCCAGTTCGGCCATCTCTAATTTCTTATAGTATTCTTCACTTCTTCTCTTATATAATTCAAGTGATTTACTTAATTCTTCATTTTTAACATTAATTGTATCGTGTTTAACTTTCCATTGTGCTAATTCATTCTCATAATCTCCAACACTGGTCTTGAAATTACTTCTTTTAACTTCATATAATTCTTCCTCGCTCTCCCGTAATAAGGATTTTAATCTCAAGATCTCCATCTTTGATGTAGACAATTCTTCTCGTGTAGTTCTCAATGTTCTAGTAATATCTTGATAGATCTTAGCAAAATCTCCAGTGTTAGCTCCATTAGAATTACTGGCGGTGGCAATACCAAATCCAAGACTACCACTTCTCGATAATGGTCTAGTATTCATGGTGGTGGTTGATCCTTGTCCACTAAATGTAGATTCTCCAGATAACGATGATGTAGGTGAATTGGGTTGATTATAATCATGTCCATTAGCTTGTCCATTAGATGGTCCGTTGTTTAACATCTTTTCATATCGTTGTTCTAAATCGTTAATACGGTTTTGCGATTCCTTATACTTCTTTTCATAATCAGTATAACTATTAATCCCTCTTGTTGATTGTATCTTATTCAATTTTTTCTGTAATTCAATAGCATAATTCTCAGCCCTAATTGCATTGGCTTCTTCTTGTTCTAATTTGAATTTTAAGGTTTCAATCTCATTATTAGATGTTTTCATCTTAATCTCTTCTCCAATTGCTAACGATCTACGGTTTTCTTTCATTGGTGATCCATGAACACTGGCATTCAAATTATTCTTAGTTAATCGATTCTTCAAAATACTAATTTCTTCAATTAATTTCTTATTTTCAAATTTCTCTTTACGTAATATAGCACTTTGTTCGTTCAACTTTAACTTTATATTGGCAAAATCATCAATGAATTGTGGATCATTATTAGAGTTTATTGAACGACCAAAACTTGAATTACTTCCAATTGAACTCGAAAAATTCTTTTCTTGATTCCGTTCCTCCATTTCTTTTAACTTATTATTCAATTCTTCAATTTGGTTGTAATATGTCTTGTTGGCCGAATTGGTCATATCATGCTTCTTGGTCAATTTCTCAAACTCAACTTGAATTGATTCGTTTTCTTCAATTTGTTTAGAAAGTTCTTCTTGGGCTTGTTTCAACTCCTTCATCAATGCTTGCTGTTTTTGTTGATCCGATTTAATTGATTTTTCTAATTCTTGATGTTTCGTGATATCTTTATTAACATCTGCCAATTGCTTCTTTAAAGAATCATTCTCACGTTGGAATGCCTTCTTATCCTTGAGGGCCTTCGATAAATCCATTTCAATTTTACTTAATGCATTTTTCTCATTCATCAACTCTTTTTGAGCAGAGTCTAAATCCTTCGATAATTGGCGATTAGTTTCACGTAATTTCAGCGATTCATTTGATATTAAAGATCTTGAAGATTCGTGCTCTTTTTTCAAATTACTGATAATAGAATCATGACTGCTTTTGGTTTGTTCGAAGTTTTTGATTTGAGTTTCCAATTGTTTGATTCGGTTCAAACTTAATTTATGCTGGCTTTGAATGCTATCTACTTCATTGGTATTGGTGCTAATTTGTTTCTTTGTACTGGTCAAAGTTTCCTGTAATTCTAACTTTTCTTTGATCAATTTTTCATTTAATGTTTTCAATTCGGAAATTTGACGTTCTAAATCATTAAATTTTTTAACACTAATTTTTTCTTCATTCATTAACTTATCTAATTTAGTAGATTTATCCTTCATTAAATCATTGGTACGAATGATTTCATCTTCTAAATTTTTGATAGAATTCTTCAAAGTGGAATTTTCGTTTTCCAAATGGTTTTTAGCATTTTCAGTATCCTTCAATTTACCATTAATAGTTTTCAAATTCTCATTCATTTCTTTCGAATCTAACATCTTAACGGAATCTTCTAATAAAGGTTTAATGTTTAAAAACAAATTAAACCAAGGGTTAGAAGATTTTGCTATACTCAAGTCGTTTAAATTCTTAGCAATCAATTGGGATGCTTGAATCTTCTGTATTTGTGATTTAAAGTTTGACCTGGCTAAATTACCTCTAACAATTTTTTGTAAATCAGTGAAAATTTTAGTTAATTGTAATTCTCTTAAATCTTCCAATTGACCTAATATACCATTCTTGAAAAATATTTTGGTGATACCGATTTTATAAACATCTTTATCTAAATTAAGATTTTTCAAAATCAATTCACTATTTGTTTTCATATTTTTGGTGAATACCAAATCTTTTTCATTAAGGATCGAATAACGATTGAAAAATTCTTCGAAAACCATTTTATTTGGATAACCGGCTCTGGTGATTCTGATACCTTCTAACACCCCATTACACCTTAACTGATGTAAAACCAATTTTTTATCAAATCTATTTGGTTTCTTGTTTAAATTTGGTAAAATACATCTTACGAAATGAGGTTCAGTAGACGATAATTGGTCCATTAAATCATTTAGTTGTTCTTTATGTTTTTGAGATGCAGTTTTTAATTTACGGGTTGCTTGACCATTACCAGATCTTTTCTTTGGAGATGAGTTTGCAACAACTGTTTCTTGTTCTTGTAAATCATCATCCTCTTGACGTTTTGAAAATAAATCAACGACAAATGCATTAGTTGAATTTGGTAATAAATTAATGATATTTTCACTAACTGGATCAGTATTTTTCTGTAACCAATTATCAACATTATATTCAACTTTACCAGCATAATGATGAATAATAAAACCTGATTTTATTTTGTTTTGATTGAATTTTTTCAGTTTACCATTACCCCAACAATCTGCTAATTTCTCCATGAAAGATTTATCTGAACTTTTTGGAATCATACATTCTTCATTCAAAATCTCCAATATACCCATTGGTTTTTTAGTTTCAATTAAATCAATAGTTGGTTGTAAATCTTGACCAAAATCAATGAATTCCCAATTAATATTTTCTCTTAGATACTCACTTTGTTCTAAAATAAAAGAATGATGGTTGAAAAATTGTTGTAACTTTTCATTGGTAAAATTAATGCATAATTGTTCAAAAGAGTTAACTTGGAAAATTTCAAAACCGGCAATATCTAAAACACCAATTGAATTGTAATTAAATTCATCGATATTATCGGTTTTCAAATTATCGTTAATACGGAAAATGATATATTGAAAAATTTTTTCGTATAAATGTTTAGCAAAAGCATCAATGACATATTTAACTTCCGAAGGTTTTTTCAGTTTACTTACAAATTCTCTACCAGCTTTAACTTTAGGTCTCAATAAATTTGAAGTGAAATCATTTTTATCTATACCTAATAATTTAACAATGATATCAATCGGACTTTCAGACGTGAAGTTAGCTTGCTCGGATTTCCAAGAGGTAAAATTTAAATTACCCAAATGTAAAATGATTGCCAAAATTGAAAAAATATTATTGGATTCGAATTCACTAAAGCCCATTATATCAAAGGCATCAACGAGACTATTAAAGTCTTTTGAATCATCAGTATTTGCAATATCAAATTTAGATTTATTCAAATATTCATAATGGTTCAAATCTTTTATTAATTGAAGGTCAGACAATTTCGAATCGGATTGACCTTTTAAAAATTGGTAGAAAACATGGTAATTTCTTTCCTGTTCAGACTGATAAACAACTCTTGATTTTTCTAAAAGATAATAGTCAATAGTTGCACCATCTATTATACCATCATTTGAAAAATAGATCTTGATGAATTTACCGAATCTTGAACTATTGTTATTTTTAATAGTTTTAGCATTACCAAAACTTTCTAAAATAGGATTTGCTTGTAAAATCTTAGTATCGATATTTTTATTACTGGTATTAGATTGTTGTTTTATATCTGAAGGAGTTATTGAAGATAAGTACTGGATAATTTTTTTAGTATTTTCTGTTTTACCAGCACCACTTTCACCAGTGACCAAGATGGATTGGTCTTTTCTATTAGTTAGTAAGTTTCTATAAGTGCCTTCAGCAATTGCAAAAATATGAGGAGGAGGTTTATCGTATTGTTGACTATGATATTTTTTCAAGATTGAATTTTCATAAATTTTTAAATTTTTGTAAGGGTTTATCGCAACCAAGAACAATCCAGAATACGTATAAATCAAGTCATCATTATAACGTAACTGTAAGTTATATATCACCGAAGGTTCATTTAAATGGGTTAATTCTGCCATATCATCACATTTATTAAATTTTGATGGATTACATGGTTCTAAATCTTTAGTAGGTATTGTAATTGTCATTTCTTGACTTGATTTTTGATAAGTCACCTTAGTTTCCGTTGAATTCTTATCATTATCACTTATATAACCCCTAAGGAAAACATGATCAGCATCTGGAACCCATACCTGATTCTTTGAATTAAAATTGTCTTCTTCAGACATAATTTAGGAGGGTCAACGAGCAGCGATGGTATCTGGAGATAGCGTCTGGAGGAATATGTAGCGAAGGATATGTAAGGAGATCCAGGGTAGAACCCAATTGCTTAAGATTAAGTAGTTATCAAGTAACGGCGTCTAATTAACAGCGTCAAAAAAATCAACAAAAAAACATCGATTAGACGCCAAAACAAAAGAAAACATCAACAATAATCCGTTGCCCTGCGACACCCGAACCATCTGCCGGGGCCCCTTAACTACACTTTTGCTCACAAAGAAGACGCATTTCCGAGGGTCATTCCGGTAAACACCGGTTGCATTTCCTGATTTGACAGACCGAGGGGGGGTAGTGTACGCGTTCTCTTCTCCTACAATTATAACCTTCACTACAGCTATAACCTTCTACCGCTAATACTTCTACAGCTATTATTTTATATTCTATCATTTGTTTCTACATTAAGGGATGGCATGATATTATGATGATAAGTATATTAATATGTATTATGTAAGAAATGAATACAATGCAAATATGTAGACGAAGAATTGAAGTGAAATTAATTTGAAAGCCGAAAGGCATCGAAGGAGGGTCGTCAAAAGCAACATTAATAAGAGACCTTTGAGATTGGGGAGGACCAATCATTGATTGGATGATGCAGGTTTTTAGAAACGGGACTGAAACCATGGATAGCATCTGAGCTTTGAGTGTGATTAAAATTATATGGTGGATTTGGTTTTAAATGGGTTGAGTTGATTGGAGTAGCACAAACACTCGATAGAGTATGATTTGAAAGCAGAAACATTGAATATTGAGAGGTTGCAGAAGGAGGAGTTAATGGGATTGGTAAGCTAGTAGTAGTATTATTTTTAATCAATGATTCAATATCATTAATTTGGGGTAATTGTAATAAAATATCAGATAAGTGATTTAATTTATTTGAATGAATGTATTCATCATTGATGATCATTTTAGAATTATCAATGATGGTTGATATGATGAAGCTATATCTATTATTGAAATTTTTAATAACTTGAATAACTCCTAAAGATTCGTATTTTTTGGTTAAAACATCGGTTATCTTTGATAATTGAATAATAAACATAAGACAAACTTTTTTAATTTGGTCAATTGTAGTATTTGGATCGAATCCACTTAAAAAGGAACCTTTAACTTGGGGTTGTTTATTTTCTTCTTCTTCATCTTCTTCATCAGTGAAAAATTCTTCGTATTCACTATTACTTTCATAATCACTAGCGGTGATTATTATATCTTCTTGATTTTTCTTAAAAGATTTTGGAGTTGCAAATAAATTTATTGAAGAAGTTGATGGTTTCCTTTGGTCATATTTTTTGATATAATATGATTTTATTAAATCTTCTAAATAATTAGAAGAAGTATTAATTTGTAACATTGAACATGCAAGTAAATTTGCTGTGATAGCAACCAAAGAAGTTGGCATGGTAAGAAAAAACCGATCGTATAATGATAATTCACACAAAAATCTACTAATTGCAGTAATAGCAGATGTTTTGGAATTATTTGGAGTTAAATTATTATATTTACAAGGAGTAACTTGTAAATTATTCATTGATTGAATGGATAATTGTAAACATTCTTCTAAATTTGGATGACTCAAACTCCATTCTAAGGTTGATAAAATATGCATTTCCATTTGAATAAACATTTCTTCATCATATGCATTTCTACACATTATTGATAATTCTTTTAAGGTTGGTATTCTTGATTTTTTATCTTCATATTTAGAAGCAATCCATAATGAAGTACATCCAACTAATTGATAGTGTCTTTTGAAAACAATTCTTTTAGCACAATATCTATCAATAATGTTAAAGCATAAAAATAATGTCGATGGCTGTAACTTAAAACTCGAATGAAGTTCAATTAAGAAATCTAACAAAAATGGTCTCATAAACCATTGAATCTCGGGTTGTAAGTCAATCATTGATGGGTTAACTAATGATTCATTTTCTAACACTGCTAACCATTGTTTAACATCTTGATTATATTCATTAGTTAATTTCTTATTTGCTTGTGTTTCTAATAATTCCAACATGACATTATAACTTCTTGGTTTGATTGAAGTTGGTGGACCATATTTTTGCTTTTGACTAGTTCTTGATGAATCCATCTTTAAAAGATTTTTTTTATAAACGAATGACAAGTCAACTGACTGGAGGCTTTAAAGAGTGAATAGAAATTTGAAAGAACAGTCTGGCTATACAAGAACAACCCAACTGATGGGGAAACAAAAGAATCAAAAGAAGAACAACTGTGAACAGATTGAACAAGTTATATAAAAGAAAGTTTCAATATATATATATATATATCGAAATCGTAGGAGGTGTTTTAAAAGAACAACGATAAATAACAAAAACAACTAGCCAAAAAAAAAAAAAAAAAAAAAAAAAAAAAAAAAAAAAAATGAATTTTAGTGAAGGCCCTACTGAATGGTGTTTGGTGTTTGGTGTATGTTTATATTACTTATGTTATGAACTCATACAGCTTAAAGAAAGCTCAGTTATATCCATCTTTGAAGAGATATTTTACAATGAAATCGAAGAATTAAATTGCAAACGCAACGCGTAAAAAAACTCGTTTTGTTACTTGTCAAGCCTGCTTTACTAGACGTTCCTAAACTCGACCACCACTACTACCCTGCCATCTCTTCTGGCTACGCTACACGTACGCTACACATACGCTTACATCCACCTCTACGTCGACCACCTCTACCACCATCACCACGTCCACCGCTACACTCATCGCTGACTCTTCAATGGGCCCAGTCCATCTTGTAGTCGACTGAAACTAATACGCGAAAAATATAGTGTCTGTGATACTTTTTGCAATCTTTGCATTTAAAACTCCTTCCTTTAGATTTAAAAGCTTTATTGTTTCTCGACCCGCTTCGGTATATTCACAATTTGGTTTCTATTTTGGTATTGCCCTTGCCGTTTTCATGTTACATACAATGTCCACCTTCAAAGACTCCTTCAAAACACGATAATACCGGTCATAGTTGGGGAAATGTAAGGTGCCAACTTTGCAAACAGGTGGTACACCTGCAGCGAGTTGAGTTCCTTTGTAAAGGTACTGGGTGATTGCATTAGCAGGACGTATGGCTCCACTCTTTGGGTAGCGTGTTTTAAAATGCATGTCTAACTCTATTGATAACTGCACAGAAGTATTATTTGATGGAGAGCAATTATCTGGAAACCCTTCAAATTCTATGGTTAGTCGAGACATTACCATTTTGGGCTGTTACTATTCTTTCGTGTTGAATCGTGACTGATCTAGACATTTGGAGTAGTTCACCTCCCAATTTATATTTATAATTAGGAAGTGCGGATTAGGTACGTTATTGTAGATTGAATTGCTGGGACGAATATATTGTAAGCTGAATTGTAGGAGTTGGGTACTAGGGGTATTGTAAGTTGAATATTCAGCTTATTGTGGGTTGAATATTCAGTTTATTGTAAGCAGGGTATTGTAAGAAAATACTCAGGGTGTCTGGTAATAGATCAATTATAACTTGTTGTCTGAGGATTTGAGAATTTCGCCTGTTCTACAGAATGCTGATAGGATTGAAGAATTGAACAGCTATCTCTTTGCTACGTGAAAAGACAAGAGAGGTCTTTGACGAATGAAGAATTTTATTTTCATCATTTGTACTTTGAGGCACATGGAGGTATTGAATATGTTCTGGCCTTTGCGTTAGAGTTCAAGAAGGCTCTGTTCTTACTGCTCATTCAAGAATGCTCTGTTCTTGCTGCTCAGAATGCATTCTTTTGCTGCAAAACAAAACACCCGGCAAACCCTAAACCTAAACGATAGAGTAATACCAGGGGCCTAGTATAGCTAGACTTGCAAGATTCCAGATCATTTTCGTTGTAGCCAGTCCAAAAAATGATCATTTTGTATAGAAAGAGGAAAAATTCTCTCAAATCTTCAGACGAAGGCTAAATCTTTGGTCATCTCAAAAAATGCATCATCGTTGGAAATGTTTAATACTGCCTTAGCGTTTCCGCCTCCAATGCAATAGGAGCGTCTGTATCGAGCGGGTTCTGAAAACTAAACCGAGTATTTTTCGCAACCAATCGCTATTCTAGACCAACCATTCAGGTTCTCCTCCTACATTCATGTATCTTTTTGCAACTCATCTCTCTCTTTGTTTCTCAAGTTGATAGTCGGGTGATAGTCGGGTACATTCATTGCTAATCAAATCTGTGAGTTAATTTCTGCAGTCTATCATTGAAAGGCCGTCAGTGTCGACAATGGATTCTTGATCGTGCAATTCTTTTGTCTGCAATAAAGCACAAGCGGTCTTCTTATACCACCCGACCTAACCCTGGGAAAGCTATGCAATGCTATAACGATTTTTGTTATCTTACAAGACTATAAATTTTGTTTAACCTTTTTCAGGTCTATTCAAAAGCTTTCCTTTTTCAACTTTTTCTTACAATTATGATGATTTTTTTATCTTGGAAAAAAAAAAAATATTTAGCTGTTTTTTCCTCCTTTTATACTAAGCAAGAAAGATGTATACCGTTGCTTCTTCGAAGAGTAACCTGTCGGGCTTACTTCGCACATCTTGTTTAATCAATTGTGCAAAGCACAAGAATAATTTTGATATTCTGAATAATTAAACAAGGCTTAAGCCGCTGTTAGAATCTACAGGTTTGAACAATTTATTGTTTTAATGCCAACGTAGCTGCTTTTTTCAAAAATTTCTTAAAAAACTAAAAAAGTTTTGATTTATAAAAAAAATATTTAAAACAAGTCATTTTTCGAAAAAACTATAAATTCGGGACGTTGTCGCAGCGGTATTGGAATTCTCTTCCTTCAAGCCACGATTTCGAGTCTTGGGTTCGATTCCGTCGAGTTACTAAGTTACAGTGGCCGAGCGGTTAAGGCGATGCCCTGCTAATTACCAAGTTAGCTGTTAGGCATTGGGTTTTACCTTCGCAGGTTCGAATCCTGTCTGTAACGCCATTTTTTTGCTATTTAAATCGAACGAACGCCTACGGTATGAAAGTAATGATAGCGTTTTTGAACCTCATTAAAGGCATGTAAAGCACTTACTGTGAGATAAAGAAATTGGTGATAAAAATCACTCTGGTGTGTGGATGTTTTTTGTGCGCTCATAAGTTTTTTTTTCTTCTACAGAAAAGAGCCAGGTATCAAAGATTGGCTCATTGGACTTTGTCAAAGTAAGCATTTAAGTCAGCATGTCACAATCCTTAATAGTCTTTGATGCATCCGGTGTCGTAAGATACCAATACAACAATAAGACCAACCCATTTAATGACTTTATTTATGCAATTGCTAATGATACCGTGCTTTACCATGATTCGAACTTCATTTCTTTTAAATCGAATCAAAGAAAATTTTATAGCATAAAAAGAGACAAATTATATACTGCTTTATACTTTGAGGTTGTTACTACTATTGACCAAGAAAAGATTAGGCAAACGTTGAATGATGTTTTGAAAACATATCTTAAATTAACTGAAAATGATGAAGATTCAAGTAAGTTGAAAAAATTGATTGATTATCAATTTAACCAATTAATGCAATATAAACAACAAGTGAAAGCTGTTGATAATCCTTCTTCTGCATCTCCCATAAATAGCGGCACAAGCACGCCTAAGAAAACCCACGTAACCAATTCGAAGAAGAAGATGAGAAAATGGGATAATGGTGAAATGGTTGAAGATGGTGTTGATGAATCAATACTAGATTATTCTGAGAGTAAAGAAGGATCTGTTGGTCCAAGTGATAATACCCAACAGTTGAAAGTTGATTTATCTTCTTTTAGTCACCAAGATGATTTGATTTTGGTTAATGAACTAAATGATATTCTAGATGATAGTGAAGATGATGAAACCACTCAAGATGGTTCAAGTAAATCGAAAGGAGTTTCAAGTTTTTTCAATAAACTTAGTTCTTATTTCGGATCAACTGTTGATATACAAGAAATAACAAAAAAATTTCAAGATCAATTAGTTTCTAAAAATATTCACCCAGCAACTTCAAAATTAATTCTTGAACGTATAAATAATAAATTTGGTAATAAGACTCAAGTTACTCCAAAAGAGTACAAAGATGTTTTAGTTGAAGAACTAACTAAAATTTTAACACCAAATGTTTCAACCGATTTATTATATGATATCAAAGGCAGAAATAACCAAAGACCTTATGTCATATCAGTTGTTGGTGTTAACGGAGTGGGTAAATCAACAAATTTAGCAAAATTGGCTTATTGGTTTTTACAAAATAATTTAAACGTCTTGATTTGTGCTTGCGATACTTTTAGATCTGGAGCTGTTGAACAATTGAAAGTTCATGTTAACAATTTGAAGACTTTGAATAACTCAACTTCTAAAATTGATATTTTTGAAAAAGGTTATGGTGGTGGTGATCATGTTGTTACTACAGCTAAACTGGCAATTAATCATGCTCAACAAGAAAGTTATGATATAGTTTTAATCGATACCGCCGGTAGAACTCACTCAAATGCTAAATTAATGACCCCATTGAAAAAATTTGGAGATGCCGCTAATCCTGATAAGATTATAATGGTTGGGGAAGCCTTAGTTGGTACTGATTCAATTGATCAAGCTATAAACTTCAATAATGCTTTCGGTAACAGAAGAAATCTTGATTTTTTCATCATTTCAAAAGTTGATACAGTTGGTGATTTAGTCGGTACAATGATAAATATGGTCATGGCAACAAAAGTTCCTATCTTATTCATGGGTACCGGCCAGACTTACACTGACATTAAAAGACTCAACATTAAAAGAATCGTTGATATGTTAACCAACTAAAGCATTTACACAAATTCTTCTAAACACAAAATCAGTAATTACTACCTATTGTAACAATACTCTTACTCTTTAATATTAATACAACTAATGACTATTATTTTGTAGTGAGATTGTGATCAGACAACTGTATGAACGAAAAACTCCATATATAGTCTCTCTTTCTTTTCCATTTAAAGTTCATTTTAAACCAAGAATATATAAGTCTATGATCAAGGCTATAAATACCTTGTTTCTATTATTGTAATCGATTTTAGAAGCTTTTACGGAATTTTTTTTTCTTTTCTTTGACAGAATTCGCTTCCTCCCTTTATTAACTATTTTAAGAATTGGGTCTTTTGCGAAGTACTCTTCGAATTCCTTATAATCCTCTTCTACGATAGATCTTTCCTCCTTTACTCTTGGTCGCCTCATTTGTTTTTCAATCCTTAGAATTATAATCAGCATTTGGCTAGAATTGAGTGGAGGCTGTCAAATCGGGTTTAGACACTGCATACTTTTTTTTTTTGTATTTTGACTTGCTAAGCTTGCCAAATTGAACTTTGACAATTTAATGAAACCATGCTTCTTAGAAAATCCAGACCAGGGGCCAACCGTTCCAGATCGAGCTCTTTCAAGAAGACTAGTCAACCCCCCACATGGGATAGTCGATTATTCTTGAAGATCAATGCAAATCGTGCGGCCGACTTGGTACAGCCTAGCCAATTTCTGAATGATGAATCAAATACTCAACCAGCGTTGACTTCTAGGAAAAGTGTCAATCCAGTTTTGGTTGCCCTGTTGAATAAAACGAAAAAGAAAACTTCGAGAAAATTGAACACCAACCAACCAACTTGGGATGATATCATAACTATTGAATTAAAACCTAATGACTACTCCCAGGTTTTGACATTATCCATATGGGATAAACATAAAAGCTCCAAAGTGTATCTTGGTGAGCTTAGGCTCTTTGTTAAAGATATCTTCATAAGAGACGGCGTTTTTAAATCCTCCACGGAACTTAGGTGGCATAAATTATACTCCACTAAATCCCACCATAGTTTCGTTACTGGTTCATTGTTGGTATCTTTCGAGTTGCTTATCAAGAAGAAAAAGACGAAAAAGTCTACCAGGCAAAAGAATTTGGATATAGTTGAGCAAGAAGAGTTACCTTTTTCTGGCTTCAATAGTGACAGTGCAAGGGTTGATAGTGATTTGGCAAATAACAACGTAATTGTTAATGTTGTTCCGCCCTCTCGTAATCCGACTGGAGCAGGAGAATTAAACGATAAAGTTGATAATCTTGCGATATCAGATACAGAAGTAGAAATCAAAGACGCAAATCAAGCGTTACTTCAATCATGGTTTGATTCCTTGCTTTATCCGGATCCGAGCGTATCCATTATTCAACTCGATGACCAAGGATTTTACGCCGATGAAGGTGAAATATTTCCGGACCCAGCAGTGGGTATTTCTGATATCGAATCAATGGATGAGGCATCAGTCTATGGTCGCTCACGATCAGGATCTAATGCAAGTTCATTGGTGAAAACTGATAATGCTACAAATATTAATTTACAAGGCCAAACCATGAACAATTTTATGGAAGACTCAAATCATAATAGTAGTCTGCAATTTTTATCTGTGACTCCTCCAGGGGAAGAAGACGTGGCTTCGTCTGATGTATCGTATTTTTCGACTGATAGTGCTTTTAATAGTGATTTCATTAGTGACAGAGAAAACATATTCAGTGAAAATCATTCTGTCAAGAGTAAATCCAAGAAAAGATTCGGTAGAAAGCGTAAACTGAAAGCTTTAGAAAAATTCGAAGTAAAGAATCGTAAAGTGTTGGGTGTCTTATTTTTAGAAATTGTTTCCTGTACTGATTTACCCCCGTTGAAAAATATGACAAGAACGTCTTTTGACATGGATCCCTTTGTTGTTGTTACATTTGGTAAGAAGACATTTAGAACTAGTTGGAAACGTCACACTTTAAATCCAATTTTCAATGAGAGGTTAGCCTTTGAAGTCATGTCCCATGAACGTAATTTCGATGTTCAATTTTCGATTTTAGATAAAGATCATTTTTCATTCCACGATAATGTTGCAAATCTCTCTCTTTCTATGAATGATTTGAGATCTCTTTCCACTCAAGTTCCTGAACAAAAATCTGAAGAGGAAAAGGAAGACCTGGAAGTTTTCTCCAATGTAACACCTTCAGGTGTTTCAACACCCCCAACAACTACTTCTCAATCGCTGCCTGCCCCTAACTCACTGGATGATGAAATTCTGAAAAAAGGTATAAAAATTTTGGAAGATGATAATATGGTTGAATCTATAAGAAAGAAGAAATTCATGAAACGTAAGAAGGTCACCTTACTGTATGCTGATACATCAAATTTTAAGACCATGAATCTTTCGCTAAAGCTACATGACTCAAAGTTAAACGAAAAATATAAACCTATTTTAAAAGTAAGATCAAGGTTTCAACCTTATGATGAATTGAGAAGACAATTTTGGAAAATCTTACTAGACCAATATAATTTCAATGAGACTCCTGGCCAATACGATTATATTGAATTGATATCAGTACTTGATACATTTGGATGCGAAAACAGTGATGACATTGTTGCAAAATTTTTCCAAAAATATGGTAGATCAACGTGGGGCGGAGACGTATTAAAAGATGAAGAAATTATCGATTGTTTAGAAGAACATGTTTTATCAAAGACTAAACCAGAAGATAAAATTTTTGAAATCGAAAAGTGTCCATTATGCTATCAAAAGAAGCTATCTAAAAAGTTAGATATAGATATAATCACCCATGTAGCAATTTGTGCATCTAAAGATTGGAGTATTGTTAACAAATTATTAGTTTCGTCCTATGTCACCCCTCAAGCTGCAACAAAAAGATGGTTTAGTAAAGTTTTAATAAAACTTACTTATGGGAAATACCAAATCGGTAGTAATTCGGCTAATATTTTAGTGCAAGATCGTACCACTGGTATTATAATGGAAGAAAAAATGGGGGTATATGTTAGATTGGGTATAAGATTATTGTACAAAGGATTAGATAAAGCCAAAACAAGGAGAGTCCGACAATTACTTAGAAAACTTAGTGTCAAACAAGGAACAAAGTTTGATCATCCAAGTTCGAAAAATGATATTGAATCATTCATCAAGTTTCATAAATTAGACTTAACTCAATGCTTAATTGAAGATCCCCAAAAATATAATACTTTTAACGAATTTTTTTATCGAAGATTAAAGCCGGGAGCAAGACCAAACGAATCACCTAAAGATTGCAGAATTGTGGTATCACCAGCAGATTGTAGGTGTACAGCATTCGAAACGGTTGATTTAGCCACTGAATTGTGGATTAAAGGACGAAATTTTTCATTAGCAAAATTATTTAACGGTAATTTTAGTAATTTACAGGATACTGATTTATTCAAACCTGAAAAAAGTACTTTAGGTATTTTTAGACTAGCACCCCAAGATTATCATAGATTCCATTGTCCGGTTGATGGGAAGATCCGTTCAATCAAATATATCGAAGGGGAGTATTATACTGTAAATCCAATGGCAATAAGAAGTGATTTAGATGTTTTTGGGGAAAACGTTAGAGTTCTTATTTCAATAGACACAAAAGAATTTGGAACAGTAATAATGATTGCAGTGGGCGCCATGATGGTTGGATCGACCATATTGAGTGTGAAGGAAGGAGATTTCGTTAAAAGAGGTGAAGAAGTGGGATACTTTAAATTTGGAGGATCCACTATTGTTTTATTGTTTGAAAAACTGAAATTCCAATTCGACGTTGATTTATTAGATAATTCGAAAACTTGCATTGAAACTCTTATTAGAGTAGGACAGAGTATTGGGCATGCACCTGAAGTCGACGAATTTAAAAGGGATCATATTGATTTTGGTAAACAATCCAAGGAATTCAAATTGAAATTGATTAGAGTTTTGACTGGAGGAGACTTGAATGATCCAAATGAGTTGAGTAATTGGGAAAGTTCTAACATCAAAATTTCTAATGAAGACATTAAGAAATTGATCAAAACAACAGAAGACCCAGGTTATGTTGAGGACGAAGAAGAAAACGACTTTGACAGCGAAGACGATGAAATTCTGCTCGATAGCAGAGATCATTAACTTCAAATATATTTGCATCATCTTTTTTTTTTTTGTGAATTTTTTTTTTTAAGTACATGTTATTCATTAGTAATGGCTATCATATTTATTAAGAAGTACTATATACTTGTATTATACACCGAATAGACCTGGGTGTAGCTGCGTAACCAGGTATAGAAGAACTAAAAAATCGTGAGTAGTAAAAAGGAGGGGAAGGCTCTTTTCAATAACGACCTTGAAAGTAGCTTACAGGAACGTAGATGTCATCCTCCTTGTAACCTTTGACTTCTTCCATGTTACGTACATGCCATCCTATATAATCTAAGTCATGTTTGATACTATCGATTTCATCATACTTTGATTGGATCAAAGATGGAACCAAAACTACTTTGGTGATGATTGGGGGAACACTCAATCCTGCTAACAAACCTAAAACAACTGGTGATTTAGTAATGAATGACATTAAAACTACTGACTAAACAAAATTTGAATAACCTCAAGTTTTGAGAAACCACGGGGAATCTAGTGCTATTTATACCAAAGGACCGATTTCCTTTTTTTGTGGGGAGTTGACCTAAAAAAAAAGAAAAAAAAAACGATAAGCAGATTGAGCCCGGAGAAATTGAGCTGTCATCGGAACAGGCAAAATCGACTGATTCACTAAAACAACCAAAACTCAGTTTGCACGCCGCTAAAAGACAACAGACGTAGTAAAACAAGGTTGGGACCTCGCTAGAAATTTCCTAGTTGCAAAAAAGGATAGCTTTGGTGCAACAGAATTAGTGTAAGGGAGAGCCGGAGTTGTTGATTGAGGAATGCCTCGGAATAAGAGCGATTACTACAAATACATGGATTATCACAAGACATACACCGTAAATATAGAAAATAGAGACAAATAGACAATATCAAGGGATATGTGTATATGTATATATAAATTAAGTTGAGTTTAGTTGTAAGATTATTTCTTTTGTTGACCACCGTACAATTTTCTCCATTCATCGACTTTCTTTTCATCGATTCTTTGGAATAAGTATTGGGCCTTACCAATGTTGTGACCGGGTTCCAAGACTAATTCGAATTTGTCGGTGATGGATAAAGGAGGAGCGTTCAAGATTTGGGAGATTTGAGTTCTGGTTTGGGGCATGAAAGGAGAAATGACTGCACTAACCAAGTAAATCAAGTTCAATCCAACGGCAACAACAGCATCCGATTTATTTGGAGAATTGTTATATAAGGAATTATCTAATTTATTATCTTGTAAGAATTGGTTACCACGAGCAGAAATTGCCATTGCAATTTCCAAACCACGACGTAAATTAACTGATTCCATTGTATCAATATAAGATTTTAATAAAGTATTAATATCATTTTCAAAATCTTTATAACCTGGAATATCACTTGGGTTATAATTGGGGATAACACCGTTATATTTGGCAATGGCAAATTTGACTAACCTATTGACAAAATTACCCAAGTTTGCTAATAACTCACTGTTATTTTTGGTGACAAATTCTTTCCACGAGAAATGGGAGTCAGAAGTTTCTGGTCTGACTGACGTTAAATAGTATCTCCAAACTGATGGTGAAATACCGGTATCTTTAGCATTATTACCAAAGACACCAACTCCACGAGATTTCGAAAATTTACCATCTTCATATTGTAAATATTCAGTAGTATTAATATGATGTAATTTAGTCCAATTATCACCAGTACCGATTTGAGTAGATGGGAAAACAACAGTATGGAATGGAACATTATCTTTACCCATAAATTGATACAAATCAACTTTTTCTGGGTTGAACCACCATTTCTTCCAATCTTCTGCTCCTTTATCTTTAAAATAATTAGCAGTAATTGAAACATATCCAATAGTGGCATCAAACCAAACATATAGAACCTTATCTTTAAATTTGTCTAATGGTACTGGGGTACCCCAAACTAAATCTCTAGTAATACATCTTGGTTCTAAACCTTGTTTTAACCATGAACCAGTAATAGTCTTGGAATTCTTTGACCATGATCCCTTTTCAGACGCTTCTTCAACCCATTTTTTCTCTTGTTCTTCTAAATCGTTTAATTTAAGATAAATATGAGTAGATTTTTTGGGAACAGGTGATGCATTATCAAGTTTACAACGTGGTTTAATTAATTCAAATGGATCTAATAAACTACCACATTTATCACATTGATCTCCTCTTGCATCATCATAAGAACATTTTGGACAAGTACCTTCAACGTATCTATCGGCTAAGAAGGCTTTGTGAACTTCACAGTATAATTGTTCAGTAGTTTGTTCCTCTAAATAATTGTTATTATATAATTTCATAAAGATATCTTGAGCAATTTCAGTTTGTAATTCAGTAGTAGTTCTACCGAAATAATCAAATTCAATATCAAACCAATCGTAAACTTCTTTATGAATCTTATGATATTTATCACATAACTCTTGTGGAGTCACTTTATCTTCTAATGCTTTAGTTTCAGTAGCAGTACCATATTCATCAGTACCGGAAATAAAGATAGCATTATAATTTCTATTTTTCACATAACGAGCGTATATATCTGCTGACAAAACTGAACCAACAATATTACCCAAATGTGGAACGTTATTAACATATGGTAAAGCTGATGTAATTAAAATGTTTCTTTCATTGTCTTTTGGTAAAATTCTTGATCCTTGATCTTTGACTAAATGACCAGTTCTAACTTTTTGAGCACCAGTATTTGTTTCTTTAACTCTTTCTAACTTGGTGATTGATGAAGCATGTTCAATAGCTTTTGAAACTTCTGGTAATTTGGCAAATTCTGAAATCCAATCACTCAAGACATTTTCATCTTTAGAATCGATAAAAGCAGGATATAAAGCTGAAAATAAGATTATTTGGGCAGCTTTCATTTCGGCCTTTCCAAAAAATGACTTCACTTCTTCAGTAGCTACTTTAATAACATTTTCCTTCTTGTTGGATTTAAGGGCTTTATAAACAAGTAATTCTTCAAAATTAATAGCTGGATGGCTTGTAAAATCACCAGCTAAGTACTTAACAATGGCATTGGCTTCATTCAATTGAAATCCGGTCTTTTTATCCTTTAATTCAACTGAAATATCTTCTTCACTGATTGTAACAGCCAATTTTGGTTGATAAACCTGAGAAGCAATTGATAATTTTAAATTATTAACAAGACTTAAAAGATTGTTGCCCTTATCAGCAAATAACTCCAAAGAAGACATCCTATACTAATTATACTCTTATTTTGGTAACCTCTCTGGTTATAGGACTTAATGACAAAATTCAGTACTGTCTTTAAAGGTTTCCTTCAAAAAGATTTTTTTTTTTTTTTTCATCTCGATGGAAAAAATGACTAACATTCAATACACGCAGTTTTCACCAAGATGGTTTCATAAGCTTCTGCTTTGATTTCCATAACACAACTACGTTATTTGTTCAAGCTATAATGTTAATGCGTGGCTATTCACGTATAGGCTCATCATTTTGCAACACACTGATACGGTACTTGTCCACATATGTCGGAATTGATCCTCATAACAGTCTTATAACGAAAGTAGAATCAAGTCGATCATCGGGGAAGTCTGGTGTCCTTGGGGATACTAGCTTCATAGCGAAGGATAATATAACAACTAAAGGTACCTTTACCACCAGTGGATCTCTAATGCTTTCGAATTACAAAAGTCCATTCGATGCCACAGTTGTAGACCTATTAGAAGAAGCTGGTCTGAAACTTATAGGTAAGGCCAACTTGGACGAATTTGGGATGGGATCTTCAAATACAAACTCCTATTATGGAAGTACCCTCAATCCATTGTATGAAAATGAGGAGCGTGTGCCCGGTGGTTCTTCTGGTGGCTCTGCAGCAGCTGTTGCAGCATCATTAGCATCATTTAGTCTAGGTACTGATACTGGTGGATCAGTTAGATTACCGGCCAGTTATTGCGGAGTGATTGGTTTTAAACCAAGTTATGGTAGGATCTCCAGATGGGGGGTTATTGCATATGCACAAAGTCTAGATACCGTTGGTATACTTTCAAAAGACGTTGCTTTAGCAGAAAGAGTGTTCAATGTTTTAGACAAATACGATGACAAAGATCCAACCTCATTACCAGAAAGTATTCGAACTCAAGTTGAGAAACACCAGCACCTCTCGTCTAAGTCTAAGTTTGTTATCGGTATACCACAGGAATTCATACTTGAAGACTTAACTGCACAAGCCAGATCCCAGTGGCTGCAAGTTTTAGTCAAGTTATTGAAAGCTGGTCATGAGTTAAAGCCGATAAGCATCCCTAGCATTAAAAAACTGCTTTCGTCTTATTATACTCTAGCTACCGCAGAAGCTGCTTCCAACTTATCTCGTTTCGACGGAGCTAGATACGGTTTTAATGATGAAGAAGTAAAAGAAACAGCTTACAAAACTCTAACAGAAAACCGTTCTAAAGGATTTGGGCCAGAGGTTCAAAGGAGAATTTTATTGGGAAATTATACTTTGTCTTCTGAGTCTGGAAATCATTACTTAAAGGCTAATGAACTTCGTCAAAGATTAGTGGGAGAGTTCAATGAAACATTCAGATTTTATAATCCACTTTTATCTGAATATGTTTCTAAATCAAATGGTTGTGATATTCTCATTTCTCCAACTTCAATTGATCCGGCCCCTACTATTGACGAATATAAGAGTAAATCTAAAGAAAACTTTCTTACTGGTTACATAAATGATATTCTAACCATTCCTGCATCATTAGCTGGATTACCTGCTATATCGATTCCCTTACCAGCAGCGAAACAAGGTATTCAATTGATGGCACAGTATGGTGATGATAAAACTTTGCTTCAAGCAGCAAAATCAATAGAAAAATTGCTTATTTAGATTAATTACATTTTCTAAATATATCTTACGTGTATATACATATATATAATATAAAGAGTTAAAGTATGAGGTGTTGAATATCATAACATCATTATTCACTAATTAATTCGTGAGTTTGAGGGGTGAAAAGAGGTTGAATGTAGTTGCAGCCAAAGCAAAGCAAAACTGGAATCATTAAAGGTGTCAAGGAAAGAATTAAAAAAATAACAAAAGGGTAAAATGCAAATTAATTAGCACGAATGCAATAAGGATCTGTTGAATTATTCCCTATTGCATACTTATTTTGAAATTGAAAGAAAACGGTTTTTTTTTTTTAAAAAAAAGGCAAAAATGAAAAAAACAAAATGAAAGCTTCAGTGTCTACCAAGCAAAGTCAAAAATTCTTCTCTAGTTTTTTGTTGATCCCGGAAACAACCTAACATGCAACTTGTGGTTGTAGAAGAGCCAGTTTTTTGAACTCCTCTACTTACCATACACATATGGGTTGCTTCGAGGACGACAGCAACACCCCTTGGTTTTAAAATTTCGCTTAAAGCCATTGCAATTTGCTTGGTTAATCTTTCCTGAACTTGAAATCTTCTTGCGTACATTTCAGCTAATCTTGCGAGTTTAGATAATCCCAAAACTCTTTTATTTGGAATATATGCAATATGAGCTTTACCGAAGAAAGGAACTAAGTGGTGTTCACATAAAGAGTATATTTCAATGTCTCTAACAATAACCATTTCATCATGATTTTCTTCGAAAACAGCCCTTTTAATGACGTCTCTGATATTATCTTCATATCCTTTAGTGAAGAACAACATAGCACGAGCATAACGTTCTGGGGTTTCCAACAATCCTTCCCGATCAACATCTTCACCTAATTCGGATAAAATGGTCTTGACAGCACCAGCAATACGCAATTCTCGTGCCTTAGCTTCTTCAGGTGTCTGTTCGATACGTGAACGTGCTCCTTGTGATGGCCATGACAAACCGTCAAAATCTATAGGAGGATTTAAAGTACATGGTGAAGCAACCCTGGTTTGTAATGGAGTACCAAAATTATTACGAATAGAATCCTCACCACTATTCAATTTGGCTCTTTTCAAAGGTAAAACGGAACTTGGAGCATGGATGCCATTAGCACGATCTGATTGTTCAGAACTGCCTTTAGAAGTTGAAGATGATGGTAATGGGTTACTGTACTCTGACATGATAATAATTTCGGCTCTTAAATCAAGATTTCGGCAAGCAAGATAAGACACCGTCTTAGGTTTTATAAAGGGAAATCGAACAATTCCAGTTATAGTTTTTTTCTAATTTTTCTCTTTTTTTTCATTCTAGTGTAATTAGTCAATTTTCAAAAAAAATATAGTGATGAGGATTACATTAAACATTTCGCAGTTATGTCACGTGCAAATACGATAGGACTTAATGATAAGCCAATGCTTCAGTAAAGCTTTTACATCATAAGATTAAAAGATAAATATTTATTTATGGTGGTATAATAAGAAAAAAAGGACATAAAACGGAAAGCTGCAAATGAGATGAAATGTTTGAAATAGACTTTCATAAAAGTATTTTTTTATCATTATCGGTTCTTCCAAATTTTTTTTTTTTTTTTTTTTTTTTTTTCAATTTTATAAATTTTAAAAGTAGTATGTTTTTCAGAGTTTATGATTCTGATTCATAACTAACCATCATCACTTCGAAAAGAAATAAAGATCTCGGGACACGTTAGGGAATTAGGAAACTTGGGTAAAGAAAAAAGGAAAGAGTAAAAGAGAGCATAAATTAAATAAAAACGAAACGAAAACGACTGAAATACAAACGAAAATAAAAAAAAGTATCTGGATTAGGTATCCAATGCAAATGGGTTCAAGACACGAACAGTCAAGCATGGTAAGGCCATACCAATTTCTGCTCTGATTAAAACAGGAACTTGTTTCAATTCGCGGATTTCTTGAATGTAAGAATTATGTTCAACCCTAGTAATAACGTCTTGCAAGTATGGTTTCAATCCACCTTCGATATCACCAGCAGTGGTACCAGCATCACTCTTAATAACCGAGGATGAATTAGTTCTGATGTTTTTAGGGAAAGAACCTTGGGTTGGAGAAGAAGGCATAGATCTAGTATTGTTCGAGTCTTTCAATTCATTATCTTTTTGAATAGAAGGAACAGCCAAATTTGGAGGTTGCAAATTCAATTTAGCCAATTTGTTAATAATTGACTCAGTTGCAACACTCTTCTTTTCCAATCTTGCCTTATTTTGAATCTTAGCAGCTTGTACGGCAGAAGTTCTGTATTTGTTCTTGATAGAAGATCTGTAACTTAAAGAAGTCTTTTCATCTGGAGGAACGTATGTAGCTGAGTCAACTCCTTTGTCCCAATATAATTCTAAAACACGTTCAGTCTTATCAAATTCAGCTTTAACTAGAGGTAATTGATCCCCATGAACTCTCTTTTCAACACCAAATTCGGGAATGAAAACATCAAAAGATGATTCGTAAACCTGAACAACAGTACCAATACACAATAATTGACCGGCGCTTTCACTAATTTCATTAATTGTTTGGGATAATAATAAATGAATGGCTTGTTCCTGAGCATTTGCAGCGCAATCTTTCTTAAAATTACAATATTCAGCAGTTGCCTTTAAAGCATCCAAATCAGCTTCTTTGTCATCCAAACTACCTTGCTTACCCTTATTGATAACTTGTTTTAATTGTCTATGAACAATCAAATCAGAATATCTTCTCAATGGGGCATTGAAATGTGTGTATAATGGTGTGTTAAAGTAATAATGACCATAACTATCTGGATCTTGCTTACCAGCAATGTAGTAACGTCCTCTCGACATACATTTATATAACAAAGTTTCAATACATTGTCTTTTAATTGGATCTTCAATCTTTAATATAGAGTTTTGCAATGTTGATGAAGTAGTGGTATCAATTTTGAAACCCAAGTTAGTAGCTTTTCTCACAAAAGTTTCCATTTTTTGTAAGGTAGGCAATGCATGACGACGTAATAAGGCTTGATCACCCAATCCAGCGTGAACTTTAGCGGCAATCGCATTATTGACTTTATGACTAATTTCAGAAATGATACTGAATGCTAAACTTTGTTTGAAAATGTTCAAATCTAATCTTACTTTTTCATCATCTAATTGGTCCAACAAAGTCAAGTTTGGGGTAATTCCCAAACTATGGTTATCCAAACGTTGACGACGGAATTCTTTTGCAATCAAACTGAAAGTTTTGATATAATCAGAAGCAGCTGATGATATATTGGTATTTGGAAGCGATTTATTTTCCAATATAGCATCAAAAGTGTCATAACTAACCAATTGTTTAGGAACAATGATAGTTTCATGGATGTAAAGATCCTCAACTTCAAAGTTTTCGGTATCAATTTCAAAAATCACAGACACAGCCAAATTTCTTTGGTTTTCTTTAAAAGAGATAAGCTCATTAACTTGTTCAGGGAATAATTGTGCAACTTTTTGAGGTAAGAAAACTGAAGATGATCTCTTCTTAGATTTACGATCCAAGACGCAGCCAGGTGGGATAAAGTAAGAAACATCTGCCGAATGGAAACCCAATTCAATTTTCAGTTCAGATAATCTTTTGATATGTAAAGCATGGTCAGAGAACAAGTTGTTTTGAGTGAAGGCAATAATATAATCATATGAGTATTCAACTCTATCAGGATTTTGTAATTCCGGTTCAATCAATGGTAAATCTCTAACATAAGAAGCAATAACTTCATTATCAGCATCATCATCAACAGGATATTCATCACACAAAAAGTTATTGTCTCTTAAAATTGAATCAATTTCAGTTGATGAGTCTTCAATCTTACCTAATTTACTAACCAAGGTACCAAAAGGATGTAAAGATGTGATGGGCCATCTTTTGATGGAAGCAACAAATAATTGATCACTATATTTTTCATGATTTTCAACAAAATCTTTTGGAGCTTGTTCAGTTGGGATGGCAATCAAAGGGACTTTTTTATCAGTTGGTTTAAACCATACAATTTTCGGAGCTTTTGGTGTATGGACAGAAGATTCTTTACCACTTTTCTTATCTTTAGCAGCTTGAGCAGCTTGAGCGGGTCTTAAAAGACCCAAAGTACCAGAAAAGATTTGACCTGGAATACGATCAACAACTGCAACAACATGGCCAGCATATAAAGGTTTAACTTCATCATTTATTTCCTCTTCTTCAACTAAAAGTAATGATTGACCTTCAACTTCAACGTCATCATTCTTTTTCATTGTTGGTCTTTGTTTCAATGAACCTCTTCTACCTAAGCCTTTCTCTTCATTTTCAGATTTTTCTTCTTTATTGGTTGGAGAACCACCAGCCGAGTTTGAGGCTGAGGAAGGAGCATTTGCTGAGATGGAAGTGGCATCATTATGAATATCATCATTCAAGACTGATGTAGAAGGGCCCTTGGTAAGAGTGTTGTCTTTTCTTCTCTTCTTTTCTTCTTTTTCCTTTTTAGATTCCCAAACTTCATCGACAACCAACAATTCAACGGCAACCAAATCACCTTCTAAAGCACGATTACGATCTTTGGAACCACAAATGAAAATATCAGCATCCAATAAACCGTCGGTTGAAACATAAGCATCAGATCTATTCTTTTTATTGACACGTAAAGTACCAGTGACTAAACGACCATCATTGATCAATTCTGGTAAGGATGATTGAGGTAAATAAGGAGCGAAAAGAGATTTACGACCATTATTTTGACCATTGGCACCCCCAGCACCCCCGGCACCACCAGAATTGGGTAAGAATTGAGCCAATGAAGAAATGGAAGAACCACCACCATAAGAACTATTTCTTGGTTTATGACCAGGAACGAAACCGGCTGATGGTGGTTCAAGACTTGAAAGGTTTCTTTGATGGGAACCGTAAGAATTAGGAGCAAGTTGCTGATTCAGTGGAGGTTGAGGTTGTTGTTGACTTCTCCAATTTGAATTCATATTACCACCATTTGAATCAAAATTTCTCGATCCCGATCTATAATGGGATAAACGTTTTTGATGACCTTTATCAGGGGAAGGACTAATTGAAAAGTTAGGAGTTGGAGGTAATAAAGAATTATTATTGGAAGCAGCTGGTGCTGGGGCAGGAGCAGGAGCAGGAGGAGGAGATTGTTGATTTGAGTGATTATCTGGAGGAAATTTAAACGATTGTTGGCCATAAGCCAAAGATCTTGATCTTCCGTGACTACTGTCTCTGCTGGTATTTGCAGATGAAGATGCGGAAAAGGGAGGTGAGATCGAATCATTGTCACCATCAGAAGAAGAAGCAGAAGCTGGGAATTTAAATGAGCCGATATTTTCTGAATCTCCACCAGTACCGGCAGCAGCAGCAGAAGATGGAGGTGTGGAACCTGAACTAGAAGGAGTCAAGGAAATACGGTTATTTTGTCTTTGACTTGCAGCCGCCTTAATAGCTTCATTCAAACCAAGGGAATGTCTTCTGCTATGACCTTGAACAGCAGAAGTGGATCCAGAAGCAGTTCTTCTGTGTCCCCCCGCGGCCGAATTTATCGAAGATGATCTCGAGTGACCACCATGACCGCGATAGTTATTTTGCGATGGCATCGAATCATTATTGGAGCGGCCAGGTGGATAGGTATACTGTTGATGCTGCTGCTGCTGCTGCTGCTGCTGCTGCTGCTGTAAGATCTGTTTTTGTTGAGCTTGAACGGCCTCCAATTGGCGTTGTAGGTTGTACTGTTCCACCATAAGAGTGGTCAACTCACTTGGAGAACGTCTATGAGCAATATGCAAGTTCTTTGGCTTCTTGGAACCAGGGACACTCAAATTGTCCCCAGCTGGTTTATCAGACATCTTTAGTTTAATTCAATTAGGGGAATTAGAAGAGCTGTGGGTCTTTTTTTCAAAAAATAAAAAAAAAAATAAAAAAAGGTGTCAAAACCCAGCAATTAAAGAGTGAGCACAAAAGTGTAATTTCCCAGTACCACTGACCAAAAATGCAACCCAGCGAAAAAGGATTGATATAGCAAAAGCGATTCAAAGGAAGGTAGATTCAATAACAAATCTACGGGTATAAGCTATAAAGCTGGAGCAAAGAAACAAGGCAAGAAAAAAAAAAAAAAGGAACTGGATTTAAACGCTGGGAAAGAAAAAAGAACAAATTTTTTTTAAACGCTATGAACAATAATGGGGAATGCGGATATGTAGAGGAGGTGGATGTGTTGTGGATGATGAAAGGAGTGAGCCCAGTCAGTAAGATGGCGATGATTGATCAAAGGCAATTGAAGTATCCAACTAAAGAAAAAGACTTGTGCAAAAGAAGCAAGGGGAATGGAAGGGGAGTTTTTTTAAAGGGAAAGGGAGGAAAAAAAAGTGATTTTTTTTGTAATTTTCGTCCTTTTTTTATCCTTCTTCTTTTTTTTTTGTTTTTCAACTGACACTCGGCAAAAGACCCGGACCTCGCAAGAAAAAACAACGAAAATTAAATGAAAAATAACGAGAAAAAAAGTAATGACACACTGGAGCCATGAAGGGGCTGTTACTGAGTGGTTGAAGTAAGAGCAATTGAGTGGCGGGATGTTGTTAGAGAGGGTAGTTGGGGGATGGGGATGAAAGAATCGTATACTCCGGTGATGTAATGGGCGCAGAGTTTAAGGAATGCCGTTAATCCTATAGTTTATTTTTGTAGTAGAGCGGATTCTATTTTTGTCCTGGCTTTTGGGTCACCTTGAATACGAGCGAAGGATTCGTCAAACAAGCTTGTAAAGAGGGTTTTTGAGTTGCCTGGGTTTAGATGATTGGTGAGTTACGGGCAGATGAGTGGCGAGTTACGGGCAGATGAGTGGTGAGTTACAGGTGGAAGGGGACTAGAAGCAATCGGTGTCATTATGCCGAATGCTGCAAAAAAAGAACAAACAAACAAAAAAAAAAGTGGTGCTTACAATAGTGCTTACAATACAAATTGATTAATAAATAGGATTAAGACTATAGAGAAATTTTTACAACTTCCAGTTGTAGAGATTGGGTATCGACCAAGACGATTTCCCCAGTAGAGCTGAATTTAGGAACGCTTATGAGCTTGACTTTAATTTGGTCGGATTGTAGCAAGTCAGCGTCGTATCTTTTCTGATTTCCGACAAAGTAGAGATGGGGGGTTTCGTTTCGCAATAAGTACGGATCGAAATTATCAAATGGATGGGAGTATAGAGTATCGGGAGCCGTTGGAATGATATTTTGCCATTTAATGCTTGAATTCATGATTTTCATTTCGATATGTTCATCATTAACAAGTTGCAGAGGAAGGTATTTCAAAATGTCGTCGACATTCTGACCACAAGTTCCAAGGATTCTCAATCCGTTTTCTAATTCTATCCAGGCTGGATTAGTTAATCGATGGAAGTTAATTCCTCCTAAATATTGTTTATTGGACCCTAGTAACGAGGGATGTAACTTTTGTTGTGGCAAGTTGATTTCTGCAGGATCGTTTGATCCTGGCATTATCAGAACTGGCATTGTCGGTAATAAATCATTAATGAGTTTGTTGAATGCAATTAATGATTGTGGATTAAATTTCGATGTATTTTTCAGTCCGTAGTTATTAGTGGTGACGAAATCTTCTTCTTCTCTTTTCAGCTTTTCTTCTTCGATACTGGCTACAGAATTCCCAGCTACTATTAATTGACTGATTCCACTTGAGTTATTCTTATCATTGGTATTTCCAAGGTATCCACATAAATATTGCTTCAATAATTCTAATTTTAAATCATATTCAATATCACTCTTGATATCAAGACCCGATATAATGGCAATTTTACCCAGGCCACTAGGAGTTAATGGTTTTTGTGGGGATATCTTGGGATAAACAACATCCATTATCTCAAATATACCAGCTTGTAATTCAATTCCTAATACCGCAATAATACATCCAGTTACTAAAATATTCTTCTTTAAGAATTCTTCGTTATGTAACACTGCTCGACCAGATTCATCTTCTAACATAACAATTGGTAATTCTTCACCAGTATAACTACTTGGTGCTTCCGGTAAAATATCATCAGTACCTTTCTCAACATCTTTCAAAATATTCAATTTATGGCTCATATCACTAAATACCGTCCCACTAACCCAGCACAATTCACCACTTTGAATGTCCAAGATTTTCTCCTTGTGAATAATATTCCTACCATCAACTTTCCGGGTGTTATCCCCCCATTTATCCATTGCTTCTGAATCAACTCTTTTTTTCATTGTTGAAAGTCGATATTGGTACATTGAATAATATTGCTTATCATATGGACGCGAACGATCTAACGTGAAATCATCTTGTTTATCGTACTCTTGGCATATTCCAACATTGGTTCGTTTAACTTCACCTGCACTTGCCTCGAGCCCACTATTCAAGTGCTCTGTATAACTCATGTTGCTTGATATACTGGGATATACGTCTTCCTCTTCATACTTCGATTTTTTTTTTTTTTTTTCAATAAAATGTGCACCACGACGCGTCCTCCGCACATTTTGATTAACTTATCCTTCCAACATCAATGAATAGAGGGATAGTGGGATAAATGACAAAGTTAATAGTTGATCCGGATGCCTTGAAGTTAGAATTCCCTCGTGCTTCGGAATCGCGTAGTGTAAGAGTACGCTTGCTAGTTCAAGTAATTGAGTATGATGATGCAAATGCTAATTTAGTTGTCAGAAAATTACCAAATTTCCCATCTACCTCAATTTCACTCGATGATTTCAGTCTTGAACAAGAATCAAGGTATGTCATCAATGTATTCGGCTTGTTATCGAATATTAATACCGAAATAACTGACCCAGGCTGTATTATCAGCTTGGTTGGTTATTATAATGGTGATAAAATACATCCTATAGAATGTTATCCAATCTCAGCAAACATCTTGAATTCGAAACGTCATGTTGATCACCTCGTTGAAATGACCAAGATGAAACCAATTGATTAAGATCTACGGATGAAGTAGGTACGAAGAATATATTATTTTTATATACATGGTTTAATTTTCATTCTGATCTGCCTCATTAAATAATCGATTTGGATCAGTGTTGGCAGCATTCAAGGAATTAAGGTTGGGATTAGTGAAAAATTGATCCCAAATAGCTTCATTTGGTATTTCATGAAGTATCTTGAAAACTTTCTTACCCTCTTTAAAGTCTAATATATTATCGTTTGAGTTAAACATTACCGAAGGGGATGAATTCATGGAATTTTGAGATTTCAAAATAATATTATTTTCATTTCTATAATCCGAAATTGAATCACTCTTCGATATCGCTGATGATGATGGTGACACATTGTTTAATTCCAGGAAAAATAAATCAAGATCATGATTCTGGGCGATTAGAGGATCTTCATCTATTTCAACTTTACTAAAAGAGGAAATTGGATTGGTAATCCATTCAAAAGTTGACGGACTTTTATCGTTTAAAGTATCATCAAGATTTGTATAATCATCATTTAAATCTTCTAATAATTTTATTAAATTTGAGTTGATATTAGTTGAGTTGATTTTGATCGAATTGACATCAAGTCTATTATTCAAGCCATGTACGGTTTCGTTATATTTTAATTTCAATATAACCATTGTTAACATTTCAAAAAAATCTAAATTTTTAAAAGCAGCATCACATCTATCAATTAAAGAATTTAAAATGGTTAAACAATTAGATGTTATCTGTTTCACTTCATGTAAATTATTCTTCAATCTGAATTGTTCACAGTTATAAATAGCGAAAAGATACGAAGTACCACCCATGAATAAGTTATGAAATGCCGCCCAAGTATAATTAATCGATTTACTTAAATATAATTGATAGTAACATTTGATTAACATTTTGGATGCTTCACCTATTATTTCAAAATCTTTTAATGATAATTCATAGTTTTTCGGCGACAATCCATAAAGTTTTAACAAACTGTGATTATAATTTAAATTGAAAAATTCCAAATTGAAATTACAATTCAGTTCTTTTGGTGTTTTCGGCAAATTAGATTTCCAAATTTGTAATTTATTGTTAATATAATTTTTCCAATCGTTCAAATTTCTAAAAACTCTAGGTAATTCATTATTTTCGTATAAAATTTTTTGAATTTCGCTTTGAATTTGTCTAATTTTAAACATATTAAGTGATATCACTTTATAACTGGGTGTGAAATCAGATTTTAGCTGAGAATTAGATAGTATGAATGAATCATCGGCTTCAGTTGGAAAAGGTACATCAATACTTTCATCTGGAATTCCAAAGGGACGATCTAAATAAAAGCAAATTTGACGATCAAGTGAATAAGTACACCAAAATAATCGATTTCTTTTATCTTTTATGAAAGGATCCAATTGATTATTTGATGAATTTTGATGTAAACCTATATCAACACAAAGCCTTAAAGCAGTACCCAAAACATACCATACCCCAGGGTTTGCTGGCCTCATTGTTGAATAAAGAGAAATTAGTAGGAGACTTTGTAAATACTCTAAAGGGTCTGACATTTGTATAGAATCAATGTATTTGTTAGCGGCAATTCTAAAAGATTCCGAAATTGTTTTCAAATATTGTAAATGATGAACTGAGGAACTTATAGCAAATACTATATTTAAAAAATATAAAGGTTTATGGAATCGTTCCGGGGGTATAATTGAATTTGATATATCCATTATCTGCAAATTTTTTATATTATCATTGGGGAAATCAAGATTTGATAATTTTTCTGATATGATTGATTTATATTGATAAAACCAAGTGTCTTCTTCATTTACAGAACAAGTTCTATGGATATCGATGAAATCTGAAGCTAAAGAAACAGAATCATCTAACTCCCCATAAATTGGATTGAAAACATTCAAAATGAATTCTTCACGATTCAATATAGGTAATTGGGAATTGGACTGACTGAAAAAGTTTTTTATAAATTCCTGAGCAGTAAACTTTGGAGGTAATATTGCCGGTAAAATTTTTTCATCATCATTGTTAGAGGATAGTGAAGGATTTGACAAATTTTTCTTATTATTAAACTTCAAAGCAGTGAACATTAATTTTGCAAATGAAATATTTGAATCCTTCACTAAGGTAGAAGAACGTAATATAGGGGTTTCATTTAATTCTATTGGCAGAGGTTTTTCAAATTCTGCACCATTTGTATTATTTTCATCAAGGTTGATTCCATTTTGCTTTAATTTACGTTCTAGAGCTTGAATTTTTTTCTCTAAATGATCAACATAATTTCTAGGAGCTTCACGCCCACTAATTGGATCAATACCAATACATTCGACTCCGGCTTTTTCACAGTTTTCACAAGCAGGAAAGTTGGGAGAACATTTAACTTTTTTTCTCCTACATCTTTTACACAGACTTATAGATCTCGATATGCTGATTATTGAAGAATCATTAGATTTCAATTTCTTATTAGGTGGATCTGAATTTTTCAAACTAGGACGTTTTTTCTTAACATTATTCGAAACCATTACTGTTGCAAAGAAGAAAGAAGAAATAAAGACTCAAGAAAGAAGCCATTACTACATAGTAATAAGATCCATCAATATCAATGGCATAATGGTTGCCTTATCTATTGGTTCGCGCCGAATCAATGTTTCATTATCAGGGAAAATTTATCACCAATGAGATTATATTACGATAAGGTCCTCACACGACTCCAATATGGAATAAATTAATATTAATACATACAAAGAGATAGAAATAACAGTTGCAAAAAAATAAAGGAAGGAAACAAAGATGATTATGCCAAATGTTTGATTGGAGCAGAGTCGAAAGTATATTTTCCTTCTAATTTAGGAATCAAGACTTCGTAACTAGCGGTGTTTGCTTCGAAATCATTACCATCATTTTCAACGTGTAAAGTAGTAACTAAAGAATCGTTCAAAAGAGGATATTTGACATAACGTTCATTTAGTTCACGTTTTTCCATTTGGGATAAATCGTCATCAAATAAAGAGCTTGGGAATTTTGAAATACCTTGATCAACTTGGTCTTTATAAAGATAAGATTGTTTAGCTAAGATTAAATCACTCCAGTTACGTTTATTTAAAAATTGTAGATTATCTCTTTGTGAACCATCGGTATCTTTATTAAAGATTGGGATGATATCTTCGTCGGTATCTTTATTGAAATGATGAATTTTAGATCTTCTATCTAATAAAGAAGCCATTGCACTTGGAGGAGGAGCATTAATGATGGCACTACTAATGACATTAAAAATCAATCTAGCATCGGTTTGAGGATGATTTAAAGTATCGAAATTTTTATTTTCAGCTTCATCGGAAGATAAATGTAAAGGATGACTATGAGGATGGTGATAATATTTTGATTTCAATCTACCAATACAACATAAATGAACATCACCGGATAAAATTGTAATTCTTACTCCATTTTCAGCACCAAATTCCATTAAATTTTTGATTAATTCATTTCTTTCACGCTTATGATTTTTGGAACACCAATGATCATTTAAATCATCCAAGACTTCAACCCCACCATCAAATTCATTAACTAATCCACGATTGATAATACCTCTTGCAGCCAATTTTTTAATTGGTTTTAAAACTGGATTGGTTAAAATGGCTTCTAACCAAACTAGTCTTGGATATAAAATAGGAACCCCCAACATGACTAATAAATGTTTTGTTTCAGGATTTTGTTTAATTTCTTTGTTTAATCTCTGGAAAATTAAATTATAAGTAGAAGGAGAAACAATTTGTTTTAACTTACGTTCAGTTCTGCAATCAATACCAACCAAAGAAATTTCTTTACCTAATCTCATAAAATTAGAATGAGAAGGTTGTTTAATATAAGGACCTTGCTTATTACCAAGAATCCAACTTGGATCATTTGAATAAGCTTTTTCATCTAAAGAAATTTGATGTTGAAATAACATATAATATTTATAAGCAACATTACCAATGGTAGCGAAAACATCCTGAGCCATTGTTGCATCAGCATAAGAACCAAATCCATCAATAATATCATGATCATCATAGATATTTACTGAAGGAATTTGGGCCATGGTTAAGGGGAATATTTTTTGCAAAGTTTTACCGTTAGTACCAACCCAATAACCTTTACCAAACCAATCAAGATAAGCATGAAGATAATAATTTTCAAATTGTTTCAACATATCATCTGAAACTTTCCATTCTCTTTTTTTATGAACAGAGATTTCATTTGCCCATTCTTCCAAAAGGGAAGATTTTATTTTAATCGAATCACAATATATTTGGTCACCTCCACCCAACATTACATGATAATGTTGTTTTGCATGTTTTTTCAAAACATCCAACCAAAGAGAAGATTTATAGTTTGAAGTATCGGTACCCAAAGAAAATCCATTACAACTAAAAGAAACCACGTTCATTGATTCATTAACTGCTGGGATGAAAAACTGTTGTGATTTCTTAAAAGTTCCATTGATGTAATATTGAATTTTTTGTTCATATTCAACAAGATTTAAATTGATATTAAATCTCCAAAATTCAAATTCGTCTTGTTCGAAAAAAAGCACCGAAGGGAATTCTCCATTTTCAAAAGTAGGCTCAACCTCTTCATTGGAAGCATTGCCAATTTTGAAAGTAATCTTGGGTTTAATTTCATTTTTTTTAACAACCAACATGATTGATCCTCGATAATTGCTTTCACCATTCTCTAAAGTCCCCAGTAATCGAAGAATTGGTCCACATCTTACGTCAAGACCATCTGGCAAGGCTTCATCGATTGGACAAGTGTCTGGAATATTATCACTCGAATGTTTATTCAATAAAATATATTCATCAATTGGAATTGGTTCAAACCAATCATCGTTAGTCTTGCTAATCATGCTTAAGGAGCAATTTTCTTTCCTGCTGTTTTTTTCAATTGAAAAGCACTGGTCTTCTCTTTATATGAGTAAATATTAGCTGGTTTATGCAACCGATTTCGTCTACAAGTCTAACTCAGCCTATCGACAAAGTATCAATCGATGAGTAGTAATCAACCGTTTGTTATTCGATGTAGATGGATGGTTGGTTCCCAAAAGGGTAACTGTTTCAGTTGCTTAGCAAGTTTGGGTATACACGCCGTACAACTTTGAGTCCTGAGTGCGTTACTCAATGCTCGACTCTCTGAACAAGTACGTGCTGACAGTTTACTATGGCATCACTGGATCTTATGAGATGCACATGATCTACCAATCAACCAACTCAAGTAGTTCGTGTAGTTCGTGGAGTTCGTGGAGTCCGTGTAGTCCAGCTAGTTCAGCTAGTTCAGCTAGTTCAACTGTTCAACTGTTCAACTGTTCAACTGTTCAACTGTTCAACTGTTCAAGTGCAGTAATTCAAGCAGTCCAGTGCCTGAACTGTACGGATGTTTTTTGTTGCAGTTTATTTTCTTTGCATGTTAGCTCGCCATTTTTCATTTGCAGCCTGGATGTCTTTAGAACACAGAATATTACTGTATGTGGGTGCAATTTGATCTAGTAGAACACATAACATTGCTGTATATGGGTGCAATTTGATCTAGTAGAACACATAACATTGTATATGGGTGCAATTTGATCTACTGCATCGCAACTTACGTAGGGGAAGCGTAGCAGCAGACGAGCACAAACATAGTGTCTTGGTAAAAGACGCTATCTGAATATGAACAACTGGCACCGTGACCAGAGATCAGGGATCAAGGAGTTTAGATAAAGGTAAGGCAATGGAAATCAAGGTACGGTAATTAGGAAAAGTGTTTGTCATTTGCTTACCGGAAACCAATTAAGTAATCTGAAACATCGTATTTCAACGTTAGGGAGGCTGAGAATGGCATTGCCTGTACAACTTTATCTACGGCATCTATTTTTAACAGCCGGCCCACCAAGAAATCTTGGTAAGCTGCTGCGGTGACTGGGTATCCAATGCCAGGTTGCCCAAATGGTAAGTAGTAGAAAGCAAAAGTTAAAAGGCTAATGGTGAAGGGGAATGGGAATGGGAATGGTGAAGGCAGGGCTGACCGGCCGAGGGCGGGGGCGAGGGCTTGGTCGAGGGTGCGAGGACAGATACGAGGGTAGGAAATTATAAACGGTGAAGCAAAGCAAGTAAAAACATGTGACAATACCAACGTTTTATTCGGAATTTAAATATCTCTTTTAAAAGTCATTTAATTGTTAGCTAATCTTGGCAAAAAGTAGAAGGTTTACAGGTTATTACAATTGCTGGTTTTATATAAACCATGATAACTGCTGGAAATAATCAGATTATCAAACGGTAAGGAAGATGGCTAGTTTAATCCAAACCCCAATGGATAAGATACCCTCGTATTCGTCAAATTCATCGGATTCAATAAATAATGTAAGTTCATATTTTAGTAGAAGAGTATCATTTAATAATTTACATCCTGATGATTCAATTGAGGAAGATATTGAATATCCCAATAATTATACTACTGGGAATAGGAAAAGGAAATTAGCGGAAGCCCCATCGAAATCAATATTAAAGAATAAGCTTAGTCCCCAACAACTATATTATAATTTACAACATTCCAAGTCATTGGGGATAAATTATCATGATGATTTAAATGAAATGGCATTACCCGATGAAAGTATACCACGATCAGAATATGGACCAAGGAGAAAATCATATTCCGAAATGACGGATGAAGAGTTGATGGCATTAGACCCCCAGTTTTCAACAACAAAATCAAAAGTATCAAATGTATCCCAATTTAAATTTGACTCTCAGAAAACGTATTATTCACCATCAAGAAAGTCCAATAATTATTTGGTTAATAATGCAGCTAACGCTGCCAATGCCTTAACCAAACAATCCATGTATCCCCTGTCTAATGAAAATAATTATAAATCGATAAGTTTAACCGTGAAACACGAAGAGTTTAATCAAACAAACCGAACCATTCTAAGTGTTATTAGTGGGAGACGCCATACTTGGAATTCTCTAGACTGGTTACTTTTAAATAATAGTAAAGATGAGTCCCAATGGATATTAAATAATGGAGATCATTTGGTGATTACTTCTTTGATACCCTTGAAATTTATAAAAGATATCGAAATGAATAATAATAAATATAAAAATTATTCCAATCGCCAAATCAATATCGATGAGTTATTATATAAAAAATGTGAATCGTTATTAAATTATATCATGACTAATCTACCAGTGGCGCTTATTTTAAAAGTTACCGTGGAATTTGTCCTTGATATCCCAAAAGATAATTGGCAATTAAACATTAAAAATGGTTATAAATACATGTTGAATCATATTTATAAACAATATCAACCCACTCTCATCATCATTGGTAATAAATCCACTAATTTAAACTTTAAATACCCAATTCGTTTATCAAAAGATGAAAGTTCAAATGATTATAATCAATTTTTGGTTAAATTATCTTCGTACATCATTAAATATTCAACAATTCCAACTATAATTGTGGGTAACTCTTCCAAATTCCATAGTTCAAATCATCAAATTTCTAAAAATCCAAAAATTAGTATCATGGAACCAAATCAATCTCCGCATTCTTCGGACCTTTCGCCATTATCTTCAAATTCAAATACCTATCACCCTGCTTCTTCTTGGGATCAAATTTGTCATTCAGATGATCACAAATTGAAAATTGCCTCTCTACAAAATGATGATAATTCAGAATTTAAATTTGCAAATCTAATTAGCGAAATTTCGTCCGCTTCCCTTTCAGATTGCTCCACTTATCTTTCCAACATCCCAGATCAATCTGATCCAATAACAGCAGAAGATGACCAAAATTTGTCCATCTTTACTAACTCCAAAATTCACGATATTTACAAAAATCAAACTTATTTTTCAAATAACCTCAATTCTCAAAGAAGAAAATCTGATACAAATAATCAAAAAAGAAGAAATAGCTCTTACGATATTAATGGTAATATGTATAAAGTTAAATCAATGATTTCCTACGATGAAGAAGATGAACGCAAAAATGAAAAATTAATCAATTCAAAAAAAATTAAAAAAACTAATAGCTCCTCTAGCTCCTCTAGTAGCGAAACAAATAATAAAAAAAATGGTAAAAAAAAGAGAAAATCTCTATTAGCCTTATTTGGCTTGAAAAAATAGTATATAGGTTCTTTGGGTATCGGGTATATTTTGGTAATATATTAAACTGTAAAGTATTTTTTTTTTCAAATTCCAAATTTCACGGAATTCCCATGTTTCTTTAGTCTATATTGTATGCTTTTACTTTATATGCTTTATTGTTCGCTTTTGACATGATAATCGATACTAACCAGCCTGGAATGGGGGGAGAATAGGGTCTGATATTATCGCGTAATTGCTGGTGCTTGGGTGTAGGTATTTTTACCCTTTTCGATGGCTATTCATTGTACTAACACTATTCTTCAGCCGGATCCCTAGGTCCTCCTGGTTTCCTTTCTAGGCCCACTCCTGGTTCACTCTAGAACCGCTTCTGTCTTCCTCCGCTTCCTCCATTCCGTTTGCTGCAAAAATAGCATAATGTCTTTGCTCTAATCGGTTTTACAGATTACGCTGGTGTAAACTGCGCTTTTGTATTCCGGTGCCTATTCCGGGGGTGCCCAACCCTCAACTGGGGTCTGTTTTTTTTTCAAATTTATGTCTTCATCGAGTCCATCACCATCGACTTATACCCAGTGCCCCATGTCAGCTCCTCATATCCCGTTGAAAAATGTCGATGTTCTGTCCATGTTGAACGAGTCTCTGGTAGGAGGGTCGGCGGAGCCGTCAATTGAACAAGGTGAGTCTAGTGATACGATTGTACCAAAAGTTGAGTCTAGTGAAACTATCAAAGTTGAGTCTAGTGAAACTATCAAAGTTGAGTCTAAGGATGGTCTTGGACCGAAAATTGAGTCCAGTCCCGGTGTTGAGGCCCCAGTTTCAAAAGATTCAGATAAAAAACAGTACTCTTTACGATCAAAGGATAAAAAAGCTCTAGAAGAAGAGAAAAAACTACAGCAAGATCAATTGAATAAATCTTTATTGAAACAAAAAACTCATAATGTAATTGTACAGTCGAGATTGAAGCCAGTTCCCTTTAAACATCTGGATCTATATAACTTTGGTCCTCAACAACCCCAAATATCACCTGCTTTTACAATTGGAGATAAAGGTTTCTATCAAACTGACGACCATCCTTTCAATAGACGTGGGTTTAAATATAAACCTTGTCAACCAAACCCAATTTTCAAGTCAAACTTATACTCAACAACTGATTTGTCCCCTTTCAAAGTGAGAATCAGCCATTTCGATCGATCAAATGGTATTGCATTTAACAAGGACTTGGATACTGTTTCAACAAATCAGGGTTGGAGATCAGTTCGCTCAAATGTTCCAATTCGTGAAGGTAAATATTATTTCGAATTCAATATTATAAGCGCAAATGATCCTTCAACAAAAGGTCATGTAAGGGTTGGTGTTGCTAGAAAGGAAGCAAGTCTAGAGGCACCGGTTGGGTTTGACGGTTATGGTTACGGGTTAAGAGATTTAAATGGTCAAAAAATGACCTTAAGTCGCCCCAAAGAGTTTATGTCTTTGAAAAATGATTCTGATTTACAAAATTTTAAATCCAATGATACAATTGGGTTTTTAATTGAGTTACCTGATTTGAAAAAACACCGTGAAGCATTACAAAGATTTGTCAATGAAAAACAATCAGAAAAACCAGTGAAATTGGACGAGAGTCCGGCGAAAAAGAAACGTAAAACGAAAAAGGAGAGTGGTCACTATGATGAATTTAAATTTAATTTACATGATAATATACTAAGAGATCAAATTCCAATTAAATACAAAAATGCATTATATTACGAACAGTTTGAGTACACTCCAACTAAACAAATGGACCATTTATTAAATCCAGTCACTGTATTTGGTGAAAAGGCTATTCTAGAAGAGCAAAACAATTTAATCCATTCTTCTCAAAATATTCCAAAAATTCCAAATTCAAAGATTATTGTATTTAAAAATGGGATTGAAATAGGCTGCATGTTTGAAGATTTATATTCTTTTCTACCAGTCAAATTCGATGATGATTTAATCGAAGAAACTATTTCAAATTCAAAACAAGATCAGAATTCTAATTATAGAAATACTGATGATGGTTCATTAGGTTATTACCCTATGCTCTCCGTGTTTCTGAATGGGATAGTTGGTTTAAATCCAGGTCCGGATTTCAAGTATCCCATTAAAGATGATCTGGTTAAACCATTGAGTGATCGTTTTGATGAAAGTATAGTTGAAGAATGGATGTGGGACTTAATCGATGAAATTGAACTGGAATACTTGGATAGTTTTGAATGAAAAACTAACTCGTAATTTTTAATGTATCTACTTCAACCCCAATTACTGTCAAATTTTCTTTATCGGTATCAATAAAATCTTTATTATCATCTTCATTTGATGCCATTTGTCTATTATAAATATCTAAACATTTGTAATGGAAATTAACATCAATAGGTTCTGATTTACATTTATAACCTAATGTAACAATATTTGAGCAAACTTTACATTGTAAAATCTTACCATTAACGTCATTACTTGAGTAGATTCCATATGAATCGATCAAATATTGTTTTAAGTCACTTAGTGATCTTATCGATAAAATTAGTTTATCTTCAGTAGTTAATTCAAACCAACCATCATCAATTAATCTCGTTAATAAAGCATAGGCATCTCTTTGAGATCTGTTGAGAGAGTTAACCAATGTTTGATTCGCATTCACTATTCCTATTGAAAATTCTGAATCATTATCAATAATTTCTTCAATGATAGTTTTGATTGAATCCAATTCTGGTGGTGAGTAGGTGGTACTTCCTTTAATGAAATCATCTTTCTTGGTGGTAATGAAAACGAAATAAGATTCTCCAGTTATTTGATGTTTCAATTCATCAATTTTGAAAGAGTATTTCTCCAATATACTATTGATTATTGAGATGAACTTTCTTAATTTTGGCGATAAATCTCGATCATCGATATCTAATTCTTCGTATTCTTGGGATATTATTTGGAACTTCTCTAAGAGCTCCTTATGCTGAACGGCCTTCACAGCTAGTATATAGGTGAGTAATATTCTATGAGGTTCTGAATACGAATCCATGACTGAAGAAGTTGTGTTGATCATATGAAAAATTATTCCTCCGTTAATTTTTTTTTTTGTGTTGACACGCGTTTAGCACCCGAAGCTGCAAAACCCATACTCTTCATGGTTTTGTTACAGCTTTCTTTAGTATACTGGATGAAGTAGAAGGTGTATGCTCTTTAGTAAACTCATAGAAGTCGTAAGCGTAGACTTTACATAAGGCTATGTGCTTTTAGGATGGCCTGTTTTGACTATCTTGACCAATTTCCAGGGTTTGCTTACACGATTTTGATATTCTTTCGTGTGCTATTCGCCTACTCATACCTGAATTCATTTCACAATCTTAGCATTGTCTTGTAAGTCATGTGTTGTATCTTGTATCTCGTGAAGATGTATTTGTAAAATTTGCAGTTAAAAAAACTTCGCTATAAGTTTTGCAGCAAACCACATAAACAAGGTTCTAAATTTGCAACCAGCAATGCTAGGAACAATATTCTTTTTTTACTTCATTATATTGACATGCGGTTTTGAATATAGGTATGAGATAAGTGATTTGGATGAGATTCCCATACCTTGTAATCCCCGAGTTGATGGCCAATGTTTTACGCGAAATATGGCATTATCCCAACAAATTGAAGAAGAGTTTAAACTGAATGAACCATCACCATACTTCCATTATAACACCTGTCCAGAGGGGATAGAGTATGGCCAGCTGGGCTTACAATTGAAAATCAATAAGAGATACGATAACCCCAGTCTAATGTCAAAGTATTACCTATTATACGGTAAGGTTGAAGCCGATATCATGGCAGCTCCTGGCCAAGGAATAATCCTGTCAATTTATTTACAAAGTGACGACTTAGATGAAATAGACATAGTTGAGATTTTTGGTGGTAATCCTTATTCCGTACAATCGAATTTTTTCATTAAAGGAAACATCACCACTTATGATCGAGGAGAGTATCATCTGGTGAATGAGTCACCAATGGGTCAATTCCATCGGTATGGTATTGAATGGACCCCCAACAAGATGACCTGGACCCTTGATAATCAAGTGATACGCGTGGTACCCAAAGAGAACCCTTATGGAATTCCTGATTCTCCAATGGCACTTAAGTTCAGTTTATGGGCTGGGGGAGACGAGTCTAATGAGCCGGGGACTATAGAATGGGCAGGCGGAGTATCTACTTATAATGACGTTCCCTACATAATGCGAGTGAAAAATGTTTATATGAATGACTATTCCACCGGGACAGAATATTGTTATGGGAATTCGCTCAAATTGAATCAATGGCTAGATACTACGGCTAGAAACGGTGTAATTGCCAGTAAGTTGGGGAACCACGCTCCTGGTTCCGACCTCGATTTGAGTTTTTTGGACGATGAAGAGCAAGTGGAGTACATCTACGAGTATATTGATGAGATTCCGGCTTCCACCAAAGTAAAAGACGCGAAACCTCTTCAATCCAAGGAAAATATAAAGCATAAGGGAAAGGCTGGAATAAAACACAAGGGAACCAACCGTGAGGATATGACTAAAAGGTTTATTCAATTTTATAACTCCAGTCGAGTCCTGAGTTCTAATCAGTCCAACGGCCATGATTGGAGCAGAGCCATACTCCTAGTTTTCCTATTCCAGGTGATCATGACAGTCCTATTCTAGAGCCTGCCACTAACTACATAACTATAACCCAAAGAATACATACACTTTTGAATAGCGAATAGTTATGTACCTACAGTGGTAATCCAGTAGTTGTGGTTGCAAACACAATAGGTACGGGTGTAAGCTGCGGTCGTGCGGGTTCTCATCCATTCGGACTCGCCCTTTCCGCAGTTAACATGCGCTGATGTCATAAACTTTGAGTCTTCTTTGTTAATTTTGTTCGATCGGATGATGTCTTGAGAAATTGAATCTCATGATGATCTGCTGATTGACTAGGTTGAGGTGATTCCATTGGCACATGAGCGATCCGGGCGTCCCTACGACGATACCCTGGTATGCTGACAGTATGCTGACAGTATGCTGACAGTATGCTGACAGTATGAATGGTACTGATGATGGTAGTGATCATTATCCAGCAGGCCGGTAGCTAACAAAATGAAAAAAAAAAATACAAAAAAATACAAAGAAATACAAAAAAAAAAAACGTGCGCAGAACAAAATCTCTCTAATTGTAATTGCTCGGAAGCCCAAACTCATATAAGGAGGATAGCATCCCCAATAAAACTTCAATTGGAACGAATTTTGAGTTTCCTTTTGGAATATAGTTAGTATAGAAAAAGATACAATCATGCCTTCTTCCGTTGAAGGTGTTAGTTTTAGCTCATTGGTTACCAATGATGCTAAGAAATTTGAACAAACATGCCAATTTTATAATCAATTGGGATTTAGATTAACTAGGAATTATTCGAAAGTTTCAAGTAATGGATCAACGTCATCTTTCAATGATCCAAAATTGCATTTAGGAGTTTCCAATGACTCCTTAAAAGAATTATGGCTTGAAACTTTCCCATTACAAACCTTAGATTCTAATGGGAAGATTAAACCATGGCAAGAATTACCATTTTATTGTGGAGATTCAACTAAGTGTTTGAATAATTCAACCATTATAAAACTTAGATTATCCAATTTAAAAGATATTTCGGTTACCGGTCAACGTCTTTTATTTTTCACTACAAATTTAAGTAAAGTTAAAGAACTTTTAAGTGAAAAATCATCAGTGGAAACAATTGATGATAATATAATAAGTAAAGATCCTTTAGGTAATACGATTATTTTTTCAAATAAAGAAAGTCCTCTTTTAAATGAAAAATTTAATTCGGCAGATGAATATTTAGAATATAAATCAAAAGAATTATTGGATTCCTTGGATTCTATGAATAATTCAAAATCAACTAGTGAATTATCAATCAAAGAAAAAACTAAAAAGAAGAAGATTGCAGTTATGACTTCTGGTGGGGATGCCCCCGGTATGAATCCTGCCGTCCGTGCCGTGGTAAGAGCCGGGATTTATTATGGATGTGATGTCTTTGCCGTTTATGAAGGTTACACTGGTTTAGTGGAAGGTGGTGACTTATTGAAAAAAATGGGTTGGGAAGACGTTAGATCTTATTTAAGTGAAGGGGGTACTAATATTGGTACTGCTAGATGTAAAGAATTTAGACAACGCGAAGGAAGATTAACTGCTGCTTATAATATGGTTATTAATGGTATTGATGCCTTAATTGTTTGTGGTGGTGATGGTTCTTTAACCGGTGCTGATTTATTTAGATCAGAATGGCCTTCTTTAATTGAAGAATTAGTTTCTAGTGGTAAATTAACTACTAAAGAAGTTGAACCTTATAAAAATTTAACCATTGTTGGTTTAGTTGGTTCAATTGATAATGATATGTCATCTACTGATGCTACCATTGGGGCTTTTTCATCTTTAGAAAGAATTAGTGAAATGGTTGATTATATTGATGCCACTGCTAAATCTCATTCAAGAGCGTTTGTTGTTGAAGTTATGGGTAGACATTGTGGTTGGTTAGGTTTAATGTCTGGTTTATCAACTGGTGCAGATTTTATTTTTATACCTGAAAGACCACCAAAAGCAGGTAAATGGCAAGATGATTTGAAAAAAGTTTGTTCTAGACATAGAAATAAAGGTAAAAGAAAGACCACCGTGATTGTTGCTGAAGGAGCAATTGATGATGAATTAAACCCAATTACTTCAGAAGATGTCAAAAAAGTTTTGGTTGATTTAGGTTTAGATACTAGAATCACTACTTTAGGACACGTTCAAAGAGGTGGTACTGCAGTTGCATACGATCGTATGTTAGCAACATTACAAGGGGTTGAAGCCGTTAGAGCTGTTTTAGAAACCACTCCTGATACTCCATCCCCAATGATTGGTATTTTAGAAAATAAAATTGTCAGACAACCATTAGTGGAGGCGGTTAAATTAACTAAATCGGTGGCTGATGCAATCGAATCAAAAAATTTCAATAAAGCCATGAATTTAAGAGATTCATCATTTGAAGAAGCATATAATCAATATTTAGCCACATCCATTCACGATGATGAATCCCAATTATTACCAGAAGGAGAACGTTTGAACATTGGTATTGTTCACGTTGGGGCATCATCTTCAGGATTGAATGCCGCCACTAGAGCCGCTGCTCTTTACTGTATATCCAAGGGTCATAAGTTATACGGTATACAAAATGGTTTTAGTGGATTAATTGAACTGGGTAATTTGAAAGAATTAAATTGGTTAGATGTTGAAGGATGGCATAATAAAGGGGGGTCAGAAATTGGTACTAATAGATCATTACCAAGTGAAAATTTTGGTAATGTAGCCTATTATTTACAAAAATATCAATTAAATGGTTTAATTATAGTTGGGGGGTTTGAAAGTTTTACTGCATTATATGAATTAGAACTGAATAAGAAGAAATATCCAATTTTCAATATTCCTAAGATTGTTATACCAGCCACTGTTTCAAATAATGTACCTGGTACTGAATATTCATTGGGTAGTGATACCTGTCTTAATCAATTAGTTAATTATTGTGATGCAGTTAAACAATCAGCATCATCAAGTAGAAGAAGAGTTTTCGTTGTTGAAGTTCAAGGAGGACATTCGGGATTTGTTGCCTCGTATGCAGGATTGGTTACTGGATCAATTGCAACTTATACTCCGGAAACCAAGATCAATTTAAGAAGATTACAAGAGGATATTGATTTGTTATTTACTGTATTTGAAAATGATCGTGGTGAAGATAAAAATGGTAAAATGATTATAAGAAATGAACAAGCATCAACTGTTTATAGTAGTGAATTAATTGCTGATATAATTAAAGAATCTGCTAATGGAAGATTTGAAACTAGAACTGCTATCCCCGGCCATGTTCAACAAGGATTCACTCCAAGTTCAATGGACAGAGTCAATTCAATTAGATTTGCCGTTAAATCGTGTCAATTTATTGAAAAATGGAATGAAAAAATCGGACAAGCTGGCGATATATCTCAATCCAGTAATATTAATTTCATTAGAAATCTTGAAGATAGCGATGAGGGCTCGGTTGTTATCGGTATCCAAGGAGCGCAAATTAATTTCACCAAAATTAATACCTTGTATGAACATGAAGCCGATGTTATATTAAGAAAGGGGAAAACGATCCATTGGGACAATATGGCTAAAATTAGTGATTTACTTAGTGGAAGATTATTATTAAAAGAAGAAAAAGAAAAATGATTAAATAATACAGATAATTAATACAGATGAAACGATGAAAGACTGTAAATTTATGAAATGTAGCAGAAATCCGAAGGCTTTGACACATGACAAAAGAGGAATAAAACGACATAAAAAATAGCTTACCGGAAATAACCCGGGAGATAAAGTGGTTGGGGAAGATGAAATAGAAAAATAGCTGACGGGGAAACAGCAGAAAAAAAGCGACTTGATATCGGAGATGGACTAACGAAAACATCTCGACTCGGCTACTAATCAACACAAAGGATCTGTACAGAGGGGATGACTTATAAACATATGATTTGTAATGCAATAAGAATAAAAAAATTTTAGGAAAAATGTGAGATTGCTTATTGATGTATTATAAAGAACGTGAGAATAGGGAAAATGTACGATAGATAATTGAGTAACAAGGTTGATTTGAAAGGAACATTGAGTCTATATCCGAAAAGAGATACGGAGTCATGGTACTAGTTGTTGTGTTGTCCTTATTTGTTGATTTGTTGTCGTTTCGTTGATTCGTTGTTTCGTTGTTTCGTTGTTTCGTTGTCGTTTCGTTGTTTCGTTGTTTCGTTGTTTCGTTGTTTCGTTGTTTTCATATTTTGTATTATACTTTGTATTTCAGAATCATATTTTATAGCTTAGTATTCATTTACATCATGTGATATAAAAGTATGTCATATAGCAGTATGCTGAATGCTTCATGTACCTGAAGTGTTAATTTAAATTAAACGAAAGGGGAACCTCAGAACATGATCTGGAATTATGTACGTAACGATTTAAACGGTTTGACCGTTTCACTCCCGAGCCTGCACCGCACTTATGAAGCGCACTTTGATGTATTGCGTACAACCAATGTATCTTTACCTAATCTATTGTGTGAACCCTAGAGCATACAAGTATTACTACTTAAGCTATTAGAGTTATGTCGGTACGATGGGTACGGATGGTAGCAAATTGTATTCCATTTGTGTGTGTGTGTATCATACTATATTATATTATATCATAATATTTAATATTAATCATATAATGGATATATTATAATACATGTACTAAAGAGATAAATGCGATGACACAAATAAGTTTGGCTATTACAATAACAATAATTTCAGATCAATACAAAATATCTCGCCCGGATTAACCGACCGTTATATAATAAACTACAGCATAATATACCTTCTAATAAGTATATATATAAAAAAAAAAAAAAAAAAATATTATATGCTAAGATAATATCAGGGTTTTAAGTAATGGCGCTTGTGGGTCATCTGTTTTCATTCCCTTTAATAGCTGGGTCTATGCAGTATTATGAGCTTCTGATACAATACTCGATGAACATGATGACTATCGCTACCTCGGTAGGCCCCATCCACTGGGGGAGCACCATCCACTTCTGCGCCGGCTCCTGGTCTGTCTGTGCCTGGTCGTCAGAAAAGCTGTCAAGGTCATATCATCTACATATCACCGGGCCCTCGTAGCTCATCAACGGCTCATCAATTATTGCTTCGTGTCTAAATGCAAACTTTTAGCCGCCCACACTCTTTATTTATATATATATTTTTTTTTTTTTTGATTTTTTTTTTGGGACTTTTTTTTGTTTGTTTGGTTAAAAATATTTTTTCGCTATTTTTTTTTTTGTCAAAGACATTTTTTTGAGCGGTTTTCCTGTATACAGCCGGCGGCAAGAGACTTGTTTCAGTTTAATCTAAGCAATTGTATTGGCATTGTGACTGACTTGATAGTTTATTTATTGCACTACACTATAGACAATTCAATAGTTTATTTGACAAAAGTTTAGGTCTGTGGGCATTCCTGGAGGAGGCGAGGGATGCACAGCACACGCAGTTAATAGAAAACCAAAGGGAAAAATATCTACCTTGCATTTTTGTGTTGGGTATTTGACTGTTTGAATAGAAAAATAATTCGAAAAAAAAAAAATTAAAGTAATAAAAAGAAAAAAGGAATGAAAGAAAATATTTAAAATAAAA